GCTCTAAGGAAGACTACGGCTGTTTATTTAATCCACCTCAAGCACATTTCCCGTCATATCATGCCTATCTAAAGCATGGAGACGTTGCATTGCATCCACAGGCAATACGACGGCATTGGCGCATTTACATTTGTTTCTGCTATCCCCAGGACACTTTCATACTGCTGTTTAAAGTACTCGTCTCAATGGGAATCTGCTGTGTTGCTCAGCAACCGGACGTTTAGCTTTAACGATTGTCATCATCGGACTTCTACAGGAAATGCTCACTGCCAAAAAAGTTCTGAGCTCGGACACACACACAAAAAAAAAAACCACTACATGTTGAATTGCGCCGTAGATTTGAGAGCGTGTTGGAGGAGATCTGGAGGTCAAGGGGGCTTTGGGAAAGAGGGAGAGGAAAGCACGGTAGGGGTAAATGGAATGTGATCCCGGGCCAGCAAAGGGACTGTGACATTCGCTCTCCCACTGAGGACCATTCCCCAGGCAGTCTGTTTTTGTCAAGATGTCTCTAAGCTATTCTGTGCACCTAAGTAAACAGTAAGCTTGGACATGCACACACACATGCACCCTCGGTGACAGCGTGCACTCACACACACAAACTTTCTGTCTGAGCAAGCAGAAACACAATTCATCCCCCTTCATCCCCACAACTCATTACAACTACACTACAAATAACTCCACCAAACATGGAAAATAATGAGCAAAAACAATAAGCAATGGTCTAACTTGCTTCTGCTTCTACCGCCAGACAGAACTTCACTAATTGAAGACTTTGTTTACAGTCCAAATTCAATTAAGAAGCACTCCCTCACCCCCAGACAAATACCCTTTGTTTTGCCATCGAAACAGGTATCTCATTGTGCACATTCAAATATAAATTTGTCTCATTACTCACTCCAACTCTTCCCCGAGCGGCCCATAAACTCCTTCGTTTCGGCGTTCCACAGGTAAGTCTTCAGGTCATCAATTTTCTCATGCAGCGTCCGCTTGGGCTTTGGCTTGGGCTTCCATTTCTCAAAGTTAAGGTCATCCTGCTCCAGAGGCTGATGTTCTACCAGTCCTTCCTGTTCCACTTCCATGGCCTCAGCAAGTTCGTGTTTATGAAGTGATCCTGCACGCTAAAGATAACATGGAAAGTTGAAAAATATTATTCACAAATAAGTTTCTAAGAATCAAAAAAGTTCCCTGCAACAAGCATTAAACGTAAAAACTCACTTTAATGTGGATAATATTGTCTGATGCTCTTAAAAAGGCCAGGAGGCAAATATGTATCTTCAAAACAGTTAAAAGCAAGTGTAGGGTCTCATTCAGTGTGAATGAAAGACGTTTCAGAATCCCATTGATCTATGAGAGGCAGAAGAGGACCCACACACTCGCTGACCCATGTTGGGAGATCTAACCTCTCACAGCTGCACAAGATCGGCAGGGTCACTCTTCAGCCAGATGTTACACACTCGTTCTCAATATCAGGACACATAAAATACACTTTAAAAACTGGTGAAAAACACATTCGCACATTTATTAATACAGGTTCATGTTAATTTCTACATTGATAAAAATTCAACATCACTGCATTGTGAACTATCATGAAATAAAGATATTTAATATGATTGAATCAAACTGCCTACATTATTAGAGTACATCAATAATAGTCATTTTTAACAGCTCCTTAAAGGGATAGTTCACCCAAAAATTAAAATTCTGTCATCATTTACTTACCTCAACTTCCATAGTATTTTTTATGGAAGTCAATGTTTGGTTCCTGACATTCTTCAAAATATCTCCTTTTGTGTTCAGCAGAAGAAAGAAATTCATTCAGGTTTGTAACAACTTGAGAGTGAGTAAATGATGACAGAATTAAAAAAAACAAAACGATGAGCTGTCCCTTTAAGGTATCAGGGGTCTTTCAAATGCCTCTACTACAATATATCAAATATTAATAGTATAGGCTACTAATGATGAATCATTTCCAGTGTAAATTTACCTAAATAGTAATGAACAGATAAAACGCTTTTGGTGACACTCCTTCTGTACCAAAAATGAAGTTTAAAAATGATACAAATGAAAATGACCTACAAAACCGCGTTATCTTCTATAATGTTTATACTGCAGGCTATAGAGCACTAAATCCAGCAAGATATGGTCATTGCAATGCTCTCATCCCTAATCAAAAGTAACCACATTACTCTGGTGCATTGTGGTTATGGTCACTTGCCAGTTTTGAAACTTTGTCTTCCAGGAGCAGGTCCTCCGCCCCTCCCGCGGTAGAGTCGCGCTCCATGATCTCTCACTGAAGAATAAAGGTACTTGTTAAACCAATCACATAAACGAGCGGTCCAAGCGATTTACTGAGAGATTTCAGTTCACGAATTAAGTCTGCAGCCGTCCAAAGGAGGTGAAATAATTGCTCAAACTTATTTCTTCTTCTTCTTCTTCTTTTTTAAGTGAAGATAAGAGAATATGTCGATGTCTTCAGGAAAGAAAAAGGGGGGGAAGGAAAACTTTAATGCTCAAATTGCCCCCCAAAATAATGTCTTGATGAAGGCACTGGTGTGATGTCTTCAAGTTCAGTTTAAGCTGGCTGAACAAACGTTAATTCTGGTCAAGAACTTGTCGTGAATTTCATTGAGTTTTCCCCTTACAACGGATGTCGGGTGTGGAGAAGCTTCTTGCTAGGAGTCGAGCATCATAGTGAATGGAGTTGAGCTGGAGAGAGAAAGTGGGGGTGGGATACAAAGTGGAGTTTTTTTGGCAGAAGCTTCGTTTGGTGTTGTGTGGAATTCTGCACACGCACACCACATAGTCTCATTGTCTCCTGAAACAAGCTATGCAGAGACCCCACAGCTTTATAAGTTTATGTTCTGTTCTGCATTATCACTAAATAGGCTACTGCATCTGCAACTATAGGACAGTGGGGTTTAGTATGCAGGACACTTCACTAAACAATCCCCATTGACTCGCTGGACTGTTAAACTGGAGGAAGATTAGCTATAGGTCTATTCGCGCGCATTGAGGAGACAAACGCAAAATTGTGAAATATAGATCCGCTTTGGTCTAGGTTGGCGTCAAAAGCGTAATAAATTCAGAAAGTTGTCATCAAGCTTAATATTTGTACACAGATCACGTTGCGCTCACTAAACCCGCTGATTTTTTTAAACCTCAAAAGAACTCGCGTCATGGAAAATTCGGTCTTGTCTGTTTTTTTCTGCTTCTTTGGTGGAGAGCAGGTCATTCAAAGAAAGACCATCAAGGACTGAAACGAGCAAATGCAATCATTAACTTTGTGACAAAACTAAGCAAGAACAGAGATTAATTGTCTATTAATGTCGCCGCGTTTTAGGCTATTTCATTACAGAAATAAGCAGGCATGCTTGCTTGTGTAGAAAATTAAGGGTGATCGGAGATATTTATTCACTTCCTTTCAATTCTACAACTAGGCCTATTTGGTCTATCCTACGTTACTCGCGTAGCAACAATTAGCCTTGGCTAAATAAGCAAAAATAAGTCAGCAAGTCACTAATGGAGTCTTCAATTCCACAGGTTTTGAACTCTGCTTCGCCTCAATAGATTATAATTTTATTAATGTGAGTGTGTGTGTGAGAGAGATAGGCTAACTATGAATAAATGGGTGAGTTAGGCCAGAGACAATTAAGGCTTCTTCTAAATAAACCTGTTGCCTGTCAAGCTGCACAAGTGAACAGTAAAATAAAAATGCAGCAGACCTGCAACGAATTCGGGTTAAAAAGAAAAATTAGTCTAGCCTGGCCTATAGGCCTATATATATATATATATATATATATATATATATATATATATATATATATATAGCCTATGTTCATTTTTATTTTAAACTTATGTGTGTTTGTTCACAAGACCAGTTGATGGCGCACTTTCATTATTTTTATATTGATTCAGGTTCACAAAGTAAGCCAGGTTGATACTTTGTTACTTTTACTTTGCACGCTAAGTAGGCCTGTTTGCAGTACCTGTTTGACAGTAACATAGCCTACATTTACTATTCTTAAGTAGCCTACACTTTTTGAGTATCTGTAGGCTACTTTACTTTTTGCTCTGATGTCAAACTCTCTGACAGTGTGATCTTTGTGATATTATTATTTTTGAATAAAAACACATCTGTATTAAAGAAAAAAATATTGATAAACACATAGGCTTATTTTAAATGGAATTAAATAAGTGTTCATTATATTTATTTTCATAAAAGCAACAAAACTTGAGTGCCGAAGTTATGACGTCACTTTGTAGGCCAAAACGCGGAAGTGAGTTAGCATTATAGCATTCCCTCGCCCTAAAGTCTATGGGTTTTTGAATGGGTTTTGCTAAATTGCCTGAAATAAAGTCTGTGGTTAACAAAGCCTCTAACATTATATGCTATAACACTATGCTATACAACATATTTGTATTATTATTAATGGTAAATAGCATATTCAAACATTCCCAAGATGTAGCCTACAGCAGTATTGTTTATTGTGCGTGCAAATTATATTTACGTTCTAAGACTTTGTGAAATTATTAGGTGAATTGTGGGCCGTGGCTGCAATAAAATGATAAGAAGCATGAAATTATTTCAAAGAGAAAGTCACGCTTGACTTCGCTGGAAACTTAGCGTGTTATGAATGCCAGTGACCACGAGTCCACGACACGGCGTAAAGAACCTCTGAATCTATTTATTTATTTATTTTTATTTTTTTAAACATTTAAGCAATACATAGGCTACAAACATATATAAAAGAAAAAATACACAAATAAGTTGCCAGGGTAACATAAAAACAAGAATGCAGTGCATTCACCTTAAGAGGACATAAAGGATGAATATAGATACAGTTTTCATTGCTTTGGGATTAACAGAACTTTGGATAGTTTTTGAATCAGTTAGTTATCTACTGAAACGGACTGTTCAAAAGAACCGAATCAAAATGAGTCGCACTTCCAATCACTACTGCTCCTGCCCTACTCATGCGCAGTGCTGTGCTCCGTGCGGCGTTCTGCTGAAGGGATGAGGAGGGCAGCAGTAGATTCAAGAACAACAGACCTAGATGCTGATGAGAGAAGAGCGGCACGAAAAGCGACGCATTTGTCAGAGAATGTTACGGCAAGAAAATGGTTTCCAGTCATTAACCCAGAGGGAAGGCGTCATTGTCTCATTGGCTACGTTCTTGTTTTTGACTTGAAGTAATTACTGCAGCTAATGCTGCAGATCCTGACGTTACAATGCCAGCGGGGCTGAATGCGCAAGGCAGCGGTATACCTATGTCTGATGCGATGGGTAAGTACAAGGTCAATGGCATTCAATGCGTCTGCAGAGCATCATTGTCTCTCGAAGCACAATCCATGTTTGTATTTTCGTTTAAATTTGATTAACGTTAGCTACGTTTATCCTAACTAGTAATTATTAGAACAGGCTTGCTCCACAGAGAAATAAGCATCCCGTAACCTACATTCCTTCCTACGTGTCTCGGATGTCCTCAAAGAATGTCGATATAGAACATGTATTGATAATGTTAATGAAAATATGCAAACATAATATTATTTGCATGTGACCTAGTTAAAATGCCTTTTGTTTAGTGATAGAAACCCTCATATTACTTCACATAGTACCTACATTTATCTGGGTTTCTGGGTGCCTTATTTTGCAGCTGTAGATACTAAGCGGTCATATACACTGATTGCTTTTCTTTGCATTACCCCGAAACAAACGTGCCTAAAATAAGAGAATGAGTAATAAAATGTTGCCTAAGGGAAGGGCGTGTTGTGCTGTGGCATCTTCCAACTCCATTGTCTTTTTCAGGATCATTTAAGAGGAGGAAAAGAAAGTCCATCATAGTAACAGTGATGCTCCTAATTGTCTCCATACTCATCCTGGTCTTTGGTCTGGCCGCTACCACCAGGACACAAAACATCACTGTTGGTGGCTACTATCCAGGAGTCATTGTAAGTACGTTGCTAATGTTCATAGCCGTACGCTGAACAGACTACAAACCATTCCTATTGGTCTATATATGGGTTTGTGATGTAAAGCACTGTGGGGAAGAAAAGGCCTCATTTTCAATTATTTTTCTGCTTGGCCCACCATAATGGTGACCGTTGGCCATTACCTGATTACTGTAAGGTTGAACTGAGTGAACTCATCCATTAATTGTTCAACAGCAAGTATCATTATGTTCTACACTCTTGGAGAAACATGCTTAAGTAATACTACACAATGTTTTGTACAAGTAACAGGTGTTTTCCTGGAATTCCACGGGTCAGGGACTGACTGTTTTGAAATGGCCAGATTGCATATAGCTCTTAACTTGGCCATTGACCACACCATAAAATTAACTACTGATTGGAGAAAGACAAAAAGCTTTCTGGCAATGGGAGATTGTATGTGGGAGCGTAATTAAGTGAGGTCATCTACCTTTAAAACTTTGAAATAGGTTCATATTTTACATAGACTTGCATTGTGACAGAGTTTTACCCTGTGATATTTTCAGCTCGGCTTCGGGTCCTTTCTGGGAATCATTGGTGCCCATTTGATCGAGAATAAGAGGCAGATGGTAAGGAGTCTTTCATTACTCTGCTCATATTGGATTCTGTGCTTGTGCATTCCATCATCCAATTGACATTTTTAACCAAATGCCCACAAAAACAACTTGTTTTAGTCATGTCATAATGGCAGAAAGGGCTCATGGTTTTGAGCTCAAATAGCAGGGCATGTTGCAGGCCTTGTGGTGAGATGCACCCAGAATAGCTCAGTGTAAGGGGAGCGGGATGGATGTCCAGGCAGGAATGTTCTGAAGCAAATGCAGTGCAGAGGGAATATGAGGTGCCACAATCCAAATAAAGAATGCATGAGGATGGCATGTCTGGCCATATCATAGACACAGGAACAATTATTGCTGGGAGAGTGCAGGATAAACACTCCATCCTTATAGTGGAAGTGGTTAAAGCATATATAACGTGGTCCAGAAGTATGAGAATTTGAAAACCTGAAGGAAAAGAAACAATCTTTAGTTTTTGTACATGGTGTTTCTGTACTATTTCTAGGTCACTAATCAAATAAGAAAATTTGTAGAATTGAGCATGTCAAATCATTTTCTACAGACGGTCAGATGTTCTTGTTTATTTTAAAGCACAAGATGCTCTTTGGATCATTCCTAGTTCTCATCATGCTGGAGAACTTGATAGTCAGGTTTTACCCAGACTTATAGAGTTCATGCTGCTGTCGTTAAAGCAAAAGGAAGACAAACCAAATACTAAGACATTATGAAACGTCTGATCATTTTTTATTAAACGTTTTTCACTCATATTGTTACGAGGATAACATAAATTTTATAATTCGAACATAAAAAATCTCTTCATGCTCACAAAGCTGAATTTATTTTAACATTATTAGAATTTTAAAATAACTCTTTTCTATTTCATAAAGCTTTAAAATGTAATCTATTCCTGTGATGGCAAAGCTAAGTTTTCAGAATCATTACTCCAGTCTTCAGAGTCACATGATCCTTCAGAAATCATTCTAATATGCCTATTTGATGCTCATGAAACATTTCTTATTATTATTATTGATTTTGAAAACAATTGTACTGCTTAATATTTTTGTTTAAATGCAATTTTGCAAGGTTTTTTCTAGGAGAGAATTCATTATTTTAAGATGGATTGATTTATATTAGATAATATCGAGAATAACGCTCAAAATGGTGTTATTTATTGATCAGATATGGGCAATTAAATGTGTCAAGTTGTCAAGTCCTAGACCAATGCTACTTTTGCGTCCTTGAAGGGTAAGGCTGACTTTTGGGGGAAAACAAACGGATTCCCCTGAGAACAGAACTCGCTCTAGATCTGCAAAGTTTCTTGATTGCAAAAATGGCACAAAGTTAAAAAGCTATTGGATACAGGGTTACAGAGGTGTCCCTTTGAAATGGTTGAAAACTGGATTAATGACCCCACGGCCCACGCAGTGGCCAAATATGGACTATTCAGACATCTAACGTTACCATTATTTTGTGGAATCACCAAGTAGCCTATTTTTATTTTTATTTTATTTTTTGTCTTTAACACACCCACAGTATGACAAACTAGACGATGAGGCCAAATACAGGGAACAAAGGTCAAGTCAAGGTAGAGGTCAAGGAAAAAAAATTATTATTTTTTTTTTTTTGGGAGAAACAGTGACCTTGTCCAGTACGGGTAGGCTACTGTCTGTGGGTTCATTGTGCAAAAACAATTTGATTTGTGCTATTACTTTCCCCTTATTCTAACCTACTGTAATGCAATTATCTAACAATACTGTATTATATGCTGTTGAATACATTTGGTTCAGCTGTAATAAATTGCATTTCAAATATATCGATTCCTGTAATAATAATTCTTTATTAATGTTCTGTGATATTTATAAATCAGGATGCCTTTTTGGTTCGAATTCTTTGAAACATCATGGTATCACCTGGTCTCCACTGTTTATTGTCGCAGCTCTTTACAATACAGCTAACACCCATGATTGTAAACCTTGCTTTTACTATCAAGTAATTGCTAACTCTATTACTCCAACTCTGAACGAACTCTCTGCTCCTCACCACAGTGCGTCTCAGGTGTTGCGGTAATCACTCCGCCCAAGTAGCAGTGCTTTGCCTTCTGAGAATATAGTTCCTAATATTTATATGATTAAAAGATGGCTGTGTCTCATATGACCTTGTTATTTGTACATTATTTGACTATACAAATCACAACATGTAAATAGGAAAATGTTTGCCTTATTTTGTCACTTATTGGGATTAGTATGCTAGCTGGAGGCATTTACATCCAGTCTTTGTGCTAAGTTAGGCCAGTGGTGGGTGGGTGCGTCAGACATGGAGACGAAAAAGGTATGTATGGACTTATCTAACTCTGGGGGATACGGTGAATAAGCTAAAGTCCCAAAACGTCGGCGTGTTCATTTAAATACTGCTCACGGTCCTCGGCCGGCAAAGAGAGTGTGTAGGTTTATGCCATTTTTGCTATCAAGAAACTTAGCAGTTAGCAGATCTAGAGCGAGTTCTGTTCTCAGGGGAATCCGTTTGTTTTCCCCCCAAAAGAGGCATTACCCTTCGATGCCTCTGCAAAGTGCTTTAGATTATAGGCAGAATGGTGTGACTGGTACCTAAATGTCTGTTTGTGAAAAGGCAGATAAATCAGTGAAGTTAAATGTGGCACTAAGGAAAAATCCAAGCCGACCTGACCCTCTCCTTGTCCCATAATATACACATCTACAAGATCTTAGACAAATCACTTAAATATGTATCTACAGTATAAGGAAATCGTAGATAGTAGTGCCCGGGTGTGAATGCAGGTGCATTGAGCTACTACAGCAGGTGAATAGGTTGACATTGCTGGTCTGCTTACAGCTGGTGGCCTCCATTGTCTTCATCAGCTTCGGTGTGGTGGCAGCCTTCTGTTGTGCTATAGTGGATGGCGTTTTTGCTGCAAGACATATAGTAAGTGCTTCCACACCATTTTATTGTAAAATGCATTTCTTCAGATAAACATTGCAGTGAAAGCTCTGTCATGGCATACTGATATTGTTGTTTCAAAGGACCTCAGACCTGTATATGCTGGCCGATGTGAATATTACTCCAGTGGGACTGCGTTTGATTTAGATGTGAGTCGCCAACCTGAGAGAAGTGCTTTCACCAACTTACAAGCATCTGAATGAGGGTTATGTACTAGTATAGTGGGATCCGATTTAGAAAACACATCTGTCTTGCAGGTCCACTGTCAAACTGCATCTCGGGTCTCCTGTAACCTGCGTGTGAAGAGCAACACCTGCTACTGCTGCGACCTTTACAACTGTGGCAAGTATGTGTGTGTGACCGAGTCCAATTTGGATACATCCCTCCTAGAAAATTTTCTCCCAACAAGCGGGTTTATTAAAAAACAACAACTGCTTTGTTTTACTTGGTTAAGTTCTGGTTTATATTTGCTTGTATGGTGTGTGCTTCTATCCCTGATATTCAGCTCTGTTCGAAAGAACATTTGTGTTTATTTATGTTTCAGAGAGCATCCTCTTATGGGACTTCAGAATAAAGATGTTTTGAAAAAATTTAGGAAATCCTCCATGATTTGGAAGTAGGTCTTTCCACTTTTAGCCCCTCAATGATATTGACAGCCCATTATTTGTTGTTGTTAAAGTACTCAGTGTGGCTGCATACAGTCGCTGTACTTCAGGGACGGACTGGGACTAAAAAATGGCTCTGGACTTTGACTAGGCCCGGCCCAAAGCAATCGGGGCGCAGAAACTCAACAACAATAACGCCAGCCGGCTGGCATGAGTTTCACAAGACTTTAATTGTGGCTCATGATACTACAGTATGCCATCCAAATTATAGCTAACAGCATATTATATCTATTCCATGCTGTCTTAAAATGAATGTATTACTTAATAATCTTAATTAATTTATGCAGTATTAATCTTAGCTACTGCACAAATAATAATACCACATCTAAATGAATACATTGGCTACACCATAACCAATGTAACCTCTGTATTTAAAATCTTCAAAGTTTGTAAGCATTAACTGTAACGTCACCAACATTTTTTAAAGCAAAAGCACAAAATATTGCTTAATACTAGCTACTGCATGTGGCATTTTACAGCTAAAATGTTGAAATTTAGCTGTTTTAACGACAGTAATCATAAAAAATATAGCAAGCTGAATATCACTTACATCCAAGTAACTTGCAAAGTAATTTCTGATTAATTCGGTTTGGGAGTAGTAGAGATAAAAGCCCGCCCGCACTGACAATTGATTGGTTGGGTCCTTACATGCGCTTCGTGAGGCACGCGCTCGCTCGTTCCCTCTCTCTGCTCTTGCTCGCTCTAGATTCTGTGAGATTTTAACTGATTTGAGGGCATCAGGGAGCCGCTAACATTCAAATAACATCCCGGAGACTTGAGGTGTCTGTGACTGCGTGTGTGGCGGGTGGTGGGCCGGCCCGCCGAGCTGGTTCTCACTGCGGAACATGAAATCCACGGGGAGGAGTCAGATCCAGATCCAACTCCTCCCACCTTATATACACCTAAACCTACCCAACTCCGCCCCTTATCTCTAATCCCAACCCTTGATCCGACTCCTCCCATTGGATCTCATGTACTGCATTGAGGTGCTACTGGGCCCGCCGGCCGTCCTGGATCACACAGATGGCCAGTCCGCCCCTGAGTACAGTTACTTTACTGATGAAATGAAAGGAACTAAGATTCAGTGTTCTCTGGTTCCTGTTTCACAGGTGAGGAGAGACAGCAATACTTTAGGTTTACATGTAAAGAGTCTTTGATGACAGTGAGCTTAAATAAGAAGATTGGATATATTTATCCATTTCATGCTCTTCTTAAGAGTGATGTGCACTGGTATGCAGATGGTTTTGTTCTATTCTTTTGCATGAGTGTCTGTTCAGTCATGCTTTACCTCTTTTGTTGCTCTGCCTCTCACCAAGTATGTGTCTTATTTATTTCATGAATGTCTTGTTATAAAATGTTCCTTCTCCTCACCATCTCAGTCGAGTGGAACTGCGAGGAGGGTACCATGAGTACACAGAGGTGCGGAGCTGCCAGGATGTTGTGCACCTTTACCACCTGCTGTGGTCTGCTACTATCCTCAACATCGTAGCTCTGTTTCTGGGCATCATCACCGCCGCAGTGCTGGGTGGCTTCAAGGATATGGTGAGATTGAAATGAAGTGCAAACAATTATATACTCTATGTTGTCAAAAGTATTGGAACACAAATCTTAATTATTATGGGTTTCCGTTGGTGATGGGCAGGTGGTCTCATAACCTGGACCCGCGGACCCGTGTTGGGGCGGCAAAGAAATTGTCACTTTATTTGCGGGGCTGGTTATTAAAGAATTAGTTCACTTTTAAAAAAAACTTTTGCTGATAATTTACTCACCCCATGTCATTTAAGATGTCCATCCATGTCTTTCTTTCTTCAGTCGAAAAGAAATTGAAAACAGGATTTTCCTCCATATAATGGACTTCAATGGGAACCAACAGTTTCAAGGTCCAAATGACAGTTTCATTGCAGCTTCAAAGGGCTTTAAATGCTACCAGACGATGAATAAGGGTCTTATCTAGTGTAACAATCAGTCATTTAAAAATAAATAAAAAAGTTTAAGTTTTATAAGCACAAATGCTCGCCTCGCTCTGTTCTGTGATGCGCGTTCGTGACTCTCCTGTTCAAACTCAATTTTTTTTGTTGAATGAACGAAATAACTCGAAAAAAGATTTGCTCATTTTGATGAACGAGTTCGAACAGGAGAGTCAAATCGTACCCAAAAACAATAGAGCTATTTTCTAATGCTTTTGTGTAGCTTGACTAACAACACAGAACGCGCTTGATTCCTGCCATATTAAATATATTATAAATTCTTTTTCCATGTTAGAAATATAATGTGTGGCGAGAGTGCGTGACAAAAGACCGAAATGAGTGACTGTCATACTCAATGCATGACACTTGAGAGCCTTGGGTGTGTGTGTGACATGTTCACTGATTAAGTCTCTCTCAGTTAAATGTAGTAGAGAGAGAGAGAGAGAGAGAGAGCACACGCAAGATATGAGTAGCCTATTGCAGATTTGGTGAGGGCCCATTCACTGAACCTTTTCAGGGGCCCAGTCCTTTCCGAATGAAGGTAAATCTTATTGCTTCGGTATACCAAGACTTTTTGCACAATGCTATTCTTCCAGCTTTGTGGGAAGGCTCTTGTTTACCCCAGCATGACTGTGCCCCAATCCATAAAGCTTGGTCCATGAAAACATGTTTGGAGTTTGTGGAATAACTTGATTGGCCTGAACAGAGAGCCCTGAACTTAACCCCATCCAACACCTTTGGGTTGAACTGGAATGGAGATTGCAAGCTAGGCCTTCCCATCCAACATCAGTACCTTACCTCACAAATGCTCTACTGGATGAATATGCTAAACATTTCTACAGAAACACTCGAAATGTGGAAAGCCTTCCCAGTAGAGTGAAGGCTGTTATAGCTGCAAAGGGGATGTTGGTGTCCCTGTTGGTGTAATGATCAGGTGTCCCAATACTTTTGTCCATATAGTATAGCATTTTGAAGGATTTCTATGAACCTGTGACATTCCTTGACCCTCTGTTTTGCCCCTTTTGAAGATGCCAACAGCAGCCCCAGATTCCTGTGAGCCAGAACCTCTCCCTATTCCTCCACCCCGAGAGAATCCTGGCCCCACCACATCCATCAACTCTTTTTACAACACTGCCCCCCGCTTACCTCCATACACTGCCTATGACCTTCAGGTAAATGCATTCACTTTGAACTGTCAGCCAGTACAGTCGTGCTCAAAATGAATGGCAACCCTGGTAAATATGATCAAAACTGGCTGTGTAAAAAATAAATCTGCATCATTTATCCTTTTTATCTTTCATTAAAAAAATGCCAAAAATCCAACCTTTTATTGAAGACAAAGAATTGAAAGTGGTGAGAAATCACATTGTAAAATAAATGTTATTCTGCAAAAACATGTTGGCCACAATTATTGGCACCCCTAGAATTTTTTATTATGAGTAAAATATCTTGAAAGTATAATCCCATTTATATTTACCTTTTTTTAGCACACCAGGGTGACTAGGTAGATGAAATTGTTCAGCCATGACTTCTTGTTTCACAGGAGTTTAAATACGAGGAAACAAGAAGGCCAAATCCCCTTAATCATCAATCACAACGAGTAAAACCAAAGAGTATAGTTCTGATGTGCTGCAAAAGATTGTTGAACTTTACAAAATAGAAAGTGGCTAGAAGAAAACAGCTAAAGAATTGAAAATCCCCATTTTGGCCATCAGGGTATTATGAACTTCCAATCAACTAAAGATGTTACGAATCTGCCAGGAAGAGGATGTGTCTCGATATTGTCTTAATGCTTGGTGAGGAGGAAAGTTTGAGTGGCCAAAGACTCTTCAGGGATCACAGATGGAGAATTGCAGAGATTATTTGAGTCTTGGGGGTCAGAAAGCCTAAAAAAAAAAATCAAACATCCCCTACGTCTACGGGAAGGTTTCAAGAAAAATTCACTGCTTTCATCCAAGAGCAAAATCTAGCAAATATAGTTCCCTGACCTGATGAATCTGATGGATCTGGAGAGATTCTGTATGGAGGAATGGTCTCTGATCTCTTGTCAGGTGTTCTCCAAACTCATCAGGCATTATAGGAGAAAACTCAGAGCTGTTATCTTGGCAAAAGGAGTTTGAAAAAAGTATTTAATAAAAGGGTGCCAATAATTGTAGCCAACATGTTTTAGAGAAAAACATTTATTTCATAATGTGATTTTTCCCTCCATATTTTACTTCAATGAAAGGTTGGATTTTTGGCAATTTTTTAAATGATAGATCAAAAGGACAGTTTTACAGCCAGTTTTGATCATATTTACCTGTGTATATATATATATCACATTTAATTTATTATGCCTGTCAGTTATCAAGTTTACTTCGTGAACTTAGTGCAATTAAATATTTTTACATTTTTAAATAATTTTATGCAAATAAACAATATATATAATATTTATTAAAGGTTTTTTTTTTTCAAATATGAAAAAAATAAATAAATAAAATACTTTACTCACCCTCATGTCGTTCCAAACCCATAAGACTTTAGTTCATCTTTGGAAACACATAGATGTTTATGATTAAAATCTGAGAGCTTTCTCCCTCCGTTGACAGCTACACAACTACCAGTTTGACTCTTCAAAAAGAGTTCATAAAGAGATCGTAAAACTAATTCATATTATGAAGTTTGGTTAAGTCCCAATTTTCTGAAAAGGCTGTATCGTTTTTTACAGTTGACTGAGAGCCTCATAGATGTCATCTGCTAATGTTTCTTTACAGGGTGCCAGCTTGTTTCCTGACTCTTCAGGTCTGTCTGATGATTCCCAGTCTGGAGCCAGTCACATATGGCCAAATATGATCCCACCTCGTTATTCTCCTCCTTATTACCCACCTGATGAGAAGCCCCCGCCATACAGCCCCTAAGGGACCAGTCTGAGGAAGACTTTTTTCCTGCCATGAGAGAACTGGCATTGGGTATTTTTGGATATTAGTGTACCACCTCATTGAACAATAATTGTTCTGAATGAACAACCTTTGCAGAAGAGGCTCACCTGTGCGGCAGGTTAAGTATAGAGAGACTACAGCGTTAACCACAGGCATTCAGCACCAAACAGCAAAAGTAATATGCAACATCAAACCCATACCAGATTTGCTCAAGTCAACAAACCTGATGTGTAAAATATTCATGTTATATAGCCTCAATCCAGGAGGACTATAACAACTAGCCTGACTATGAGATCAAGACTGTTCACAGATAAGCCTTAAAATGTGTGTCCACTTCCGGTACAGCTTCACCTGGTTCGCAGCCTCTTAATCTTATAGATAACCTCTGTGGGTCTCCTACATGTGATTCCTCTGAGTAAGTCCATAATGTGAACTCCTCCCTTCCAAAGTGTCCCAAGGTGTTTTGCCTCGCCTCTGCTCCCTCAGCACGAGGACGAGTCTCGTATCTTATCTTGCAATTGATTTGCACTCTATTGTCTTCAGAATTGACACAGTTCTACGTAATTACTTGAGTTATTTGTAACTGTTTCGGGCAGCTAGATTGTAAAGAAAATATTTTTAGGCTGAATCTTACTTTTTTTGTCCTGAGTGCTTCATTAGGATCAAAGATCTAACCTGTAATATGTGCTATTTCTTTTGCATTACGTCAAGCACACAATCATATCACGAATTCAAATAATATTTCATGACAAAAAATATCCTTTAATAAGCTCTTACAAGAATGGGTGGACTTTCAAAACCTGTACTTCTCACATTCATCTGCCACTTTTGTGCTGCCGTCATTTCGGTCTAGAAATGACAGGACTTACCAAATGTAAAAAAGAAGTAACTATTGTATAAATGTACATGGGTCTAACCTAAAAAATCTCTCCACATTGCAAATATGATATCAGTGTGTGTATGTGTGTGCAATGCTGTACATAAACCGAACAACCGAACCGCCTTCTCGAAATTGAGTCTTAAGACTAATAGGGTTCTCCTTTTCATCCGTTTGTGTTCACTGTGAGTGTCAATTCAATACATTGTACTTTATGTGCTTGATTTATATCCATAACTTTGTCCTTTATTGAAGTGAATAGAGATATTACAACAAACTCAACTATTTCATGACTTCCTGGTTGATGTGTAAGTGCAACTGGTGATTATTCTACAGCCACATGCTATAAAGTAAGATCTTTGCCTCGATTGTTCATGTTACATGAAAGCATCGTTTACCTTTGATGTTAAAATCTTAAAATGTAAGACTGATAGTTCTTTTTTTTTGCTTCTTATCACACATGCATTTCCAAATGTGTGACCATTGAATCCATTTTATCCCGCATCATGAGGAACCTGCACATTACAGATTATAATCATGAACTAGTGCTTTATGATCGTCGATAAGATCCACTCTGATATAATAGAGAGGCAGGAATGCTTTTATCAGTGACTGGAGGTTATCATACTGGAAAATACTAACCAATTCCATGATGCTCTTATAAATAAAAGAAATACATGTGTATGTTCTTCAAAGTTTTATTTCATTCTATCACACTAAAACCTAATAATAAATAGTTTACAAAAGAGAAGAAATTGTTAAAATGAAGGCCTTTAGTACTATTATGTACAATACATGACTATGTTAGAGCACTAGATCTGACTGGAAGAATCTCATTCTTCTCACAGCCCACAAAGCTAAAAAATTATAAAACTATGCTGAAAAAATAATTGTAAAAATTATATATATATGTATATACAAAATATTAAACTGAAAAAGAGTGGTCCTTTGTATTACCAACATTACCCTTTATACTCTGGACATTTCAGTATCTTGTTTCTCTAGACATGCCCTGATGAGGGATGAATATTTCTCTTCAGGTCCCAATGTTCATAATGTAGCCTAATATAAATAAACAACCTCGAAACATAATTAATGGACAGATGACATAAACATTTTATATATTTACTCCATCCTTCTTAAAAACTGCTGACAATCAACAAAAACTTTAAATACAAACATTCAAACCATTTTTTACTGCAGGACCAGAACCTGCCATTAACACTGATCTATCTACTAACGAACAATTATATAAAAACTACAATAATAAGCCAACAAGAAAATTAAAACGATGTTAGCGTCTCTTTCAAATGAAACTGAAAATGAAAGGAATAATTGGATACACTTTATTTTAAGGTGACATTGTACTAACTCAAATAAGTACTGAGTAATATGAGTTAGGGCTTGGTTTGGGGTTATTTACTTGAAATTATGCATTAATACTGTTATTACTATAGTAAGTACATGTAGTAACAGGCAACTTCGTCACCTTCAAATAAAGTGTTACCGAATAATTTAGTGATGATGATTTCGCTGTTACATTTGACTTTGGAATTATGATTTATGTAACACTCCCCAAAAGCATTTACACATTATAGTTGCATAACTGTAATAAAATAATAACTGTACTTGAACCCTACCAATTACATCCAAAATGGTTGTACTGTCCAGAACATAAAAGGGAACAGGTAAGCTCTACAAAGATCTAATGTAGCTGTACATAAAATATGTATTATCTACTTTGTCATATTATCACGAGGAATTATTACGATTCATTCAATGATGGACTGTGAAACTGAACTGTAATCCAGTGCTAAGTAACAAATTATTCTAAGTTTACATTAAACCACCTTGAAACCATTTTAAGTTAATGGATATTGAAGTTAAGTTTCCAGAGAACCTTAAATTTAAACACGAACAAATGAACAAGGCACCAAAGCAAGAGGAGTGAACAAGCATGCTCAGTACGTCTCCGGTATAACAAACTCAAATTCGTTCGTTTCGGCATTTATTTGGTCGACAGGCCGTGGTCCTGGTCGAACGTGAGCCATTGGCCTGTTTTGTGCTTCCGATTCTACAAAGATGTCATCCCAGCTCAGTGCTTTGCTTTGGCTAGATGGAAGTGGCTGGTTGGTAAAGTGCTCTTTGTCGGGGTTTACATGTTGCACAATCCCATCTTCATTGATCACCGGAATCCCCCCCGACTCGTCGGACACAAAGGAATATGGTTTGAACTGCAACGTTTTACAAGGCAGCAGACGATACAAGTTGTTGCAAGAGTCATCTTTCTCTTTCCTTCCCGAAGGATCTTGGTTGTGCATTTGCTTGCAGTGGGTGGACAAAATCTGATAATTGAGAAACATTTCACTGCACAGTAAACACTGGTATCGTCTTTCGCCTGTGTGCGTGATTTCATGTTTGGTTCTGTACTCGGCCAGGGCAAAAACCTTGCTGCAGTAATGGCACGGATACTTTCGTTCCCACGAGTGAGTGTTGAAGTGCCGCCTGAGGCTCGTCAGGCACACATAGGGACGCTTGCACACAATGCACACGTAAAAGGTCTTTCCATCCATGATAAGTTCATAGTGATCCTCCTGATCCAGCTTTGATTTTTTCTTTCTTTGAGGCGAGTTATTGGTCATGTCGGGAGAATCGAGTGGCATTTGCGATTTCCTACCAGGAGCCACTCCCTCCCCGGCATCCTCTTTTACTGGAACGATGTCGTAGGTGTTTTCACCAATGTTGGCATATACTTTGCAACCAGGCGATAGCGAATCGATTTCCGAGGCTTTGTCTAACGTTATGGTCTTTTTCACGGACACTGCTGGGACCATGTTTATTGCAGGGTTTGGTCCATTATTGGTGCTATACGTCGGCCTTACATCCGACAGTCTGATTTTTCCGGGATGATCGGGCGATAGCTCTAGAAGGACCTTTTTCTTTTGGACACCAAGTATTTCATGGTTGTCCAGAGGCAGCGAGGTGCTATGAGCGTCTGAAGAGAGGCTGTTGACGCAAGACGGGGTTGTGGGCTCACTGTGTGAGCTCGTTTTTACTGGTGAAGTGAGAATACTGCTACTGGTTTGTGGATTCGAGAGGAGGATGACATCTGGTTGGGGCTCGAGGTTATTTTGAAGAGATTTATTTGTTTCAGAAGGAAGCTTGTCATTACCAACTTGGGCTGTTGAATCTTTAGAGGCAATTCCTTCCTCGTTTGTGTTTTTTTGTTTTTTAGCCTCTGGTCCTTCTTGCGTGTCATTAATATCTGATATCTTGGACTTTTGAGCTTGTGGGGCCTCTGTTTTTGAGACAAAAAGAACATCATCGTCTGAGTCTATTTCCTTTTCTGCATTACCACCTGCCATGTTGAACTCTTCAGCAGACAGTGAGAAAGTCTCAGTAATAATTGGCATATTCTCAGCTCCAGTGTCATTTTTCTCAGAGGAATTGACACAGTTGTTGTCACTTTCTTTAGACAGGCCGGGTAATCCCTTGACTTGTGCGAGAGGCGTTCCTAAATTGGCTATGAACGTCACGCCTAAAATTTTACCAGAGTTGATGAGATCCTCAAGTCTGTCAGATCGAACCCTGTAGATTTTTGCAGTGTACATGTAGTTCAAAATAATATCGAATATGTCTGCCTTGATGAAGTTCAGCTCTACAACTGTTCCAGCAACGGAGAGAACTTGACGGAAATAGGTACTCGAGGCAGATAGCACACATTTGTGTGCCTTGAACTTGCGGTCTTGCACGATTATGGTGATGTCACAGAATAAACCACTGTGTCGCTCATCATTGATGGACTTCAACAGTGATGCTGGATACTGAGTGTCCGCTGCAGATATTAGCTTTAGTTTCGACATGCCTGTGAGGAAAAGGGTATAATACAATTAAATGTAAAATTTTGAAAAGATAAGCATTAATAACAAATTAAATATATTATAAAACATTTTCAAATGTAATCAAATTAAATATGCAACGCGTTCTACATAGTGCTTTCAATTATGCAACTCTCATGACACATCTCAGCTGCCTGGCAATGGAAAATAAATCATACTTTAATTATTTCTCAGATTGTTATGTCGTTATATACATAATTTAAAAGTTCGACAGAACTATATTTTGTTTATAAAATCACGGCAGCATAATGTGGAAGCTGCAAAAGCACGAATCGAAAGCACGCTAGCTGGCTAATTGTACAGCAACAAAAGACGAGCATAAAGACATGCGGCTTGAAAAGTAATATGAAACTAATGCTTTTGGCTAGTTTGGCGTCATTAAACTAAATATTATTCCCATGAGCCCAAAGCTTTTGATGATAGAACTAGTGGGACACCGGTGGGCATCGGTCAGTTTGAAAACAAAAACAAATGGCTCAATTCAACCCTCCTTCCTGGTTTGGCGGCAGCGCGCGGCCTATCTGTCTATATGATGCAGAACAACGCGTATGTGGCTAAAATAAGATGAATTATAGTTGTAATCACCCACAATCTCGAGATTAAATTCTCAAAACCATATACCTGCAAATCGACCAGTTAAAATCCACGATTCCCTTTAATGAAACACAACAATGACAGAGTCGGTTGCCGTGGACAACACAACGGAGCTAGAGTTCCTTGTGTGGGACTGTGAGATGAACGAGTCTCGCGCTATCGCCTCAACCAGCCGACAGGAGTCGCGCGCGACACGACAGTCAGCCACAACAGACGCGTGATGAATGTTAATGAGACAAGGAAGGCAAGAAGATTTACTTTTATTTACCTTACTGTCTATGGTATTTACACGTACAAATACACAAATGCACATTTTTTTCCGTATTTGAAAAGGTTTCCATATATTTCATTTATTTTTAGGTTAGTGTAATACACGTTTTTTACTAGTCTCATTTTGTAGATAAAATAATCAAGTGTTTATGTTTTCGGTTTTCAGTCTACTATATAAAATAATCATATTCATTTTATATTAATATTTGATAATAAAAAATTTATAACTGAAAGTTAATAAGTGCTTTATTGACAATAAAGTATAGCCTACAATAGGCTTACATGGTGTATAAAAGTTTTGTTTTGAGTTGTTGCCGCAGGCTATAGATTATAGGGAATAGCCTAATCATTAGGTTTTGTTTTGGTTTCAAAAACCTTGTTCTTATATTAAATAAAATTCATAGTGAATAGAATAGAACAGCATAGATACATTTTCAGACACTGCTGTCAGGTACTTAAAAATTTCAATTTTGAATAAAAATATGGAGAACACGCAATCTGTTCATTTTTCACGATATAAATATTTTTTATATAGCAAAGCCTCCATCCTGTCAAATACACTATAAGGTAACCCAGATACACCTGTCATAGTACTAATACTTGCGAGGACAAATTATTAAATCAACATGCATTTCCCAGTGGGATTAAAAGGGGAATCCAAAACAGAGATTGTAGTGCCATTTTGTCCAGATGCGCAAATTCCAGGTCTCCAGGGGGCGATATTGCGTGAGTCTTCTCACAATTCTTCATGAAAGAAGAATTTAGCGTAACGGAAACGTAAACACAAGCAGCAACGACGCTATTTTGGTTCCATGGCCTGCGTTTAAGTTGTTTACAGGTTCCGTGGTGAGTCTCAACACGAAAATTGTCTCAGTAACGTTAGTTAAATAACTTGAAATCGTAGTTCGCTTATCTATCTACGTTAGCTAGAATAGCTTTGCTAGTTCATGGTGAACTGCGACATTACAACAACATGTAATTGACACGTTTTGACCCCAAAATTATATAAGAAAGCAAAACTTAAATTAACACGTTAAAGTTAATAAGACAGATTATAGTAATGCCCGAGCTGGACGTAAAATATTCAGGCCCCGTGAGCCCGAAGAGACGCCGAGGCAGCCGCTCACCGGAGAACCGAGGACTGAAGAACCACAGAAACGACTACGAAGACGAACACAAATCGCGATACATCGATAAAGACAGGAACAAAACCCGGTTTCGATTTGGCGGTTCTCGCAGTCGGTCGAGGTCACGGGAAAGAGATCGGATAAATTGGTCAGATCAGAGAGACAGAGAACACGGTGTTGGATCAAGATCCGATTACTATGAGAAGAGAGATGATGCCCAACGACAGAGACAAGACGCCTTCATCGCAAGGTTAGACGCATTGTTCTCTACAATTGTGCAAGACATTTTTTGTAGTAACATTAAAAGGCGGTGGCATTTATTCTCCTTCTGTTTTCTCTATCAAGGCGTCTGCAGGAACGCGAGAGAATTGGTGAACTGGGATGTCCTGAAGTCTGGGGATATTCTCCAAGAGTCAGAGAACCTGAGTAAGTACATATTGAATACCACATAGTGTCCTTACTCACTGTCTATACTGTTCATTATGCATTAAGCATTATATAGGTGTCAATCAATCTGCACTTCATTATCACCAAGCTGTCATCATATATTTAAAACCTTTTTACAATAGCAAGATTTAGTTTAAACCCTAAAATAGTGTATTCACAGTAATATTCGTCATATACTCCATGTGCTTCCATATTGCCATCTGATCTCTTGTAATAGCTCAGACGAACACACTCCTGTAGAAGAGGACGTGAAGAACAGCAGCTCTGATTCCAGTTCAGAGGGTAAATGATTCTTTAAAATCTCAATGCTTTTTTGCATTATAGCATATTTACTGAACGTGACATGGAAGTTGCTGAATAAACAATCGAAATGACTGATTTCATTGATTTCATGCCCACAGAGGAAAAGAAGAAAAAGAAAAAAAAGAAGAAGAAGAAATCAAAGAAGAGGAAAAACAGGAAGCACTCAGAGGACAGCGAGTCAGAAAGTGATTCGGAAGGTTTGGGGCTTACATTTTTATTCTAAAATGTCTTGTTCTTGTGATATGTAAGATTAAATGAAATATTTTCTTGCTTGTTTTGCAGAAGAGATGAAAAAGAAGAAAAAAAAGAAGAAAAGTAAAAAGTAAGAATTGTGTTTTCATTTGTAGTAAGTGTACTGAATCAGCATTTTTATACAGTGGTATGATTTTGTCCTCACAGGAAGAAGTCAAAGAAGAAGAAGGCGAAGAAGAATCACAAAGAGTCCAGTAGCTCTAGCAGTGAACATTCAGCGGAGGAAGAAGAAGAGGATGTCAATGAAATCTCATGGGTGGAGAAGACTGGTGTTGGAGAAAATGTTGTTGGACCTGAAGCCCCTCTCACTCACCTGTCCCAAGATGATAAGCCTTTAGAGTAAGCATTTGATTCCTCCTTCACTTTGTTGCTTAATTATAACAGTCGCTGTTTTCATATCATGTTTGATCCTGAATGTTTCTGCCCTATCATTTTTTCCATAGTTTTGGCCACGCTTTGCTACCAGGTGAAGGTGCTGCCATGGCAGAGTTTGTCAAAGCAGGAAAACGTATTCCGAGAAGAGGTGAAATCGGCTTGACTAGTGATGAGATTGCGGAGTTTGAAAAATCTGGCTTTGTCATGAGTGGAAGCAGGTATGAAACTTTTATATTTACATAGATCCGTATTTTGAAAGAAAATAAAGGGGTGGTTTACTGCTTTTTTTCTTTGCATGATTGGGGGTGCAGTATAACATGTCTTACACCAAAAGACCAAATTAAACTACACCAAATCATCATATTAGACTAATTTCTGAAGCATCATGTGACACTGAAGACTGTGTCTGAGTAATGATGCTGAAAACTCAGCTTTGCCTTTACAGGAATAAAGTATATTTTAAAATATATTACAATAGAAAACAGGTATTTTAAATTGTTAAAATATTTCACAATAATACTGTTGATATCAAATAAATGTAATAAAACTTAACTTAATTACCGACCCCAAACTTTTGATTGGTAGTTTACTTTCATATGCTATTATTCCCTCAGACATCGTCGTATGGAGGCTGTGCGTCTGAGAAAGGAAAACCAGATTTATAGTGCTGATGAGAAGAGAGCGCTGGCATCCTTTAACCAAGAAGAAAGGAGAAAGAGGGAGAGCAAAATCCTTTCAAGCTTCAGAGAAATGGTGTACAGAAAAACTAAAGGCAAAGATGAGAAGTAGACTGTCCTGCAGAATTATATTTTCAGTTTGTTCGTCTTTATTTTTCTTTTTAAACTTAAAAAAATGATTAAGACAGATTTTACTGAAATAATATTTCCTCTGCTTGGACATCCTCCTGTGCAATACACAGTGAGAGGCTTGTGAACTAATATTGTTGTGTAAAATTATTTTTAATTACGAGTAAGGAATAAATTGTGACCAGTAGAACTCAAATGATTACCCACTGCAAAACCCTTAATGTGATGTGTTTTTTGCATCTAAATAAACAGAATGGTCACGTTATTCACTGTCATGTTGGAACTTTCATTAACTATGAGAATGAACTTTTTTTAGTAATAAATAACCCCGTTTTAACCTTGTGAGGTTGATACTATAGTCTTTGTTTATAAGATCTGTCCTTAGAATATCTAATTGCAAGAACTTTCAACAATATTCATTTTCTTAAGAATTATTTCATTTAAGTTGAGTTTATGTAGTGCATTTAGAGTATTATTAACCAGTAACCACCCATATAAACATATTACATGGCAGCATAGGAAGTATATACTATCAGAGGTCAGGTGGACAAAGTACACAACTTCATTACTTGAGTAAAAGTACAGATACTGGTCAAATATTACTCTGTTACAAGTAAAAGTTGTAAAGACCGATTTTAAAATTACATAAGTACTTGTTTTTAAAGTAGGCCTACTTAAGTATCAAAAGGAAATGTCAATGTATTGTTTTTTATTGTTGCATGTACTTACAAAACCTTATGCCTCTGAATCTATGCCTGCCTATCTAACCTCATATCAATAGTAAATGTATTTCTAGAACACAGTTCCAGTAGTGGGATTTAATGTGAGATTGAATAAGTGTACTCCGTAACGTCCACAATGTTTTTGGAGACCCAAATGGCTTTTCCCAAATAGTGCAAACTATAAAATTCATTACAGTTTTTTGGCTTTTTAGTATGAATATGTTAGCCTAACTGTTAAATATAAGCTGTGTGCTCCAAAACAATGACAAAATTTGCATTTAGAAGACCAAACCCAAAGTTGAAAATGAAAATCAGGTTGATGTAAGAATCCAACATTAGTTGAGTTCTGATGCCAATCCAACTTTCATTTCCAACCAAAATGCAACCAAAATCATGGCTGACGTTACTACTTTCTATTCAAGGACCTTGACAGAATATTGTAGTGGAGTAAAAAGTACGATATTTGTCTTTCAAATGTAGTGAAGTTAAAAAGTTTCCAGAATAAATAATACTCATTTTAAGTACAGATACTCAAAAAGTGTACTTGAGTACAGTACTCAAGTAAATGTACTTTGTTACTGTCGACTCTCTGTATACTCTATAACTATAAAATTCTGGATTTTTACATTCAAGAACAGTAAATGTCCATGTAATGAAAGTCAAAGCTCTTATTATTATTTGACCACTGATTTTCTATAACTCATGGGAGCTACTGGATAAGGATTTTTAAAAATGTATCTAAGATTGCATTTACAAATAACGATACATAATGAGATTTTATAGTAGAGCTGAGTTTAACTAGAAATGCACATTCGTAATGGTCAATTTTTGACTTTCCCAGGACTGGAAGTCACAATTATCTGACTGTAAGAGCCACAAAGAGTGTTGTAAGCATTATGGTTTGGAAAAGAATATGTAATGTGTGCTTGCTTGCTTCTTGATCGTCATCTTAATTTTCTCCACTGGACGTCTAAATGGATGTAAAAAGCGTACATGATTCTCTTTACAAAATAAGTGTTTCTATTTCAGTACAATTTGTCTGCTTATTGCATCTATATATTGTCTACTGATACTCCATTTGAAGTTGTTAAAAGACTCTATGCAGCCTGTTTATTACATAAACCTATTATAACCTGTTAATGCACATTACATGTACTTCATATACTTTCAAGCATTCTGTAGATGCATTTAAATTGATCAATTATAATTATTTTAAGTACTTTGCACATTTTGTAGACTGTGGAGTATATATTATGTAGAATGTAGTGATGCTCTCTAAAAAAGATTGGACCATGCACTACTTTAACTGTATCATTAAACTGGAGTAACAGTTGAAGTGACAAAATGTTATTTACTTGGATGTTTTTAATATGCCACTTGAATTCTGGCATCCAAAATATACTCAATAACTAAAATCGAAGTTAATAGGGTTAAGAATCAAATCTGATCCAGTTCCATAAATCTAATACAGTAAACCATGCAAAACACTCATATCCAAATGTATATTCACACCAAAGTGGACCAGCATAAAAACAGAATGATGTAAAAACTCTTATTAAACTATTTCAAATATGAAAAAAGGTGACAACAGCAAGCAATGTAATAATTTAAAGACAGAATTTTAATAGATGGCTGGAGAAAATGTACAATTCAGTTTCATCTAGGTGACTCTTCACTTGATGTTCTCAAGTCCCTGTGAAAAGACAAACAGAAAAACATTAGAACATCTGTTTTGGTGAGCTTATTGCCAGTACTGATACATATTTACACACGCTAGCTAATATATATATATATATATATATATATATATATACCTTGGGTCGGTAATGTTCACCACTTCCAGACACTCTCTTGTCTCTCTCCATCAAATACCAGTGATAGGGATCCCGAGCAATCCTTTTATCCTATAAGTTAAAGAACATAAGTGCTGCAGACATGACAAGGGCACACAGAATTTTCCGTAAAATGTCAGGATAGAACAAACTCACCTTTCCACCGTTTGTGAACTTCTGGATTTGAGCAGTAGCAACACCAGGAATCATAAGACAAACTGTCATAATAGCAAAACCGGGCAATATCTCGTACCACATGGTTGTGGTGAAATATGAGTGTAAAAACACACAGAAATTGTATAACGGTTTTCCCAAAGAATTCTTGCAAAATTGTCGTTTATATGGGGCAAAATGTCTGCCCTTATGCTATGACGGTCACATAGACAACTTCCGAGAAGTGTATAATTCACTTCCGCGCTTGTGAAACCTCGCCTGTAATACTGCAGCGCCGCGTGGTGGCTCTTGCTTTAAAAACTACTACTACAAAAACTACTACTGTCTGAGTATTTATAGCTCGGAATTATATTATTCCCCAATATAATAAAAATAAACAAACAAATAAAAGGCTTTGCTTTTTTGTTTTACTGTCCATAATAGCAACGATATTGGATGTATGCTTAATTTTCCAAACTCTTTCCATAATTAAAAACATAACAATTTGTCATTTTTTAAGTTTAGAAACCTCCCCACCATAACCTCTAGGATAGCTGGCTCCATAAACAACTACCAAAAGCATCACCTTGTCAAAAAAGGTTTTCAGAAATATACTTTTTTATTTTATAATTATTCGAGATATAATGCTGGGATAGAAATTGAAGCGACTCTTTGCGCCATGAGCCGTAACCACTCAGAGACGCCTGGTAAACCTTTTATTTATTTATTTATTTATTTTTTATTGCAATTTCAAGATTTACAAACAAACATGGCTGCATAACTTTCTTTTCTTATAGAGTACAAAGAAAATATAGCCAGAGGGAGCAGCACTTAATACAACAAGAAAATAAATGAAGTCTAAGTACAAAAAATGATATTTGTAAGGAAAATAAACATATAAAAAAAAACGGTAGGAATTATGATATAACATGACAAATAAGGGCTGAATGCAGTCTTTGAGAAACAACTGCGGAAAGTTGGGCACTGACACTAGGTGGCGGAATGCACCTGTTCGCAACCCGCCATAAAACCAAAAGAAGAAGAAGAAGTTGGGCACTGGAGAGAGCAGATACGACAACAAGAAACAAACCAAGTCAGATATCGTTGCAAAAGTTAAAAGGGGGTCATGAAGGAGGACAAGGAAAATACGCGTCCCCGAGAAAGGAAAGTGGATATAAATTGTGATGAAAACGATAAACCAGAGAAGCCAAATAAAGAGAAGAAGGAAGCTATGACAAAGGTAGTTAGTTAACGTTAGCAGGCTAGCTGGCTACATTCCTGCTACAAATAGTCTACGAACAAAGCAGCTAGGCGCTTTCCTTTTGAAATACTGTACGTTATTGTATGTGGTTGTATTTCTAGTTATATGTTTACATATTATTCGCTGTTTGATTTAAACGTTGCAGATGAAAATGCTTCAACAGTATAGGTAGCAAACCCTCCTGTCAAAGTGTCCTAACTCTGCGGGGATTTGACACCTTGTTTACACAGCGGCATGTTAAATAAGACATTATTTTATTCCATTATTCCAACATGTTATGTTAACAATTCTAACTCTCCCCTCTTAATCACGTAGACTGTGTCGTAACTTATATGTTCTACGGTGTATAAAAATATATGAATTGTACATATGCAAGTAATGTCTATATATGTATTTCTAATATGTATTTACATTTTTTTTTTGTTACCATTAATTTAGATTGTGATCCGACGTCTGCCTCCAAGTCTAACTAAAGAAGAATTAGAGGAACAACTGCAGCCTCTTCCAGAGCTAGATTACCTGGAGTTTTTCTCAAGTGACACTAGGTTTGTATGTGCTGTATTTCATAAAAGAAAGCAGAAAAGTGACACAAATAAAAAGTATTGTATGGCTGATCAAGGTGTTTGTTTATCTACAGTCTTTTCCCTCATCTGTTTGCAAGAGCATATCTGAATTTCAAAAATCAAGATGACGTACTTCTCTTCAGAGACCGTTTTGATGGCTACGTCTTCATTGATAATCGAGGTTTGGCTTTTATGTCATTATTATTTCCAGCATTCACTATTTACTCTCTAATAAGTCAGTTTTGGAATCAAACTTTGTGAAGTTTAATTTAAATGTAAAGATATCTTATGATTCATTATTTTTATAGATTGTATGCCTCAGACTGAGATGTTCTCTATGCTGGTGAACTTCTTCTACAGTAAAAAGGTTTTTTTTTGCATGTTATAGGACAAGAATATCCTGCCATTGTTGAGTTTGCACCATTCCAGAAAGTTGCTAAGAAAAGAAGCAAGAAGAAGGATGCCAAAAGTGGAACAATTGAAGATGGTAATCATAGCAAACAATAGTTAACATGGGGAAGATGTTAGTCACATGTTAGTACTTATGTTTTATAGTGTATTGCTGTGTTTAATATTTTAGAAATGATTTGTCCATCTACATCTTTTTTTTATCTATGCGCCCTCGTAATATTTGTTCAAATTCATTAAAGTCCCCTCCCCTCAAAATGACACCTCTTTTCTTCTCTGATGATGTGGACACAGGTGAAAGGGCTGTACAATAATCCCTCCTATCCAGCAACCTGTCAATCAGAAGATCGCAATTCACAAACAACGATACAATCAATATCCCGATGGACATAATCAATTTCTGCACTATCGTCTGGTTTCATAGACAGGGGTATAGAGATTAAGCCAGGATTATTCTTTTGTTCAATTATGATATTTTAGTAGCTTTTATAAATATGCCTTAGAAAAAAAAAGAATTACTGGTGTGCATCTTGAGACAAAACAATTGCATTCGACATACTTTAAGATATGTCAGTGCAAGTTGCTTTCAGTTAAAACAGCTTAAACATGCCTTTTCTGTGAAACCAAGGGTTAAAAAAAATTCTCATTTGAGAAGCCGCTTCATTTGGATATACATCCCAATAGGGGAGAGATGATGACCGGAATTCCAGATTCATGCTGACTCATACCTGTCTCTTATTAGATGCTGATTACAAAAAATTTTTGGAGTTCTACAATGGTGATGAGGAGAAATTTCCTTCCAATCCTGAGACCTTACTTGAGGAAATAGAGGCCAGGACAAAAGAACTCAGTGGTGAGTTTCGACACAAAAGTATGGAAACTTGTAAAATACCAATGCAGACAGGGGTAACACGCCTATCCAACAAACGTATTGGTGTTTGTCTGTGCGGTGTGAATTGGCCTTAACTCACAATTTTCTATAACTCGCATTGATAAAAAAGTCTGAATTGCAAGATGTACACTCACAACTCACAAAAGTAAGAATTGTGAGATAAAAAGTTGTAATTACCTTTTGTATAAAAACAAGCTTCCATTCTTAAACCCAAAAAAAAAAAAACGTGATATAGTTTTCATTGTTCAATTGAAATAATCTTTAAAAAAATTCTTTCCCCAGGTAAAAAAACGACACCTCTCTTGGACTTCCTTAAGAATAAACAGGTAAAGTGAGGGTGTAGTATTTACTAATGTAATTGCATACTTCATTGGCCTTTCACCAGTTAATTTGGTTTGCAAACATATAATATGCAATGCTGTATGTGTATTTTGTTTATGCACTCTCATCCTGTCTTTCACAGAGGATTAGAGAAGAGAAGAAAGAAGAGAGGAGACGGAGAGAGTTAGAACGCAAACGCTTGCGAGATGAAGAACGGCGTAAGTGGAGAGAAGAGGACAGAAGAAAAAGAAAAGAGGCTGAGAAATTTAAAAAGGGAGAAAAGGCATCTGATAAAGATAAGGAACAACCTAAAGATGAACAGCCAAAAATCAAGGTATGTATATATAACTATGTAAATATTAGTAGCCGCATTTCCCTTTCCCTTTAAATTGCGCAAATTGAAATTGCGAATTGAAAATACGCACAATGGAAACATTTCCCAAAAACTCTTGTTTATCAGTGAACAGTGAAAACAACTTAAAATAGCTTACTCTATCATTTCTGGTCATACAGAAAATTATACATTATTCGTAACTATTTTTATTTGTGTAAACTTAACTCACAATAAGAAGAAAACATTGTGCTTTTGTTTAATAAAATAAAACAATCAGGCGCGATTTCATGATCTCCGATAACTGGAGCGCGAGAACTGAAACAAGATGTAGCCTATTTCCCTGCTATTAATGCTTGGATAACACTTCACATCTCCTTTTATTAATAATAATAAGGTCTAGTGTGGTGGCTGTGATATAGGCTATAAACCTACCAACGTCCGTTGCCATGCTTTTTGGAATTATTTATCGCAAGAGGAAAAAATGACATTTTAGTCGCATAACATCGGTTAGCTGTCATTTCGCAGTAGTTTTTTATCGACATAATTGCAAAAGTTTTGCACAATTCTGTAATGGAAACGCGCCTAGTGACTACCTTGATTAATTTCTATGGTTTTATTACTAAGAGAACACACTTTATGCACAAAATATGAATTGAATATTAATTATTCAGAATCAATACTCCAGTCTTCAGTTTCACATGATCCACTGCTCAAGAAACTTTTCTTATCAATGTTGAAAAAATGTGTGCTGCTTAATATGTTTGTGGAAACCACGATGAATTAAACAATTAAAACAGCATTTATTTCAAATAGATATATTTTGCAAGATAATAGATGTCTTCATTGACATGACTTTTTTTGATTAGTTGTATGCATCCTTGCCAAATAAAAATATTAATTTCCTTTTTCCTTTTATTAATTAAAAAAAAACTCTTGCTAACCTCAACATTTGAACAGTAATGTAAGGTCCTGTTTTTTTGTCTTTTAGCTCTTAAGAAAACCAGAGAAAGCAGACAATGGTGATACTGAGAAGCTAAAAGACAAGCCTAAGAAACAAGACCGAGAGAAACAGAAGGAAGATCGACCTGAGATGAAGAAGCGACAGAATGGTGAACACAGAGAGGAGAAGGGGGGCAGGTAAGTTTGGTCGAACTAGATGAAAAACCTTTCCAAGTCTTCTCTTATTTTTATATCACTATGTCAATATGCAGATCAGAGGATAGTGGGCATAAAGATTACAGAGATCGTGATGGAGACAGAGAGCGAGACCGGGACAGAGACAGAGAGCGAAGACAAAAAGAAAAAGAACGTATCAGACGGCAGGATGAGGAACGAAGGAGGAGAAGGGAACGTCAGGATGGAGAAAACACCTACAAAAAGAGAGAGGAGGAAGGAAAGAAAGACAAGGAGCGTGTTTGGGAGAAAAGAAGGCATGAAAACACTGGAGAGTCCTCAGTTAATGCTCATCCTGAAAAGCCATCAAAAGACAACAAAAAGGAAGAAAGTGCCAAAAAGGATCGTCTGAGAAATAAGGTACTTGATCTTTTTTGATAGTTTATCACTGATTTAATTTACATATGGCTAATTGTTCATTTTACATTTCGATTTAGGATCGGCCTGCGATTCAGCTGTACCAGCCTGGGTCGAGGACCCGTACCCGGGGAGGAGGTCGAGATGGAGATGGACAGGCTGAGCTGGAGTCCAAGAATAGCCAAGAGAAAGTGGCCGAGTGAGGAAGCAGCTCTGCTAGCATGAAATGATGTCTCGAGAGAGGAGGATCTCTGTTCTAGTCAGGATAAACACCTCAAAAACATGGTGCTGCCAGCAAAAGAAATCCCCACACATAAAATAAAATAAAACTCTCTTGTCACTGACATGGGAGAACATACCTGTTGCCCTCCAGTGCCTGAATGAGTTCCTGTTCATGAGCAAGGCAAGTCCTAACCGACGGTTAGATTTGAGAAACGGGGCATAACCACGAGAGAAGTGATTGGACCGTGATAACTTAAAGTGGCCTTACTTTTGGTACACAGCCAAACTTGTTTTACTTCACCCGCTTTTCTGTTTCATAGTTAATAAAAATTTTGATCTGGCTTGTTCAAGATTTCTCTGTTCTGCTTTAGAAAGGTCTTTCACACCTTACCTGAACCCTTCTATCTGGTAACCCTTCTATCTCTTCTATCAAACAGTGCATTTCACTTAAGACAATCAGTAATGAATTGTGTTCTATAAGTATGTAGCCTGCAGTCATTTCTGTTTGGATTTGGGATTTGTCAGGTGGGAAAAGCCATGCTTTTTGATGCTGATGCCTTGATCACTGTTCGTTCCTTTCTGCAAGTCGATTAAATTATATGCAAAAACAGATGTGGCCTTTTATAGTTTGGCAATTGAAGCATATACTTCCACTCTGCATCATCTGGTTAGGAAATGGTCACATGTGCTGTCGTCCAATTGTATGTTTCATTGTAACTAATCCTTAATTCAAAACAGCTTGTTTTTCTTTTATAGTTGCAGCTTTGTCAAAATGTGAAGAGAAATCCAAAAAGATAATAAATTAACAACCAATGTGTTACTTCAAGTGTTTTGTTTTATTTGCATATTACATTTGTTTGGTCAATTTTTATTCCATGAAATAGCTTTTACATTTCAAGATGTCTTTGTATGTTATTTACATTTATATATATATATATATATATATATATAAAACTTATATAAATGTAAATAACATACAAAGACACTTATTAATATGTAACAATTCGGGAATCAACACTGGGTCAAGTACAACTAACAAGAAAGGAAAAGTTAAATAAAAAACAACCCTTAAAAACAAATTAACAGAACAACAACAGCAAAAAAATATGCTCGAGAACACAAAATGGTCACCCACTGCTAAATAAAGTCCAATATGTTCACTTACATAGAGATAAATAAATAGCATCCCAGAATGTTACTAATTCACACAATTAAAAACTCACAATTGGAGGCAATTAGGGTGGCTACTCTGGAATAGCCATAAGAAACAATCGCTCAACAAGTGCCAAAAATGGACCCCAAGTTTTATTAAACTTTGAGAACCATGTATCGAGCACCGATACTTTCTCCAACTTCACGAAATGAAGGATGTCCCTGATCCAAGACGAGTGAGAAGCCAGCGAGGGAGACTTCCACCTCAATAAAATGAAACGACTAGCCAATAAGGAGATAAAGGCTACAAAGTCAGCTTTATATTTAGGAAGCTGCAAAGTAGGAGCTAAAACCCCAAACAAAGCGGTTGGATCAAACTGACCCCCTGTACAAACAGAATAGGGTTAAATATCTGTGTCCAAAAATTATGTAGTGAAGAGCAAGACCAGAACATATGGGCATGGGTAGGAGCCACTGTAACAAGGTTGACAAGCTTGACATCAAAGTGAAAAGAAAGAGAAAATACATTTTTTTGAAGAGACTCATAGTCTTTATATTTTTATTAAAGTAGGCTATAAAAAAAATGCTGTTAATAACATATACGTTGGTGTTTTCCATTGTTTACATCATTGTTTGCACGTGTTCATGAGGAAGTGGCATAAAATGCACATTTTTCGTGGAACGACCCAGAGGTTTTACGGTTTAAAGAGACATGCATTGGCTGGATGGAGAGCATACACCTGCTATTATTTATCAAAAGGTTAAACCACGTCGGGTTAATATTGGGAAATGTCAGCATTACGTAGTAGCTTGTTCTCCGTGGAGCCACTGGTCGGCGCTGTGGCGTGAAGGAGTAGCTCGGTTCACGACTCGGATATAGATTGCTTGCATTTCCCATGGTTCCTTCTCTTCGATTACCGCCATAGTGGTGAACGGACAGCCATCTCCGAAATGGTAAGTGAGAATCTTAAAACATCGTCCTACAAGTAATTGTTTTCTTGCACATCTCTTCATTTTTCTGTGCAAGTTGATGTTCTTCGTTGGTTGTGTTTGGTATTAAACAGATTACTGTTCGATAAATAATGGAAATATCTCACTGACGATGTGTCGTCCGATGACTAACTTAAGCTAGCGCAGATTGCCTAACCATGTGTGCTTCACATTTGTATTTCAGGCGTCACATAAGACCTTCAGGATCAAACGCTTTCTCGCCAAGAAGCAGAAGCAGAACAGGCCGATTCCACAGTGGATTAGGATGAAAACTGGCAACAAGATCCGGTATGTTGACATGGTTGTGCAGTTGGAGTTATTATTGCCGCAGCTAAACTAACGTTACACCAGCAACTACACTTTTAAAGTGTTAGTAGCCCTTGTATTCTTGCCCAGTTCTTTATAGTAACCAAACGAAAGCAGGACGCAATTACAGTGCTCAATTTTGTGGGAGTACTGCCATTATCCTGCTGAGAGCATCATCTACAGTGGAGTCTTGAGTACTGTCATCTCCCATATGACGCATGAATGCTCTGTTGTGGAGACACATTTCATAGGATTAAAAAAAAGTTAAAGTTGAATGCTCTCATTAGAACTGTATAACGTTATGCATATCAAGCCATGTTGGCTTGCTTGTTTTAACTACTTTTGTTGCTGCTATGTTAACTATGCTTTTAAGTGATGCATGTAGTGCTTAATTTTCTGATCATTTAAACTTACATTTGCTTGGTTCATTTAAGTTTTCTTCTCTTTATACTTTAACCCACCTTATTGAGCCACACTATTTTTTAGTTTTAGAGCAGTGCAGTTTGTAATGGAAACCTTGGGATTCTAGTGTGATTCATTTTAATGGCTGTGATCCTGTGTGATGCTTTACATTGGCAAATCTTTTTGCAGATACAACTCCAAGAGGAGACACTGGAGAAGGACCAAGCTGGGCTTGTAAACACAAGATTAACTCCAGCAATCCCCCTCCATCTGTTCTTTGCCAGGACCACCAACTCATCCATAGCTGGAGAGAAGGCATGCTATCTGGAACAACAGTCTCTTTTGTACAGATATTCTGGTTATGTCCTTCCTAAATAAAAGATTTGTCATCGAACCAGAATTATGTGCATCCTTTTCTTTTTTTGAAAATGTGAAATGCCAGTCAGTTTTCCTATTGTTGGTTCTGCAAAAGGTCAACGTCTTGCACAAAAATTTATTTTTCTCTGAGCATTTAGGCTCATTCTTACCCAAGACAAATATTTATAAAAATGTCTCCAAGTTCCTTGCAATTTGGTTTATTAAAAAGATTAAAAATGAATCATGATGCATTTCAGGTTAAATAGTTATCATTATCATACAAATCATGTTATAAATAAAAACATTTCAACTTGGTGTTTAACAGTAATGATCTGACAAACATGCTTTTGGCTTTACAGTCTCAGACCTTTTCAAGCAGGCCAATATTGTACAACAGTCTCTTAAATGATGTGAACCGCCCGCGTGCAAATCCTCCTGAGCCGTCCACCTCGACTCTGTTTTCTTGAGCATGTTCTTCAACTGCTTGACTCGAACTGTTGTTCACATTCAAATGCCAGAAGTAATCATCATCACAGGCTCCCAGAAGCTCCTTAATTTCGTTTGGTGCGTTGTCTTTAAGATACTGCCATGCTTTCTTCCCATTGTAGTCCATGATGTCTACATTAGCACTGAATGCACCAACCAAAATCTTCATAACCATGTACTGGTCATGCATGGCAGCCAAGTGGAGAGGCGTCAGACCTCCACTGCCTCTCAAATTCACATTCACTGACAGCCCCTCTTTTTCAGCATGCCTGAGAAGCTTAATCAGTGTCTCGTCCTTTCCATTTTTGGCCAACCAGTGGAGAGCTGTAAAACCACTAATGAAGTCTTTTCTGCTCAATAAACTCTGATCTTCAGAGAGAAATTCCACTATGGTCTCATAATTCCCATCCACTACAGAGAGCATCCACGCGTGCTCCATGGGATCCAAAGCCCATAGCGTGCCGCAGTTCACAATGTCTCCATTCGGTGCCTCCTCCTCCTCTTCTTTTGACAATTTGTGTTTGGATGATAAAATGCTCGACAATCCAGATCTGTTATTCAGAAAAAGCTCTTTTAAATATTTCTTACGCATAGCGGGCGTGAGGGAGCCCTTCTCCGAAGCATCGACGGATAGTCTGCGGGCGGCGCTGCTGCTGCTGCTGCCGGTTCACTGCTGACCTCCAGCTGTTTTTGAAGTCTGGATCTGCGCGAGGAGGCGCTGCTGAACGCAGGAGACACGGGTCGAGCCCCATGTCTTGAGAAACGCTCTTCAAGATTTGAGCGGAATTGGCTTGTTGTTCTGCTTTTAGGGGAATCTGAATTACTTCCATTACTGCCTGAGGCTATACAGTCTGAATCCTTGGGTTCTTCTGAGAGCTGTGCTGCTTCTCCCACAGAGGTATTAAATTGTTCCTCAGTCCTGGGTCCACTGCTGCTCCCCTCATACATACTGGCGGATCCCCGGGAAACTATTTAGATAAGATCCAAACTGAAGAGGCTTACATAACCAGAGAAAAACATCTTCCTTATATTCACTTTCTAGGCTATATGTTCAAATCTAGATGGGGGAAAAGGAACATAATATGCTTAAATGGAATGAGATAGTTTAATAATATTATTATAAATAATAATAATCAAAATATATATAAAAACCTTTAAAGGATCGCTATTTAAGCAACATGAATGATTTTGTTTAACTATTGGGGGGGAAACGAGCACTTCCTCGTTTGTGTTCCTCTTTTTACATTTGTTTTTAAAACAAAACATTCACAGTATTTTAAATTAGGCTACACTACTATTATATCACATTATTTAATATTTAATCTAAGCTCGAAGTTTAGCTTTATTGTGTCGATTAGGCTATGTCTGATTAAGCGTGTCGTCTGATTTGTTTAAGTAGAACAAACGATAATAGGATTAAAGTCTAAAAAATAAAATTACACCGAACATTATCTTTTCTCTTTCTCGAAATGTTTTACGAGAATTGTATCGGTCATTAATCTTACCTGCATCTGAGGTGATTCATCGGATGCCGTCTCTCACCTGTTGTCCACAGCTCTTCTTACTGAATAAATCACAGTTCAACCAAATCAATAATAAATTCATAAACCTTTTAAAGCAGTTAAACGACTATTTATTTTCCTTTCCGAGAATCAGAAAATTAGTTCTTTACTTTGAGCTAACCGAAACTTTTCAAGTGTGTTCACAGTCCATTTCCGACGTTCAAACCCTCCCCTAAAGTCTAAAGTTCAAATAGAGCTACAACTGACTCAATCAAAACTTCAGACCAATGACACTTGTGACAATTCAGCTGGCTGACCGAACCGAGAAGAAAGTCTGCCTAATTCAACGAATATAAAATAAAATAAAATCGATTTTAAATACTAGCCTACTTCTAAGTTCTTTAAAAAATGTTACGTCATTTTTCAAACAACAATATACATTTATAATATTCATAAATATCAATATGTAACATTTAGAATAATATACACGTCACGTAAATATGTAAAATAGGCCTTTTTTTGTGCTTTAAGTCAGAAGACGAACTTTCCTTATTTGCTTTAAAATCGTTAGGCTTCTAAAAAAATGTAAATAAAAAATTGCCACTCTGCATCCTTTACTATAGTTTGTTAGACCTGTGGTGTGGAAACATGCGTAGAGCTGTTGAACAGAAGACGAAGAAGACTATACCATTTAATAAAATGGGGGTCATGTTTTGGCTCAATGTTTTTATTTTCAAGAGTTTTCTCAGTGCTGTATTAATTAAACTATGTATATTCTGGATGAGTTAATTTCTAAATTATTCCAATTAAAAATTCCGCTATAATAAAAATAACAGAAGGCGCTATGGCTTTAGTCAGCAATGGTACAGTCCGTCGTATCTGAGTTGGTCGCTGTAGCTTCACTCTGCTGCGGTTTCCTGTGAAGGAAGGGTTCGGGGTTGATGCAGGAGAGAACCATGGCGGCCACTGAGATAGCGCGACAAGCGGTAAGTGCTCTGTTTTATCGGTTTACATAACTACGTATACTTACTAGTTGACTAATTTATACCAGTTATTTTGGAAGGTGTGACACAGTATAACCAAACAGCTTCCGGTAATAATTTATTCGTGAACGTGATAGCCCAACAAACCAATCAATTGCACAGTGGCGTTATTTAAAACAGCAAGTGTTGTTCGGTTAAATGATTAAAATATAGTAAGTTAGCACGTTTTGTGTGTGTGCATATTTTAAATTATAGCACTTCAATCTCCACGCAGCTGTTTTGGGGGATATGGCTTGATGTTGAGGGCCAACAATAACGGGCGAACCTCACGGTTTGAAGTGACTACGACTGATGAATTATCATACGCAACGATTAAAAAAAAAATCGTCGCATTCTCGAGTGTCATTGTGTTGTTAAATAATTGGAGCGCGTCTATTAACGTTACCGTTATGTTTAATTGCATTAGCATCCTTATGCTCGCTGGGCGTTGTCTATTATGAAGTATTTCGTACATTCGTGTCAGAAACTGACATACAAAACAATTGAATTTTATTTTGTAGCAGCTTAACGTTACCTTTCATTCGGACGTCTCTAATGAGAGTAACGTATAGTCACATGAGGTAGCAGGCTCGAGACCGAGCTCAAAATCTGTTAGTTGTAAAAAATGACGTTCAAATCAGTCTTTACTATTCAAACCAGGGGTTTGAACCAGTATTTTCTGGTTACAGTGGGGTGTTGCAGTCATGATGACCCCCCCTTGGACTCCTTACAGTTGTCTGGTCTTGGAATGTTGCACATGTGGGTCAGATTGTAACTGTTTGCTCCGTCAATAAGATGCTCTCACAGCCTGGCTGCTCTTAGTTGCCTGTTTTGTATTTAATGAAATGTGCATTTTGTTGCTAATGATTCCACAGTAATCCTCCTAACAGAACTGATCATCTGCTTTGATTGGTTCTCACTAAAAAGGATGTGCTTTTTATTGCCTTTCATTGCAGTTTAACTTAATGAAATGTTTCCATTTAGATAATGGATCTTTATTACATTAGACCTGTGCTGACTGAATGTTCGTTGTCATTTTTGTTAATTTAACAGAAATCAAATTATTTGGCATGTTCATTCTGCTCATCGCACAGGTCACACATTTGCAAACACCCACACACTAAAGGATATGCTGTAAAATGTGGGCAGACAGCTTTTCCTGCCAGAGCTTCTGCAGGCCAGGTGGCAGACCTGTCTGAACAATGGTAGAGGAAATGCTGAAGAGTGAAGACTAATATGGCCGAGATGTGACGTTTTTGTTGCGTTATTTACAACATGTATTACTTGATAACGGCGACTGCAAATGGTTTACGTGTGTGTTTGCCTGAATGTGGTTTCAACAGTTGAGATCAGACAGGAAAGAGGAACTGCACAGAGCTGAACCTTTGAGAGCTAGAGCTACACTATAGTATTACACTTTGTCAAAGGTCTTACCTAGGTTCTGTGTTTGAAATGAGGTGCATGTTGTGTACCTTTACATACTAAATTGACAATGTTTCATTTTTGCGTTCTCATGAATCTAAGGGCTTAGCTTCCAAAGTCTTTCCATTGCTGACAGTGAGGAACCCTATAGTTTGCATTGTTGAAAGTGGTCTTGCTTGCTTCATTTATGATTTGCTTTCATTTGATCTTGTATTAGGGAGAGGGTGCACGTGCCGTCCCACTCTCTGGTCATGTTGGCTTCGACAGCATGCCGGACCAGCTGGTCAACAAGTCCGTCAACCATGGCTTCTGCTTCAATATCCTCTGCGTGGGTGAGTGCGTTTTGTCGGAGCTCCTTTTTTTCCTTGGGGCGAAATAACCATTTGCTTCTGTGTATGTCACTTTGTGAACGCGTACTGATTCTGTCCTGTGACCCACTTACTAAATACTGGTGCACTGATGGAGAGCAGTTGCGGGAACTTGATATTTGATTTTATTCTTATCCTGATTTCATGTGCTGATTGGAGGTTAGAAATGTTAACTAACCATCCCTCTAAAACAATTAATAAAAACAGGGGAAATAATTTTTACATTATGGATTTATGCATGTTATTTGTTATGGAGGTATATTTTACTGACAGAGTCAGTAGCAAACTGTGAAGAACGCATATGATTGTCACTCAATAAGAGGCCATTTGCCAATTAACCAAATTAAGTTCAAGCTAAATCCTTGCGCTTCTGGTACTATGAAGTCTTCATGCTTTTTTTGTTCACTTCACCTTTTGAAAAATGTATATACAGAGCACAGAGGCATTGTTTCAGATTCTTTGTTAGCATCCCCTAAAGTTCAGGGCACCAGCCAGGGCTTTTATCCCATTTCTGCTAAAGCTCTAAGGATGCAATCACAAAACTCACTAGAAAGTTCTCACTCCTTACCTTTTAATAGCCACTGCTCATCAGCATTTGATCTGATTGGGGAATTGCTGCTTTATTTTTAGGCATCAGGCAAGGCTTTTTGCCCATGCCTGTAGTGAAAGCTTTACAGGGTCCTGTGGGAATGGGATCTGCGGGCTGAGTTTATGAAGAAATGGCAAATGTGAGCCATCCATATAATTAACATTCTGGTGGTGTTGCATGAAGTCCATTTCTACTCTGCTTGTGGTTGTCAGGAGAGCAAGAATAGCCAGGATTGCTGCATGGCTTTTAGACACACAGAAGTGTATGCATCAGCTAAATCATGCACTTCTGTATTAAAGCTGAATTCATTATCCCTCTATATTCCAGTTTAATATGCAGCCAGAGACAACAACTATTACATTGCAAATTATGTTTAATTATTTGAGGAATATGTGTATGGGTTTATTTTATCTTAGATAATGAAGCTTATGGTGGTGGTAGCTTATTGTTGTGCTTTTGTTACAGGGGAGACGGGTTTGGGAAAGTCCACCCTCATGGACACCTTGTTCAACACCAAATTTGAGGGTGAACCCACACAGCACAATCAGCCTGGAGTGCAGCTCAAGTCCAACACTTATGAGCTGCAGGAGAGCAACGTTCGCCTCAAGCTCACTATGGTCAACACTGTAGGTTTTGGAGATCAGATCAACAAAGAGGATAGGTGAGATCTGCTTGTGACCAAATATGTTGAAACATATTCTTTAGTTGTGAAATGTGTGAAACGTAGTGAAACGATTCTTTAGTTGTTTTAACCAGAGACAAAATCAGGTCAATATTTACACCTGGTCACTTTATGCATTTTTACTCATCGGATAGCTTTCTGATTTGTTAAAGCTGTTCCATGTTTTGCCACATAAATGTGTATCTGCAAAATGTAAATCCAATCTATAATTCTCATGCTATGTGCAAATTTAACAAAGTTCACCTCAACAATTGCAGCAAAGACCACAATAGGAGAATGGCATCAGGTTTACGTTTGGTTTTAGTTTTACACGGTTTTGAGAACACAAACAAAAAACCATGTCTGTAATTTGTGATCGTAACAGTGCTACTCTATACTGCGCAAAAGTTACGTTTGAATAGTCAGTAGCAAATTATTAAAATATGAAAACAAAACTTTTTAGAATCAGCCTCTGTGCACAACCAGCCTTGTACTCTCCCAGGTTCTGGAAGCAGTCCTACTAAAAATGTGCAGCACATAATCAAATATTTTGGTTGTAGTGTTGTAAATAAAACTTAACCACTGTTTTCTATTAGTGTCCTCTTTTGGAAGGCCAAACAAAGTGGCTTTAGCAACGAAAAACACTATTATAAATAAATAAATAAATATTATAAAAAATTATAATACAACGTGAAAAGAAGTTCTGCCTTCTTTCTTTGCGTATACATTTGGCCAGTGTTCTGAAACTCCCCAACATACTAAATTTTACAAAGAATATCGGGGACTTTCGGGTTGCCGCTTTGAGCTTTGTAAATCTGCAGATCTTATACACTCACCTAAAGGATTATTAGGAACACCTGTTCGATTTCTCATTAATGCATTTATCTATCAACAAATCACATGACAGTTGCTTTAATGCATTTAGGGGTGTGGTCCTGTTCAAGACAATCTTCTGAACTCCAAACTGAATGTCGGAATGAGAAAGAAAGGTGATTTAAGTTATTTTGAGTGTGTCATGGTTGTTGGTGTTGAGTATTTCACAGTCTGCTCAGTTACTGGGATTTTCACGCACAACCATTTCTAGGGTTTACAAAGAATGGTGTGAAAAGGGAAAAACATCCAGTATGCGGCAGTCCTGTGGGCGAAAATGCCTCGTTGATGCTAGAGGTCAGAGGAGAATGGGCCGACTGTTTCAAGCTGATAGAAGAGCAACTTTGACTGAAATAAACACTCGTTACAACCGAGGTATGCAGCAAAGCATTTGTGAAGCCACAACACGCACAACCTTGAGGCGGATGGGCTACAATAGCAGAAGACCACACCGGGTACCACTCATCTCCACTACAAATAGGAAAAAGAGGCTACTATTGCAAGAGCTCAACAAAATTGGACAGTTGAAGACTGGAAAAATGTTGCCTGGTCTGATGAGTCTCAATTTCTGTTGAGACATTCAGATGGTAAAGTCAAAATTTGGCGTAAACAGAATGAGAACATGGATCCATAATGCCTTGTTCCCACTGTGCAAGCTGGTGGTGGTGGTGGTGTAAAGGTGTGGGGGATAATTTTATTTTTTCTTGGCACACTTTAGGCCCCTTAGTGCCAATTGGGCATCATTTAAATACTATGCCCTACCTGAGCATTGTTTCTGACCATGTCAATCCATGGCCATGTCAATCAATGACCATGGCCACCATGTACTCATCCTCTGATGGCTGCTTCCAGTAGGATAATGCACCATGTTTCAAAGCTTGAATCATTTAAAATTGGTTTCTTGAACATGACAGTGAGTTTACTGTACTAAAACTGTTCACCCCCCCACAGTCACCAGATCTCAACCCAATAGATCATCTTTGGGATGTGGTGGAATGGGAGCTTTGCGCCCTGGATGTGCATCCCACAAATCTCCATCAACTGCAAGATGCTATCCTATCAATATGGGCCAACATTTCTAAAGAATGCTTTCAGCACCTTGTTGAATCAATGCCACATAGAATTAAGGCAGTTTTGACGGCGAATGGGGGTCAAACACAGTATTATTATGGTGTTCCTAATAATCCTTTAGATGAGTGTACATGCACAAAGAGGTAAATAACATGCTAAAGAAAAAGGAAAACAATAAATCCCATCATATTACCCCTTTAACAACGATGATTGTGTGATAAGTGTCTGTGAAGCCAAACTTTCAGTTTCGTGTGCAGCAGTTTTCCACTTGCTGGCTATAACATGTCATATAACCAATAACATGCTCTTACACGTTTGTTTTTTACAATTTTTTTTTACATCATTATTATTACTATACAATATTTCCACCTCTTTCATTGTTCAACTTGCAGTTACAAGTCTATTGTGGAGTTCATCGATGCTCAGTTTGAAGCGTACCTTCAAGAGGAACTGAAGATTAAACGCACCCTACACAGTTATCATGATACACGGATCCACGCCTGTCTGTATTTCATCGCTCCCACTGGACACTCGCTAAAGTCACTTGACCTGGTTACTATGAAGAAGTTAGACAGTAAGGTTGGTGATGCATTTTATTTTTAACAAATGTTTGATTACACTCGGGACTGACCAATATGATTCTATGGTCAATGTTAGACAAATCTTAGCAGTACAGTATTTAAAGGAGTGGTTCACTTTAAAATGAAAATTACCCCATGATATACTTACCCCCAAGCCAGGTGTATATGACTTTCTTCTTGGAAGAGCCAAAATATTTATTAATATAACTGAAAGAAGAAATTCATATACACCTAGGATAGTTTGAGAGTGAGTAAATCATGGGGTAATTTTCATTTTAAAGTGAACTACTCCTTTAATGGTGTGGATGAACTATTAAAAATGCATTACTACATGACTGTCATTTATAAAATATTCTTGAAAAAAATCAATGTTATATATTTTGACTAATAGTAATAATAATGTTTACAAAATTAAGTAAAAAAAAACTCATTAAATGAAACTAATGTCTGCTATATATGTGTCTTAGCATTATTTACTGTTTCACTGTACAGAGCAGTTTGGTTTAAGAGGTGTGGGTTATTAAGCATTCATCTGATGGCTATGCCATGTTTAATGTCATTGGAGCTGTGTAGATGGATTCAGTGAAGGTCAGCTGTGTTGTACTGCATTCGATTTCATCTCTCTGCGTGCACGATTGAGTGCAAGCACTGAGACGAGAGAGGTATGCATAAACTCATCTTAGTTAAGGGAAAAACATAGTTTAATATGAAAAAAAAAAGGTTGAGTATCCCTTTAAGCTAGTGGCCAGGCTACTGAGAATAGTACTAAGATGGTTATGTGGGTGGCAGGAGTGAAAAAATTTAGTGAGTGGGATCAGAGCACTCTATATGTGCATTTGTTTGACACACAGTCACGAGTGAAGAGGGGTGTCTGATCAATACATTGATCAAATGACAAACGATACGATCTATTGATGCAATTTGTAAAAAACTACACCCATATATTTTTCAAGAGTGGTTATTTTACAAATAAGACAAAAACTGTGAAGTTTTCTGTGCACCCACATCTGTATTGCGCACAGAGAGCGAGTTCTCTTTCACTTCTTTGGTGCTTGAACATACAAATACAGACAGAAATATTAATCGAATTGTAATTGTAGCGCAGAACTTTGAGGTTTTGGCAAATATCGTATTGCTGCCTCGCTGTTTTACAGCCCTAGTTTGAAGGCATATTGCGATGTGAGCAGACAGGTTTATGCAAGCGTTCACAGGCTTCTAGTTAATTTTAATCGCATTAGCTTCTCCTTGATGTTAAAAGAGGATAATCTATTTGTGTCGTTTCAAGTGTCTGCACTGTAGCAGCATCTGCATATAGAGAATAAAGTAAATTCAGCCTTTTTCTGTAATGTCTGCTATTTTTTCAGGTTGCTGAGGCATAAAAGACATGAGAGAATCTCAGTGTCTATATTTATCTGGACTCAGCCAGATGTTCTGCTTTTGACTGAGGTTGCTTTGAGTTGCTTGCATCCAGATTTAGTAATAACTTGCTGCCTGAGAAGTTGACTTTCTGAAGGGAAAATATTTACTCATGAATAGCCATGTTAGGTTTTATATATCAGCATGCTCAGAAATCATCTGTCCATTGCTGTGTCTGGTTGTCTTCATCTTAATTAGTATTAATAGATTTAATTTCTGATTTCTGTCTATTTCTAAATGCTTACAAATAATCTTTCTCCTCTTATATACAGGTGAATATCATCCCTATCATTGCCAAATCAGATGCCATCTCAAAGAGTGAACTGGCAAAGTTCAAAATCAAGATTACAAGTGAGTTGGTTAGCAATGGTGTCCAGATCTACCAGTTTCCCACTGACGATGAGACTGTGGCAGAGATCAACTCAACCATGAATGTAAGGAGCTTGATGAGCTTGAACATCATTCATATTTGTAATCATTCCTGTTGTTACATGCACTTAACAAGATGTGCTTTTAAAGTGTTGTGTAATGAATATAATTATTCTACAGACTCATAACTCCTAAGTATTAAAATTGTGGTGTGTAACTCATTCCTCATTGTGTGTGTTTCGTATATGAGTGATACCTAAAATCATGCTGATAGATGAGAAAAGGTTTGCTGCTGTTTTTGTCTAAAATCTAGTTTCTATGTGCTATATAAGAGAACAAAATATACTTATCTACAGTATGTTGGTATTATGTAATTGGATAAACAAGATTAAGAATGATGTGTTCCTCTTCCACTTGAAATTCTATTTCATAGAGTCAGTCACAAATGTAGTATGTCCTGTTTTGCTTGGAGACAACAGCCATATTTGATACTTCAGCGCTCGCCCAGTTTGCATTTCACATCACAGTTTAGCAGTTTAAGTGCGAAAGAGTCCATATGGTGTCCAGCTTCCTTGCCTGTGTTTGCTCGTAGGAAAAGACCACAAAAGGAGAGGCATTCTTCATCAATGTACTCTCCCAACAACATAGAGCATAGTAACGTGACATCCAATGAATGAATGTCACTTTCACCAGCCTGTGCCTGCAACGTTACTGTGGTAACCTCCAGTACTGGTTAACCATTGGAAATACAGAAATGCAGAACTCTGTTCTAGTGGGATGTGCCCTCATATCTTTCACAATGGTTGTAAAGGTGGTTCTTGTCTTGTAAATATCATCTTAACAAGGTGATTTCTTTGTGAGGTCTTCACTACTGTGAGACGTAGTGCTTCAGTAGAGTGCTTCATTGTGTTCATAGTACGTTAGACCAAGACAGATTGACAGATGAGTGCATCAAGTTACATTACTGTTTGTCTTTCGTGTCACATGATCCTTCAGAAATCATTCTAATATGCTGATTTGGTGCTTAAGAATAATTGTTTGTAAATGTTGAGTAAAGCTGTAAAGTTGAGTTGTCCTGCTGTGATTTCTGTTTGTCAAAGAATCCTGAAAAGAACAGTATTTATTTGAAAAAATGCAAAAAATTACATGCACTAGTGTAGATTTAAATGTGTCATCTTGTCTGTTACAGTAAAAATTTAAAATAGACTGCAGTATTTCTGCTAAATTATTTGTTTGTGGGATTTTTTTTTTTCTCTGCAGGGTCATTTGCCTTTTGCAGTAGTGGGAAGCACTGAGGAAGTGAAGATTGGGAACAAGATGGTGCGAGCACGCCAGTACCCCTGGGGAACCGTCCAGGGTAAGTTCTGGTCACGTCTTCCAGAGGAAATGACACTGAGCTCTTCCCTCTGTTTGCCCATGGCCTCTTTGTTCAGGACATCCAAACCCATCCTGTCCCTCCCTTTCTGCTGCGTTGTGTCTGGACACTCTTTCTCTTTCTTTCTTGCATTTCTTTTTCACAGGAGGGCAGAATACTAATGTTTTAGGGCTGTCAAAACGAGAAAACTGAGCTGTAATTGTCCATGTGACTAACCACTGTGGAGCCATTGAAAAATGACATCAGTACAGTGCTGATTAGTTGATAGTACTATAATAACACTCGCAATCCCAAAACCCCTCATTGATGACTATCCTGAGGAGTGATGTGAAAGGCAGTAGGCAATGCAAGTTTATTTAAATAGCACATTTCATACACAATGGTAATTCAAAGTGCTTTGCATAGAAGAAATTAAAATAATCAAAACAAATAAGAATAATTAAAACGGTTTAAAATAAAAAATAAAACTTAACGTACATTAAAAACAGTCGGACGAACAGTGGCACAGTTCTCATACAGTTAATGCCCATAAACAGATGTGTTTTGAGTCTGACTGTTGGAGCACATCCGATCTCCTCTGGAAGCTGGCTCCAGCTGCGGCTGACATAATAGCCGATACAGACTCTCTGTGCTTAGAGTGAACCCCTGGTATTTCTAGCTGATGTGATCCTAATGATCTGAGAGATCTGTTAGTTTTATATTCAGTGAGCATATCTGCAATATATTGAGGTCCTAGCCCATTGAATGATTTATATACCAGTAATACTTTAAAATCAATCCTGAAATTAACTGGGAGCCAGTGTAAAGACCTGAGGACTGGTGGTGTGATATGTTCATATTTTCTGGTTCTGCTCAGAATCCTGGCAACAGCGTTCTGTATGAGCTACAACTGTCTTATGGTCTTATTAGGAAGGCCGGTAAGGAACAGGAGTGGTGCAAGAATTGAGCCTTGAGGGCCTCCGCAAGTCAAGGATGTCCATTCAGACTTATGGTCTCCTATACTCGCATAATAACCTCTTCCTTCTAAGTATGACCTGAACCATATTAGGACTATCCCAGAAAGCCCCACCTAGTATTCCAGCCTGTCAGAAGTATGTCGTGATCAATAGTGTCAAATGCAGCACTGAGGTCGAGTAGTACCAGCACTGATAATTTGCCTGTATCTGTATTTAAGCGAATATTGTTTATTATATTTGAGCGCTGTGATGTGATCGGAAACCAGATTGAAAATAGTCAAAGTATCCATTCAAGCTTAAGAATTTGGCCAGCTAATTGAAGGGAGCAGATTCATGATGTTTTAAAGTTTCTTCTAAAATTTTGCCTTTTTCTTCGAAAACCGACATAGTAACTACTTTCTCAGGTTGTGGCCTGATCTGTCAGACCCCAGAGCAACTTGGAAAACTAGCCTTCGGGCTAATTTGGGTACATTTACATTTAAGAATATTTATTAATGTACACTGTCCCTTTTCTAAATAAATAAATAAAATTGATTTTCTCAGTGAAACTCACTGCACTTGCTTTCTGAGAGCATTTCTGGGAATCTGGCTTGGTGGGTTTGTCAGTCACTCTACAGTAGCAAAAAGAGAGCGTGTTGTTTAAGTTGCTGTTTATAATATTTGAGAAGAAAAGGTCCGTCTAGCTTTGCATATTTCCATATGAAAAGGATAGATGCTGTCTTTGTAGAAATTATAATGGACTTTTGTCTTCCTCCACATGCGCTCTGCTCTTCTACATTGTCTTTTAATATTTTGCACAGCTGTAGTGTGTGAGTTTCTCCAAGGTGCTTTTTGTCTACCGCTATTCTTCCTGACTTTCATAGGAGCAATATCATCAATTACACTTAACTTTTGAGTTAAAAGAATCAAGGAGAAAATCAATAGTCAGCAGATATGCTTGGTTTTAAAGATATAGCCTTCATAAATAAGTAAAATACGTGGAGCACTGGCACCTTTTCTCCTTTACAAATTCTCTGCTCACCAAGTCTGCATTTATTTAATCCAAAATCAAGAAAAAAACGTAATATTGTGAAATATTACAATTTAAAACCGTTTTTTATTGTAATATATTTGAAAATATAATATTTCCTGTGTGATGTCAAAGCTAAATTTTTAGCACCATCATCACTTCAGTTTTCAGGGTCACATCATGATCCTTTAGAAATCTTTCTAATATGATTTGACGCTCAAGAAACGTATCAATGTTTATGAATGTTACACAAGTACATATACAAGTTGCAATCCCCTTTTGCCTTTTAATGAAAAAATTAGGATCTACAGTACAATAATGTTCATTAGTCATGTTCAATAAGCTGTGCAAGTCCAGTTCACTTCATTCACAATTTGTCCTGTCAGTTTTTATTAATGTGTGTTGTATGCATGCAGTGATTTGAAGCGTAACATTAGAGCAGCAGTGCTGTGATTGTCTTCAGGCGGTCTGTGACATCACTCTATATCTCTCTCTCTCTCGGCACATGAGGCTGCAGGGCAGCACACGTGGTCTTAATTTAGCTTGCTGCAAGGCTGAACTCACTGAGGAATATGTGTGTGTGTGTGTTTGTGATGTGTGTTTTCATGCACCGCTGCTTAAAACCATGCAGAAATGGGTTCATTTCTATGAAAAAGTAGGGAGCTGGTAAAAAATTAATCCTTTAGACTTAAGTTGAACGAAGGGCCCAAGCCATTACTAGAGACTAAATGATCAAAGATACTTGGGGATGAGCTCTTTTAACCAGCCAGTAAGCATTCACCTAGCAACCACACATAACAATAGCCTGGCAACCACCCAGAACATTCTTGTCGCATAGTTTTGCACAGACAAGCAGCACTCATGATTTTTTTCATCAAATGAAAATAAATGTTAATACAAGTACAATAACAGCTGTGGGGAATGTTGTTGTGTCAGTAATACTTGACTCTAGTATTGCTGATCAAAGTTATACGAAATGACTGTTAATAGGTCATGTCTGTTCTTCTGAAAGGATTCCTTCTTTCGGTGGTATAAATGAAAGAATGTCATCAAAAGTCACATTCATGTATTTTAGGAAATTTTACCTTATTTTAAGTTCTGGAACTGGTCACCATTTCTTTAAAGCATTATTTTTTGATCACCTTTTGTTGATTTTTACAGTCTTGCAGTGACAAGATTTTTTTGTTAAATAAAAATATACAGTTAAGTGTAAAGGTTCTAAAGCTCCTGAATAGACCTATAAGAATAATTATAATAGTTTTACATATACCACTGTTATTTGCTACTGTATGTCATGTCATCTACCCATCTGAAGATTTTCCATAAACTACCCAGGTCTTTAACTTTTTGACTAACTCCACCTTTAAAGGGAATGTAGTAATTAATGTGTGTGTGGCATGCCCTGGAGGAAGTTATTTTCTTCTCATGTCCCAATAAGACATTGGTTTAGTGCTTATTTTCCATTGAATATCATGTGTTTTCCAGTGGAGAATGAGAATCACTGTGATTTTGTGAAGCTGCGAGAGATGCTGATCAGGGTCAACATGGAGGACCTGAGAGAGCAGACTCACACTCGCCACTATGAGCTATACCGCCGCTGCAAGCTGGAGGAGATGGGATTCAAAGACACTGACCCCGACAGCAAACCCTTCAGGTGAAGAGAGTCACGGTCACACCAACAATATGGAGAAAGTTGTCTGTCACAACTTATCGCAAAAAGATTTATTGTCTGCATTTACAGGTGTAAATTAATGTTAAAATGTTTTTTTGCCTCTGGTTTGCTGTCTTCAGCCTCCAGGAAACATACGAGGCCAAGAGGAACGAGTTCATGGGGGAGCTGCAGAAGAAAGAGGAAGAGATGAGGCAGATGTTTGTCCAGAGAGTCAAAGAGAAGGAAGCAGAGCTGAAAGAGGCAGAAAAAGAGGTTTGTTTGTTTGCATGTGTAGTCTGTAATTTTGTAGAAATGTTGTCATAAAGGTCGCAAAAGTGTTACCAAAAGCTGACGATACATGTAGCTGGATGTCTGGGATGATTTATAGAATACAACTAAACGGTATTTTAAAAAAGTGTTTTAGTGTTTAGTCCTATAAATTGGACTATTTACAGTAGATGTAAAGCTTTGTTCAGTAACCGCTCACATACTGACTGTGTTCACATCACAGCTTCATGAAAAGTTTGACCGTCTCAAGAAGCTTCACCAGGATGAGAAGAAGAAACTAGAGGACAAGAAGAAGTCTCTCGATGATGAGCTGAACGGCTTCAAGCAGAAGAAGACGGCTGCTGAGCTGCTGCACTCACAGGCCCAGCAGGCAGGGAGCTCCGCCACACTCAAGAAGGATAAAGAGAGGAAAAAGTAAGTATTGACCTCCACGTGGTTCCTAACCCTCACCACCTTCCCTCCCCAAGACCCCAGACGATCACGATGCAGGAGATTGTGTGTGCATTTCACTGACCGCCCGGTAAGATTGCAGGGAATGTTCAATTTAGATCATTACCATAAATTCAAATGGATGGTGTTGACAGTATGTCTGAAAAATGAAAGGTCTCGTTTGAACATATACGCTACTGTTCAGAAGTTTAAGGTCAGTAAGATTTTTCTTTTTCTTTAAAAGAAAGAAATACTTTTAGCAAGGATGCATTTAATTGATTAAAAATTTCTATTTGAAACAATAAATTGTTTGATCTTGTGTTCAGACTGGAGTAATGATTTGCCTTTACAGGAATAAATTACATTTTAAAATATATTAAATTAAAAAGTTATTTTAATTTGTAATCCCATTTCAAAATATTACTGTTTTACTGTATTTTTGATTAGATTAAAGCAGCCATTGTGAGCATAAGAGACTTTTAAAAATGTTCCGACCCCAAACTTTTGAACTGTAGTGAAGCTACTCGTATTTTTGTGCAATTACATACAATACATTTGTAGTTTTCGTTTGATTTTGCATAATGGAAACTAGACCATACTTTAATAGTGACCTCTTAACATCACACAGTCTGATGTGTAAGATAAGTCTTGTATTAATAGAACATGTTGGACAATTCTATATAGTAATAATATTTTCTTTATAATTATATGTAATTGTGACTATAATTATCATGGCTTGTAAAATGATTAGATTATGAACATTTAAAAATATACATATATAAATATTTTTTACTTTTAATCTAAGGGTCACACACATTCAGTCTGAAAAGCGTACTAGTAATTAGATCTCAAATAAATTGCTTCAACAATGCTGGTAATCAACCATGGTTGTGTATTCAAGCTGATTTGCTGCATTCACCTGAATACTATGGGAAGACGACACTTTCAGTGACAAGGTTTTTTTTTTTTTTTTCTTTTAGATCAATTTCTGCTTTTATTTTTAACTGTTTTTCCCCCTTAAGCTTCTTGTATGCGCTCATGAGGCAGCAGACCACTGCTTTAAAAACGTATGCTACACTTCACAGCAATGAGATACCAAGAAAGCAGTTTTGCAATGTATAAAGTGCAAGAAAGTAAAGTGAAATAGACATGTGAAGGCCAAGTATGGTAACCCATCCAAGTTAGTGCACACTCATTAGGAGCAGTGAGTAGTGAACATACACACACCTTGAGCAGTGGGCAGCCATTTTGCTGTTCCACGCAGGGAGCGAGGTGTTCAGGGTTAGGTGCCTTGCTCAATTTCCTGCTGGTATACACTGATTTCACGCAGCCACCATTTTCAAATCGAAAGCAAGGCTTGGACTACCAACCTGAAGCTGTTGCCGTGATTTACACTATTGGATGTTAATATCCAATATAGGATATGTATATAGTTCGTTCCTGCTGCTTTTTTTACGTTCTGAATTATATATATATATATATATATATATATATATATATATACACAGTGTATGTATATATATTTATAAATGAATCTTACTTTATATAGTCTAATGGCACTTTTCCACTGCTGGTATGGTGCGGCTCGCTTCGCTTTTCCACTGCAGTTAGTACCGCTTCAAAGTGGATGGGATTAATGGCGCTTTTCCACTGCATAGTACGGTACGGTTCGGCTCAGTATGCTTCGACTCGGCCCGGAACAGTTCGGATCGCTATTCGTTTCCACCGCAGTAGTACCCCTTCAAAGTGTGTGGGACTGATCGTTATTTGCGCGCGCCTCTACTGCCATGACATCATCTTAAAAGCGCCACATTTTCAAACCCACAACACAGGAAAAATGGAGACTATCGAGGGGATGGTGTTCCTGATTCTCGGTATGTGGTTGTTTTTAACTGCTAGACGGAAAATGTGTTTAAAATGAGGCTGATGGCAGCAAAACAAAAATACTGCTAAAAAAGTGTCTCGTGTCGCAAATCCAATGACGCTAGTAGTGACACAGGGAATGATGATTCTGTCTGACCAATCAGTGATCTGCAGTGTTTCACGTCACATTTTAGTACCGGTATGGTACGCTTGGAACCTCAACAGACCAGGTACCATTTAAAGCGACCTGAAGCGAACCGTACTGTACCGTACCATGCAGTGGAAATGCACCACAAGTGAGACGTACCGAACCGTACCGTACTATGCAGTGGAAAAGCGCCTTAAAGTCTGACCATTATACCGTCCACTGTTTCTTTCTTTTTTCTTCAAGCAATTCAATCAAGTAGTTTTTAAAACAGGTGCTACAGCGGTGGCTGTTACTGGCTATTTAAATCTAGCGGGTTTGATGTCTCACAAATACAATGACAATGGTAGTGACGATTCTGTCTGACCAATCTGTCACCTGCAGTGTGTTCACGTCACATTTTGGTATCAGTACGGTACACTTGGAACCTCAACAGAGGTGGTATCATTTAAAGCGACCCGTTCTGAACCATGCAGTGGAAAAGCGCCATGAAGTATGTACAGTTCTGGAATAACTCATTTCTACATTAAACACAACAATACGCAACAAAAATCGCATTCACGACTCTCCTGTGATTAAAGGCGGCACTTCCGGTTTTCTTTCCACCACAGCCTCACTTTCGATTTTAAAATAACGGCTGCGTGAAATCAGTGTATTGAGAATCGGACCTGCAACCTTTATCCAAATCCAAAACTTGAGATTGAACAGTTTCTTACCACTTTCTTTTCCATTATTCAGTGGGTGATATTTATTCCTAGATTTATAAGATAGCCAGAGAAAATGTTACAGTTTTCCTCAGTGCTCATGTGGGGCAGGGCATGTACAATATTCATTTTGATGTTGCATGTAAGGTGTCTTGTTTAGTTTGTACACGTGTCATGTACGTCTCATCCATGCTGTTTTCCAGTTAACTCCTCACCTGCTCCCCGTCCTGCATGAGTCACCTTATGCTGGTAAGGCTTTCATGGTATCTCTTAAGACACAAACCCTCGCTCGCACGATGGGACTAAATTACAAAAATGTGTAATGATGATGGACAGTTACACTGCGGTGTCAAAGCACTGCAGTAGTAATTACATTTCCTGTTCATGCTTAAGCCTTAAACACTGGCAATGTGAAAAATGTCTATGGTAGCAGCAGGGGATGTTGTGTCACCAGCGTCAGGCGAGAGTTTATTGCTCTCGCTATGTGATGTGCAGCCATCTGCCATCTGAATCCATAACAATCTGCTGTTGTTTTCACTCCACACTGCTCTTCCACAGACTCGCACAAAAGAGCCTTTAATGGCTCGGCTCCTACAGCTGGGCCACACTAGTCCTACACTTGGCCGAAAGCTTGAGCTATCCCTTGCCACATACCTATTAGTAATAGTTAATTAACACACATTAATGTTGGGATGTCCTATTTATGCAAATAACCCACAGAAGAGATAATGTAATTCATTTTATCCAGCACAAAGAGAGAACAATTCTAAGCCTTACCACATACACCCCCTGCAACTGCTTTCAAGTGTTTTAACAGATGCACGACTAACATTTTGGATCTTTTTGTTTTTTATTTTTGTGTGAATACAAAAGTGTGTAACCTGTAGGGAACAATAACCTTCCTTCTCTCTCATTTCCAGTTCAGGATTCCTGTAGAAAGTGCTCCCCCTGCCCGCAGTGAATGAGCTCTCCCCCCTCAGTGTTCCTGAGCCATGCTGTTCCCGTTCCCTCCCCCCTCTCTCCCGCCCCACATCCCCCAGTTTCACGCATAACATAGCTGAGGAGGGATATTAACTGTGAATTGGAATCCTTCTTTTTTTTACATTTTTAAAATTCCATTTGTTCTTCTTTGTTTTACTTGCTGTGTTATGATCTCATAATGATATTGCTTTGTTTTGCATGATTAATGTATGAATCAACTTTAACATGAGGGGCTACTGTTGCAGTAGTGAGCACACAGGTTAAAATGAGACAAATTGGATTTCACTGTCAGTACCATTTCATTGGTTCTATAATAGGAAGATAAATGAGCTGCTTTCAGTTCAGTCGTTGAGCTTTAAAGCATTTTTACAGTTTTCTAATAGAATTTAGGTACATGAGTAGTGGAGTGGTGTTTTGTCTCATTTTAGCTCATGCATGTTATGCAGATCATATCTCAATGTTGTTGTTTTTTCATAAACCTGTCATTCTTATGCTTGTATTAGTTTAGAAAAACTTCATATTGGCACATTTCATACAAATGTAAGCAGCTTTTTATAGTTCTTTATTTTTGTGACATTTTATTTTTCACAAAATTAAAATAAAAATAAAAAATTCACTTACTAATCATTAAATATCAATTACAAGGGGACCAATAAAGCTTCTTTCATAAAGCTTAAAACTGTGGAAAATCATTGTGTATGGCTATCAAACAGTTAATTTTGCATTATTCATGCAAGTGTTACTGTTTATGTACTGGGGGTGACATGGCCAGTGTTTGATTTTCCACCAAAGCATTTTTAAAGAGCCGGTTCGCAAACAAGTTCTTTGTTTCGACAGTCAAAGAACCGGTTCTCGGCCAGGAAAATTGGTTCCAAAGCGGCACCAACTCTTTGCTGGACTAGAACTGTTCTTTTACCATGTCATGCTTATGTCAGGGGCTGGTTATTCTGACCAACAATAAGATGGGAATGGTAAAGCCAAGACGTATGGCAATATACACAGTGACATAACAACATCGTTCGCTGGGCTCTTTAGTCAGTGGGAAAACAAGCCAACAAGTTGAACCAGCACCAGTTCCGACCCAGTTCTTTTTTTGGTGGAAACAGTAATGGAAAATCCTGATTCCTCAATTTATAGACCTTAGGCAGGGTGGTGATCTGATTGTTCAGCTGACACAACGTTTTTCTAAAAAAAAAAAAAAAAAAAAAAAAAGCCTTCAGTAGACAATGGGCTTTATGCACAGCTGCACTACTTCCTGAACTTAAGCCAGCTCCTTGTTTCCTGTCTGCCATTATTGGCCACATTGATTAATTCAGGTGTGTCTGATTATTGTTGCCATGACTACTGAGATCAAACACACCTGAATTAATCAATTTGGCCAATAATGGCAGACAGGAAACAAGGAGCTGGCTTAAGTTCAGGAAGTAGTGCAGATGTGCATAAAGCCCATTCTATAAAAGTTCTGGGACCTATAGGGACCTAGTGATCTAGGACATTTATACAGTATGTGCCATTGTAAAGATTGTGCCCTCACAGCCTCGTTTTCATCTGCATTGAATTCAATAGGCAGTTTGGAGAATTGCTGGACTTTAAAGCAATTTACTATACCTTTATGCTTAACTGAGCACATATAATAATAAGACCTGCTTAGTCCTACATCTGAATACTCCACAGATTTGTGGCCTGTATTCTCAAATGAAGAGCTGCCTGATCACTGCCACAAGTAAATGTTAACTGAACTTTATTAAAAGATCCTTTTGACAATAAAGTAGGAAAATGTAGTCATTTTAATCCATTTATATCTGTCTCACTGCAGAAAATGATGCTTTTATTTTCAGTCTTGAAGCTTCAGCAAGTTGCGAATTATGTTTTCAAAGCTACAATTAAACATACCAGACTGTTCAGCCAAGTCGAAGTGAATCAAACAATGCTTTGTTATGGATGGTATTTGGATGCTGACCTTTCAACAGGTGGTATTGATGCGATTGGTATTTAGCACTTTATTAACTCTCTTGCTCCCTCCAGTCTCCCTGCTCACTGTTATGTGTGTATTTACTTTCCTTTGCAGTAATCCCTGGCTCTGCACTGAGTAGTATGGCTTTGATAAGGGACCAGGCCCAGACTCTTTGGTTAACCGGTACCCCGAGGCAGTGCGGACCCGGCCCTCTGTGTTTCTTACAGATCACCTCTTGTGTTTTCACTTTGTGCTCTTTCTGCAGCTTTTGCTAACATTTATATTTATTGTGATACCAAAACACTTACCTTTGCTGAAGGCTGTGCTTATTTGCGGTGTATGTGTTGTGTCACTAATATGCTTAAGATTGTTTGCCTCTTCAGAGATGTGGGGAGGAAAAATGCAATCATAATCACTGTCCCAGTTAAGCTGTTTTATTCTTTAAATTTTTTTAGATTGGGTTACTCTTGACAACAAATGGACCACTTTAAGAATGCAAGCTGAAAGCAATGTTGCATTGAACAAATCCATGCATGTTTAAGAGCAACTTGTGAAGATGCACAGTGCATTTGAAGCAGGGCAGAAGGATGGTGTTCCTATCCGCCCACATTCCCAATGCTTCATGCTTTTGCCTGGCAAAAGAAAAATCTGAGTGCCCATCTCCAATTGACTGATGTAAACTTGTCTTCCCACTGGCACTGATGCCCAGTTCAATGCCCTCCTGATACTTTCTCTAATCTGCGTTTGTCTCCTCTCTTCCTCTAGCTTCTTTTAACTCTGTCTTGGCCACCCGTTGGAAGAGGGGATTGCAGCTTCCACGAGAACTAAGCGTCCACTCTTCTTCCTGTCTTTTTCACTCCGTCAGCCTTGTTTGAATGTTTTTGTTTTTTTCATTTTTAAAATTTCATGCTGTGTGCCCTGTTGAACATGGCCTTATGTGGGCTTAACATGGTATTTTTTCAACGAATATTAGCGCTGTTTTCTAATTAGGGCATGCCAAGCAGTCCCTCATTAGACATCTTTTGCTGGCGACACCAGAGCCAAAGCTCTGATAGAAAGGCTGTTAACTAAAGCAATGCTTTTGGAGTGAGTTCAGTTTAGCATTTCACATCTATGATATTGCCTTGTTCAATTAAACTGTTTATTTTATTTTATGGATATGTGTTTGTGAATAAACCTGCATGTACTCATCAACCTTAACACAGTGCTAACTGTGAGGAGCGAATGGATTCTAACTTATTTGCAAACACTATGCTTAATTTAGGGTGTGAATTATTTAAGTTGAGTAAGAATATCTTTAATAAGACTTTAGCATTTCGACTCGCTGGCTGTGAATATTGAGAAAATCCAAAGAAAATGGGCCCGAAAGTTCCTGGTTGTTAAGGCAGGCAAATGTGTTAAGTGAGAGAGATTTAACTGTAATTTAATGAGAATCTTTATCTGGAAGCACGAGCAAAATCGGAGAGGTTTGTATTGTATGTTTTGTAATCCCCTTTACATTTTACAGGACACATTTCTAGTCTTAAACACTCACAGCAATATAGTTCTAATTATTTTATTTAAAATCTTAGGGAGTAATGGAACACCTATTGAATACCATGTAGGTCACATTCAGTGCCACTTTTATATTCTTTATCTTCTGTTCTTTTGCATGCCCTGAAAATATTTTGATTATATATGGACTTATTCTTTGATTAGAGATTTACACTTCAAATGCTTCTTTCTTTGGACCATTTTATTACGTGTTTTTATTTCAGGTACAATGTGCAGTTATGGTCAGTTTTTAAATGTAATTTTCCATTTTGCCAAATATTGCATAGAGATATACATCAAGGGTTTTCAGTAATTTCAAGTCAGTCAGTTATGAAGTACAGATGTTTATGCATATGTGTGTAGTACATATAATTTTTAAGGACCTATTTTGCGTATCAACTTTGAAATCTGTTTTAATGATTAATTACATTGACAAGTGACTGTTTTTTCCTGTGAAACATTTTGGGTGTCAAGACATTTTTCTAGTCATCTTCCATATTTTCCCCTTAATGTCAATTACCCCGATCCCTGTAATTCCAGAAATTTGTGAAGTATTTAACTGTAGTAAGATTCCATGGTGTACATTTTCAATAAAATTACATTAAAACAACTTTTATATGCTGTTTCATAATTTATTACTCATACATATATTTTTTTAAATGTATGCAATATATTCTATTTTTGTTTTGTTTTTTTGCTTTATATATATATATATATATATATATAGATAGATAAATAAACAAAAATGAGTTACATCATAATGATGTGAAAGGTTTTACGTAAAATTATATTATAAACATTAGTTGTGTCAGGATTATTTGAATAAAAATGTATTGCGCAGGCAACACTAAAAATATTCAGAATTCAGATGCTAATATACCATGGTAAGTTGTGACAGTAGAAATAGACTGTGTATCAAAACCTAGTCGACTGCCTACCAAGACAGCATTTTGGCCATCATAGTCTCTTTCAAACCATAAACCTAGACAGCAAAGGATAGTAGTCAGCTTTTTAGCACTACGTTCTGAAACACTGACACAGTGTGCCCTGCGTTTCCTTCTCTGGCCACTAAGAGGCGCTGTAACACTCAGGAATCATCAGCTATTAGCGCTCCGTCACTGGACTGTACAGAGTCCCTCGTCCGCGCACAGAAAATAATATTTAGATAGCTGCTGTATATTATACTCGAAAAATATGTCTACTACGACCGGTGGCGGAGAGTTTGGCAACCCTCTGCGGAAATTTAAGCTGGTTTTCTTGGGCGAGCAAAGCGGTAAGTGTTCAGATAACGCTAGCACTATGTGTGAGACGTGGACGGAGAGATAGACAGGCCAGGTGAAAGGACGTTCCAGAAGGATAGATGATACTAAATAACGTTAAGTTGTACAAGCAAATATCGATTTGACAGGTTGTACTGATGACAAACGTCGACACGCTCTTAAAATACTCTAAAATTTACAGAAAACGTGTAGCATGTAACGTTAGCATTGCACATCCTTGAAGTAATTAACGTTACACGAATAGCAGCTATACGTTACAAAGGATGCGAGATCCGAAAATCACCTCCATTATGCTTTAATTGATATATGTATTTTTCGGTCTTCCCTCTCAGTCTTTATGTATTCTTGAATGAAGACATGGAGGAAGGCCATCAAGTCCTTGTATTAGCATGTTTGTGTTTTCTTTTCTTAGCCACAACCGAGATCTCTCATTTTAAAGGCCTTTTATATGTGATTGCATCCACCATTACTGTTTAACACATATGATGCAAATTATATTAAACTAGTATCGGATGTTAATGGTTTGAATCTGTAAAACAATACTGTCTGTTGTGAAATGGTTGCTAACTGTTAGCAGTTAGTTAGCATGTTTCTAGCTGACCGGCTGTGACTATCAAGATCGTGATGTTATAAACCACATCAGGGATGTTTAACTGCCAACATCATCCACTTTCTCGTTTCATAATGGCTGGATTTGACGTTAAAAGCATTAGGCAGCTGTCGTAAAGGAGAGTTTCTGCACGTCTTAACCTGTATTGATGCAGTATGTTGCTGTGGAAAGCAGGACGGCGACACCCATGTTGCCAACACAGCGATCAGAGTTCAGAATCATCCTGCGATGCATCCGTTCCCTTGACAGCATCTATGACGTGATGCATTCAAACATGCTGTCTATGTAGGGATCACACTAGGTTTTGAGACCCATTCACTGTGAGGCCCTTATGTCTAATGCGTCGTTTTTTCTTTTCCTCCACAGTGGGCAAAACTTCACTTATCACCAGGTTTATGTATGACAGCTTCGATAATACATATCAGGTAATACTTGCTGTGATTGTTACAGACCATGTTATGTTCGTGTGGTACTGGCAGATGCTTACCATGTTACCTAAATCAACTTAATATCAAAGTATTGTTGACTTGAAAGCTATCATGACGTCGGTTTGTTTGCTTTCTTGAAGGAATAGTTCACTCACTAATGAATAGTGTTGTCATTTGATGTCATGTTGATCCAATCCTTTCTTTTTTTTCATGGAACACATAAGGAGATACTTTATAGATTAGTCACACTGCCATTGTCCTTACAACAAAAGCATATGATGGCCAAAATCTGTCTGTAGTTAAAGTTCAAAATACATTTTTGGCACACTATCAAAGTTGAAATAAATAATCTTTTTACAAGCCATAAAATGTGTTTTATATGCTTTATAACGTAATTTATTGCTGAAAATCTGAATTTTCAGGCTTTACTTTAGCTACTCTAGCTATTCTCAATAATACATTTGTGCTGCGTAATATTTGTGTGGAAACCATGATGCATTTTATTTTTTCAGGATTTGAAGTGGGAAAAAAAAACAGCATTTATTTAAAACAGAAATATTTTATATATCTACTCGGACCATACTTTTTTTTTGTTATACAAGTTCAGTCTCAATAATTCCTTAGCATTTCACTTAGCAGTGCCCATTTTAACTTGCATTTGGTGTTTGTCGAGTGTTCATTTAGTTCATAGCTCTCAGATCTGATGCACATTAGAACCGATAGCTTTTGGTGTCATTGAAATCAAATTTGATATAAAAGTGTCTTGTTGCAAAAAGTTTAAATATTCACAAGAGCGAATTAGATTTTCAGTGAACAAGGATCAAATATATTTTGTGACTTGATGAAAGGAAAAGAACAGTATGAAAATTATGCAAAATATCTCATTTTGTGTTCCACAGAAAATACAGTCAAAATAAATATTCCTTAATTGGTCTGTATTTTAAAATGTGATTGTTAACTCATTATTTCTCTCCATAGGCAACTATTGGTATAGACTTTCTGTCAAAAACCATGTACTTGGAAGACCGCACGGTAGGACGGAGATCAACTTTTTTAGAATAATTTCCATGGAGTCTCTGTGTGTCCAAGCACAGAAATATTGACTTTTAATTTTAGTACTAGTGTAATAGATGGTTTTGACACACACTGGCTCAAGTCATTCATCTTGATGTTTTCTAATATCACCTGTAAGGTTTATAACGCCCTATTTGGACAGGACTAGTTTTCTAAACCATGTTTGAGTTACAATTCTGATCACCCTACGTTTGTGATTCCAAGCACTGATTTGGATGGAACTGAGGTCTCTGTGTTTATTACAGAGGTGGGAGTGTGAGTTTTCTAGACATGGGCATTACAGAAGGTAGCTTACTGTGCTACGTATGACGTATATATATTTTTTATGACTTACTTATTAATGTAACTTTAATATATTGTTAAAAAAATATTTAAATGTAGTTGACATGAGTTTATTGGAGTGGCTGTTTCCACATAATTGAGTGGAGACATCTAGACAAGTATATTACCGTACATGACATTAATATTAAAAGGGGCAGTCTTTACAGTTTTTGCAACTGGGCTCTATTTAATAATTAAATTAAAAAAAAAAAAATTCACCATTTTAAAATAAAATAAAAGCATGCGAAAGATTGGTACGCATAATGTAATTCAGAAAGATTAAAAAACAAATTCGGAGAGGATTAGATTTCTAGATTTTCATTGAGTTTGCCAAAAACAGTAGGTAATTTGCACTGGAATTTTTTACCGAGGTTGTGTGAGAAAATACACAGACATGGCAGATTCAGAAAGGATTAAAATCACAAAGTATGCCTTTGTCTCTCTGACTCATTTCTCCTAACGTCCAAATAGGGCTAGTCCACCAGGTGATTTCACTGTCTGTCACAGATTCATCACAGTTATCATTTCCGTAATTCCTTGCGCATGCTTGTAGCTCATCACACTTATGTCATTAGTTTGTCATTTATTTTGATTTCACCTTTTTAAGTTTGGTTGTGTCTTTGTCCACCTCACCCCACTCTCTTCCATGGCTGGGTGCTGAATGGGTCCCCATGCCTGTTGTGCTGCATGGACGTTCATAGATTCGGCTACAGCTGTGGGACACTGCTGGGCAGGAACGCTTCCGTAGCCTCATTCCCAGTTACATCAGAGACTCAGCAGCCGCAGTGGTGGTCTATGATATAGCAAGTAGGTAGCTAGTGCTCCTGCTTCACCACATGGTGGGGTAAAGTTGGGTTCTGCTTTAGTAAATGGCACTCATGTAGCTTTATAAGTTTGCTGGTTTATTTCAATGCTCCTGGTAAAATTAAACAAAGTTAGATGAACAAATAAAACGCATAGTATGGGGATGTAAGAAATGTAAATGCTGTCATAATTTTGTCACCCTCATGTCATTCTAAACCTGTATAACTTTAATTCTTCTGACATTTCAAATTTTGCGGAATCAAAATGCTTAACATTTGAGACTATTTATTTAGATGGTTTTCATTGTTCCTAAAGCTAGATTAAAATCAAATGCTGATAGAGCCTTTTCTTTGCACCCCAATTATGGAGTTCTCTTTTAATGCATATTGGATGTAAGACCTATTTTTTTAGTATGGCTTTTACACCTGAGCAGAATTAATTTAGAATTATTTTATTTAACTTATCTGCTGGAAAGCAGTTCTAGATATAATTTATGTTGTATTGAACGCAAAAAAAAAAAAAGATATTTAGGAAAAAAATGTATTTTGTTTTTTTGTCCATACAAAGTGTTGATTTGGACCCCATTAAAGGGATACTCCACTTTTTTTTGGAAATAGGCTCATTTTACAACTCCCCCAGAGTTAAACAGTTGGGTTTCACCGTTTTCGAATCCATCCAGCCGATTTATCTGATATTTAGAAGAATATCAGTAACCAGACATTTTCTGGTCTCATTGACTTCCATAGTATATTTTTTTTCCTACTATGGTTGTCAATGAGACCAGAAACTGTCTGGTTACTGACATTCTTCTAAATATCAGAAAATCGGCTGAATGGATTAGAAAACGGTAAAACTTAAACGTTTAACCCTGAGGGAGTTGTAAAATGAGCCTATTTCCCAAAAAAGTGGAGTATCCCTTTAACTTGTATTATACGGTTAAATAGTTAAAGCATTCTTCGAAATACTCTCTTTTTGTGTTCTGCAAAAGAAAGTCATACAGGGTTTTTGAAAAACATAAGGGTGAGTACATTCTAGCAACATTTCCATTTTTCTGTCTTTTTGAGTACAATTTGAGCTTGTTAAAATGCTGTTTAGCCTGAAAACATGTCCAGCAATACTTGTGCATAAGGAGTGCCATTTGCAAAGCATCTTGCAGAAAGCAGGGTCATTCAGAGAGCAGGAATGGAGAAATGCCTTCAGATTCCTAAAACCTTGTGGTTATGATCTATAAGCACAGAAGCAAAAATTGGTCTATTCTGTTGGTGCATTTCTCCTTTTCCTTCATGTTTTGCTTCTTTGATGTTGTCCTTTTCGTCTAATCCTGCTCCCTTACTCTATCCTCTCTTTATACTTTTTCTTTTCTCTGTTCTGCCTTTCTCTTTCCCCTGTTTTCATTGCACACCACGATTTGCTGGTCCATCAGGTTCGGCTCCAGCTATGGGACACTGCAGGGCAGGAGCGCTTCCGCAGCCTCATTCCCAGCTACATCCGAGACTCCACTATTGCTGTGGTGGTCTATGACATCACCAGTGAGTCTGAGCCTCACTCATTGGGTCAGCAGGGATCTATGCTATCAGGGCACAGTTAGCACGATTCAGCAGCTGCTTCTAGGTCATGGCAGTTCATCTTAGTATGGTTGCTTGGGAACAATGCTGTTTTTAATATTTCATATTATTTTCAGATTAAATGAAAAGTAGATTGAACATGCTTCTCTCTTATTTGAGCTCGATGAGCATTGAGATTTCCTGTGCTTTAACTTAACCGTCCTCTGTTTTGTTGAACTTCATTCTAACAGTCTGCTTGCGCACTTCCTTCTAAAAAAGCTTGTCGTTGAAGTGAATCGAGTGTTTTTATGACCGTTGCTAAATTTGAATTTTGGAAATTGATTTAATTTATTAATCACTGAAATGAGTTCCTGCAGATCACAAGAGATATTTTTTCCTTTGTTTTACGTGCATGCATAACATTATTCCTTCTGTTCTTCAGATCTCAACTCCTTTCAGCAAACCTCAAAGTGGATAGATGATGTCAGAACAGAGAGAGGAAGTGATGTCATTATCATGTTGGTTGGCAACAAGACAGACCTGGCTGATAAAAGGTACGGTAGTTTCGAGGAGTTTGATGAACACATCTTTTATTCATCCATCAGACTTCACATTTTAAGCCCTTCACTGTTATTTTTGTGTTCAGTTTTCCCTTTATTAAGTTGAGTGTTATGTTGAATAATTTGTTGTGCCATTGTTGCTTTTCTGTTTGGTCATATTTTCTCTTTAATTTTATTTTTGATTTCCCATTACTACTTTTGTTTTTCATATCCATTCTAATTTGAACTCTGTCCACACCTCAACTATGGATTATGCCAGGCAAGTGTCATTAGACGCAGCAGAGAAAAAAGCCCGGGATCTGGGTGTGATGTACATAGAGACCAGCGCCAAAGCTGGTTATAACGTCAAACAGGTGGGTGACACGATACAGCTGTAGTGTAGACCTAAGCGTTCTAACTTGTATAACAGAATCTGTGGCATATTGTCAATTTCCACAGATTTTTTTTTTTTTTTTGGAGACTGTCTTCACGTTCGATAAACAAGCTTGATACAGTAATAAATCCTAGCAGAATCCTTGCAAAAAAATGTTCAACACCTCAAATCAACATTTAAAATAGGCTAATATTGAGGATAAACGTAAAGCTGTGTGAATTTCGTGAGCAAAAAAGGTCAATTTTCAATAGTGTAGCATTGCATGGAGTACAGCTCACACAGAGGTCACTTTTAAACCAAACATCTTTCTATTGGTCAACACCACAAACTTGCGTGACAATCTTGAACCTGGTATAAAATTTACAAGGGGTAATTTTCACCTTCAGTCGAAACTCAAAGTTTGATGGATTCCAGTTTGAAATTGCTGAATTTCGAACACTTTTTTTTCACATAGCAACCCTGTCAGTTGTTAACTGTTCAAGGATACCACAAAGAAACATGGAAGGAATGTGTCATTACAACACCCACATTGATTCTACAGCCACGGAATTCGGCAGAAAGCTCTGCAGATTTTCATTGAATTAGAACACGTTGAGTCATTCACAAAGTTCTTTACATCTTCTACCTCTTGTGTGTCCTTTTGTTAAAGGGGTGGTTGATTTCGATTTCACTTTTTTCATTTATTATTTTTCGATTTGATCAAGAACGTAAACCAATGGCAACGCTGTTTGTGTATAACGTTAGTAGCCAGTCAGTTCGATGCTATTTTGTGTAAAACAAACGTGTATAAAGTTAAAAAAATATAGGCAAATTATCATTCAGAAACGTTTTGTAAGAGTCGTGTTTAGGGAGCTACTGGTTGACTCTCTTCATCGCCGCTTTCTAGGTCTGATTCTGGCTCAAACTGATACTGCAGTATCAACACCATTATTTACATTTTACTGGAGCACATGCAACTTTCACTCGTAAAGGCAATGGCCGTGAAGTTTCCAGACAACGTGCACTACACAGTTTAGCCAATCACAACACACCGGCCTAAACTAACCAATCTGAGCCCATTGCCTGTTTCTGAGGGAGTGGTTTCATAGACTCAGGAAGTCAACCAGTCGTTCAAATGACAGAGGCGAAAGTGGCTTACCATAAAGGTGAAATTTATGAAAAATAAGACTTTTTAATAAAGAAAAAACACAAATACATGTTATATTGCACCCCATAAACACAACCATGCAAAGAAAAAAAAGCAGTAAACCACCCCTTTAAATATCTTGCCCTGTTGATTATACTTTCAGCTAACAATGTATGACTCAGTTTTACATTCTATAACATCTAAATCCATTTGTGTATTATTCGACTTCTCTTAAGTCAATACAGAAAATGTCATAAGTCTTGGTCTGGGCATTACTATCTTACAAAGTCAAAATTATTGCCTGTGGGAAGTCGATCAATTTGAAAGAATGCCACAGATGCGCTCTAGAAACAAAAGGATAGTTCAAAGTTTTCTTCTTCCATGGAACACAAAAGGAGACGTTTAGCAAAATGTATTTTTACTAGAGTGTATGCAGTGACGTCACTTTCCCGCCAGAATGCCCCCTCAGCGGGACTAAGTGGCAAAAGAGCCTGCTTAATGACTGGATTTTAATAGTGGAAAACGTGAGTAAACGAGGGATTATCATTTTTAAACTAAAGGTTGGTCTCGATATAGTGTTCTTTACAACTTAAAGATCCAATGATCCATGGATATTGACATGCAACAAGGAATCGTGTTTCCTGATATTTATATGTGCCTGATTTTGACACTGGGAAAATACATAAAGCAAATTTGCTTTATTTTAAATACAATATAGGTAGGTCTAAATCCGGGTGATCACTTATATCAATGTCATATATATCGTCATATCGTCCAGCCCTAGGACTTGTATATTTTTTAACCACTGTTTATTTAAAAAAAAAAATCTAATTATCCATAATATAAGATGGTAACTATTTAATTGATGAGTTGTCAATACAATAACAATACAATATATAGGGTATTATTTTACCCCCAAATTCAGCGTACTGACACATTTATAACTGCAAATCCATGTTTCGCTGCATGGAGTCCAGTTATTTCTATGAATTGCAGCGAACCATTTGCTTCTCTTTTCAGAAGCTTTCGGCAGTCTGTAAGAATAAACCTCAGATTTCTTGTCAAATGTATTTATTTCTGCCACACTGGGTGTAACCGCATTCACTCCGGCCAATGAGGATACCCTTTATACCAGGGGTTCCCAAACTTTTCCATTCCTGGAACCACGTAGACAATAATAATCTATCTCAAGACCCACCAAAATAATTTTAAAGCATGAATGTGGGTGTTAGTTCTCTTTAGAGCAGTTTTTTTTTCTGTGTCATAGTATGACATAGAAGTTGAATTGCAATACAAACTTATGGCACATTATCAAAAACTTTGAGAATTAAAATAGTAGCCTAATGGCTGTCTGCTGCCTCAACTGATTTACTCAAACATGGCAAAACAAATTTAAAGAAATGAAAACGATTAAGTAAGCTTAATCTTAACCAAAGGTTTGTTATGACAAAAAAAAATAAAAAATCAGAATATAAAAAAATAATAGACCACATTTTTTTGACAGTATGACCCCAGGACCTAGGATTTCAATACTAATATTTAAGCTGCGAGTGTTGTTAAACTCATTGTGTTGTTCAGCGCAGAAAACGCTTTCGTGCTCGTGTGTATACATTTTAAATACTTTTTACATATATATTTTCCTTATGTGTTGGTAGGTATCAAAATACATGCGAGGGATCACAAATAAACAAGGGATATTTCAGTGACCAAAGTGTCAATGACATTATCATCACTTATAAACACACAGGGTGTTTATTTTTGTTGTAGATTGTCCTCAAGTAAAAAATGTGTTCCCTGTGAATGGCCCTTTTGTTAAACTGCAGTGCAGTGATCTCTTTTTAAGGTTACGATTTCAGCCATTTCTCAACTCTTCAACCTGTGTCGTGGTCCTATAAAAACACTAATCCCTCTTTTTTCCCTATTACTAATGTGAACTTCAGGCAGTCTCTGTCTCTTTCTCTTCTTCTTGATGCATTTTTTTTTGTCTGTCTGTATTTCTTTCCTTTCCCCTCCCTGCTCTGGTCGAGCAGACAGATTACCACAGAGGAGGGCGAACAGAGGGCTAAGGAACTGAATGTCATGTTCATTGAAACCAGCGCAAAGACTGGCTACAATGTCAAACAGGTAGAATCACAGAGAAATGAGGACGGCCAAGCCCCACCTTCCCTCCACCACTCTATCTTCTGCTTTCTTTGGTTTCTATCTTTCCCCGCCTCACCCATCATTAGCCATTCTTCCTTTGCCTCACATTCACAGGTGTCCTGTGCTATTAAGCTTTTCTTTTGTGTGTTTTGTTTGCTTGAAGTGTTGCATGTTGGCCAAGCATCACTAGAATGATTTTTCTCTGTGCTGTGTTTTAGCGCACCTTGTAACTCACAGACTCAATGTAGACATTTCATTGTGCATTGTGCTTTTTAACAGCATATTATATTGTGATTTGTTTTCAGAATTAGTGGATTATGGTGTCTTTTTTTGTCATAATGCTAGTGTCATTGGAAATTACCCTTTTTCTTTTCTTTTTTTTTTTTTTTTTTACCTCTCTACCCATTGGGAGTTATATCATCTTTTAAATAGGGGAGACTATGGCTAGTTGGACATAAGGAAGTTGTCATAAGAGCAGTGTTGTGTGTAACGCGTTACAAAGGACAATGTAACTCGTTACAGTTACGCAACTACTTTTTCGGCTGAAAAGTAGTGTAACGCGCTACTACTGAAAATTTGGAAGTTAAACTACTGAAAATTAAACGTTACTTTTCCCAGGGACAGATTTGACAGCGTCTGATCTCTGTCATTTGACATCAATCTCCATCTTCGTGAACGCCTACAGAGAGAAATGTACATAATGGATTACATAATCAGAGAGTAGCCTGTTTCTTTTCGTTTTGAATTGTTTCATTTATAGACATTTCAAGCTTTCCGGTCAATTTATGATAAAAGTTACTTTCCATTTGGGGTAACTAATTAACTTTTTAAAAGTAACTTGTCCAACACTGCATAAGAGCCACTCTACCATTCAAAGGTTTGAGGTTTCCTTGGGAGAAACCAGGCTCAGTCGGGGGCCAGTTCTCCTCTGGCCAACGAAAGAACAGTGATTACAAAACAAATGGGATCGAAACATTAAGAGAATTGTCCATTTCCATCTGTTTAGAAGTCACAGTAATCACGCCGGTTTGGAGACGAGATGTTGAGGATCAGTGCCGATGCCTGTCGTGTCTGAGGCCGGCACTTAAGGATGAGTCGGGATGGGTCCAGGGCTGGTCCACCATAGAGGGTCCCTCAGGATAAACAGAGAAACTGATATTAGCATCCTTCTTTTGATGTACCAAGTACATCAGGATTTACGGGACGTGTTCCCAGTTCCCATTAGAAACACTTATATGCTCAATAAGATCAGTGTAATAGAAACAAACTTTACAAAATCAATCCAGTGGTTGGTGGAAACCGTTGTTGCATTTCAGTGTAATATTTTTGTAATACTGGTTTGGTGAGTAAAAAAAAAAGAAAAATCGAAGTTGCGTATTTTGTTGAGTTACATATATTGTAATTTATTTACAATATCTGTTGGCCAAAACAAGTTGATTTTTGTATTCTTTATTTTTGAGGTTTCATGAGGTTTGTCCCTTTCTTGAGGTTTTGAGGTTTTGTTTTGCTGTTTAAATGTACTTTAAAAGCCTATAATATACCTTACTCCATATACAGTATAACAATATTGTCACAAAAGGTTAACGTGTGCTGTTGACTGGAGTAAAACATGTTAGAACTAGCCCCAGTCTCCCATACTAATAAGATATATATTTTGTATTATAATAAACCTGCATTGATTTTTAAAGAGTTTTTAAGTAATGAACTTTTTTTTTTCTCTAGCTGTTTCGTCGTGTTGCCGCAGCTTTGCCTGGAATGGATAGTACACCAGAGAAAAGCAAAGAGGACAGTATCCTTCACATGCACCTTAAATATGCCATCTCTCACATTAAAATGTCAGTCAGTTTGTCCACACCCTGATAGCAGAAGATCATAAACATGTTGTCTGTCAACATTTTTGTCTAACAGAAATGAATGAAAAGTGTAAAGACATGCTTATTCAAATGATCCAGTCTCTCAGTAACTGATCCTTGATGCAAACTTTCAGTGATCGATATCAAACTGGAGAAGCCTCCAGAGCTGCCTGTTACCGAGAGCAGCTGCTCCTGCTAGTAACAACCCTCGGCCCCCCACCAGGTCCTGCGTCCCCCTCACTCCACCCCCTCACACACCAACAGCTTGCCTCTCAGTGGTCACTCGCTCCTCTCACGGCCCCGTGTCATGAGCGGAGAACTTTTTTCTTTCTCTTCGACTCAGTGACTTTTCAGAGTAACCGTGTGGATGTGCTTTTACTCTGTATTAAAATGGATTCCAAAAATGCATATATTGTTAACGGAAAAGTAAAATCACAGCATAGATTTAATGCAAAAACCATTCAGATCCTCATCTGTTCTGGCTGCATGGCATTATATGGGATTGCAGACTGACCTAAGCTCAGAAAACTTAAGTTTTCACACATCCGTGCCATCATAGTTGTGAAGTTAACATGTTTCAGAGCTGGGGCTGATGTTATCATTTTTAGGCCTTTTTTGCCTTCTTTTTTAATTTATCTGGAGGAAGAATTTATGGCTGTTACCGATTCAGATAACAAATTTCAACTTTGTTTTTTCACATGAACATCACACTATTATTTTGTTTGTGTTTTTTTTTTTTTTTTGCCAGAAGTTATTTAAAAGAAAGATACAGAACGAATCTCTTTGATTTTGTCTTGAAATATCACCATGGACACAATATTCTGTATAATTGGATGCTTCCATGTTAAATATAGTATATGGGACCAGATATCATTTTAAAATTGTTTTGTTTTAGTATATATACATGTATGGACAAGAAAATTAGCAGGTTTTTTTTTTTTTTTTTTTTTTTGCGATAAGCCTCATTCTGGACAGGCTAATTTTATACCGAAATCTTTGGAGGGTTGCATGGAAGTAGAATGTATTGAGCTGTTGGGGAAAAAAAATGGGATTTAATGTTCTTAGAAAAGGGAAAATTACTATTTAATTTTGTTCAAATTCAAAACCGAAGATATTAAATGACTTATCCACGACCATACTCACAAAACCTAACGTTAATTGTGAAAACGTGTATGTACTAACAAAACTATTGTAATGTCGCTCTGAGCTTGGATGTGGAAAACATCAGTAATTCACACTAATTCTGCTAAGTTTTTGTCTTGTTTTTGCTGCGCAAGTGTAGGGACCGCATGCAGTTTAGAAGACAGTTTAACACAAAATGCCTTGCTTGTTTGGTTGTCATGGTGCACCAAATCAGGCCACAGTGCTGTGGTTTGCTCGAGCCTATTAACATTGCATACAGATAATGAGGTTTTGTTCATTGAAACAGGACATTTCGATTTCTTCCTTCAATACGGCTATCGCTTGGTGTACAGACACGTCTTGGTATTGCTCGTCGTAAGACTGTTGGTTTCATGTGTTTATTTATTATCTCACTAGTTAGTGATACAATGTGTTGTATGCTTGATGGGAATGGCAGTTAGCAATGTGTGGGAATCAAAGTTTGATGTATTGCATTGCTGCCTGGCTACTCTATCACAAAGACCTAGTCGTGTCACAATCGTGCCACTCTTAAAGACATTCACGCCCCATCTGTAATGCTGGGTTTCTACAGTATAGCTTGAATGGGCTTTTATTTGCTGGAGAGGTATCACCAAGTCCCCCCCAGCACTGTCGCTTTTCCTCTCGTTCAACTGTAAACCGACAAATCCTTTCATCACTAAGACTTTAAAAAAGGGCATCAAGTGTGTTTTAAACATTAACATTTACTATGGTTTGATATGTAGGAAATGAAATAAATAAGAGTGAAAACCCTCCTGAACAGCTCTATCACGTGTCACTCACTGAATACTCAGCTGTGTGCTATTCTGAAGTGTGTTGGTCTGTTTGAAATACGCTGTCTAATAGTGTTTAGCTAAGTTTGTGTGACAAAGTACTATTATTATATGCTGTAAAAAATGGACGGTTAAAGAGACACCAAAATGTATCACAAGAATAAAAGATATTTCACCAGATTTGCTGTTTGTCCTGCTTCTGGTTCCTGTATATAGGCCTGTAAACATAGTGTTCATTAGAAACGGACTTGATGCATAATATAATCATTATATACAGTAACTTTTATTGATTACTTGATCTCACTTATTTGCAATGGCAACAAATTAATAGGCTAATTTACTTGAGACACCAGGCTTTTTAAATGTTCATGTACGTTAAACACATAATACACACACACACACACACAAATTACAAATATACTATATTTATTGATGTATATAATTAATATGACAAATCTTAAATAAAATAAAAATTAAGTTGCAGATACAGAAAGTGTGTTATGTCTGTGATAGCTGAGGCCAGTATTCTGTTTATATAAGAATATTTATGTATACTGCATAAGTAAGCAAATTAAAGGTTAAGTAATCCTATTAAAGCGTTTCATGTTATTTTTAACTCTTACGTTCTCTTTGGTCACTGTTGGTAGTACCATAGTCCACAACAAATAACAGAAAACACTATGAAATCCAGTTTCTTATTAATGGCACATTGCACAAGCCTGTTGAATGTTGTTCCTGTGGAGGTGATTTGAGTGGTTTCGGTCGTGAACAAAAGGCGGAGTTCACAGAATTAACTGATTGTCTTGGGATTCCGTTATGAATTAACCACGTATAGCCAATCATTGCCGCAGCAGAGAGAGACCACTGACCACCAATCAATATGGGCGGTCCGACACACCCAGTTTGTTCTAGTTTGTCAACAGTTCTCACGTTGGGTCCTACATAAAAGCCATTGGAGTATAAATCAAGATCGTCGTGTCAGTGTGCTAAATCACTGTTGTTCAGAACTGACTGACTAGCTGCGCACCTTGCAGTGTTGTAATACACCTGTTCTACTCCCGGAAGTGGTACGAGGTTTTTTTTTTTTCCATGCGCAAGCATTGACGCCTTGACGCCAGGTGAGGAATTTGTGAGAAAAATCTTGTCGAGCTTGAAATGTTAATCTGTGAACACCACATCGTACTTCATACATCAGAACAAAGTTATTGAGCCTCGGTACAAGATCTGTAATTCTCGCGGTGAAAGTTTTTGGTGAAATTGTTGTTTCAGTTATGTCTCGCGGTTCGGGAATCATTCCAGATGAATCCATGTTTAATGAGTTCAAAAGACAATGCTTGTCCACCGAGAATTGGCACAACAAGTATGATAAGAATGACATGGAGGTATGGGTCGAGGGCCCCCCTTTATCTACTTCTACAAGCAACAAAGTGAACATATCCAGAGTCCACAAAATCAAGGTAAGATGTTTGCCTACATTTAACTGTGGTGTGTGTGTGTGTGTGTGTTTGTTTGTTTGTGTTTGTGTGTGTGTGTGTGTGTGTGTGTGTGTGTATGTATATGTATACATTTTTAATATTATTAGAAACTTTTTTTAGTAACATTAATTTTATTACATCATGGTTAGACATGTACTTTGTTTACATATCTCTATGGACCCCCAGTATTTCACAGTCTTCTTGTTCTCTCTCTCTCTCTGTCTCTCGATTACATTTCAGTTAAATTTACATGTCCAGTCCTGTGTGTACTGCTGCCATAACAACATTAAAGCAAATGCATTTGTTTCCAATACAGTGTAGAATGAACATAAAGGATGTATCTGCTGCTACCATGTATGACGTGCTTCATGACAGTCAGTACCGGAAGTCATGGGATCCTACGATGCTTGAGAGTTTTGACATTGCTCGCCTGGCTCCCAATGCGGACGTGGGCTACTATTCATGTGGGTCATGTAATCTTTTAAATCTCCGTCCATTTTTAAGACCCCTTTCATGTCTTCTGGTCATTCTAGTAGTTTATTTGGGCTTTTGTGAGTAGTTCACCTAACAATGTGATTGCTTCAGTGCAGTGGCTTATCACAGTACAGTGCTCAAGATAAGCCTGGGACTATTGTGTATTTAGGTAGTGAAGTTGTGTTCGTTTAAGGGCCTATGTGTCATAAAAATATTTTCCCCCTCCTTTATTCATAGGGCTTTGTCCAAAACCATTGAAGAACAGAGATGTGGTGACCCTGCGCTCATGGCAGGCGTCTGAAAATGAGTACGTGATCATTAACTTCTCCGTGAAACATCCGGTACGTCTTTTATTTACTTACACCTTCTATTAATGGATGTCTAGATAAAGCAAGAGATATAAGAAAATATCAGATTTTGTAAAATATCAGATCCGTAAAATGTTTAGTCAAATGGAATTGCAAAAATAATTACTGTTTTCAAGTTTTCGCCCATCCAAATTCACATCATTATTTTTGCATTGAACATTATTCTCATTATTTTATAATGATAAATAATACAATGTATTACTACATCAATTAAAAAAATATACAAATACTGTAACAAAGCTTTGTTTTCATTTTAGAAATATCCCCCACGAAAGGATCTGGTGAGGGCCGTTTCCCTTCTGACGGGTTACCTTTTCAAACCAACAGGGCCTAATAGCTGCACTTTCACATACCTCTCACAGGCTGACCCCAGAGGTATAAACCAATTCACTCCCATCATTCATTTACATTGGAGGACTTTAATTTGTTGCTGTTTTATAACCTTTTTTTTTTTTTTTTTTTTTTTTTTAATCTTTTAGGGTCTCTTCCAAAGTGGGTTGTCAACAAAGCATCTCAGGTCCTGGCTCCAAAAGTAAGTGAACTTGTTTAGTCTCTTACTGCTGTTTCTGTCGTTTATACTCTTTGGGGATGCGAGTATCTTTGTATGTGGGTCTGTGTTTAAGGTTCGTGAAATCATAACTGTTTCTATGGTAACCTACTGGAATATCTTGTACTGAAGACGCTCACGCAGCACTTGCCGTGCCAAAGCCAAACTCGTTTATCTTGTTCGGTAGGCTGCGTGACTTAAGTAATTCTTTTAATTTTACAGAAGACCGCATCACTTAAATGCTAATCTCTTCCTCTTTATTAATCATTTTTGATTATGACTGACACAGTTAGACTTCACAGTTTTTAAAAACGCCTCTAATAATGTTTCAGCCATCATCAAATGGTCAGATTGATATCTAAAGATAACTATGGTGAAGATGTTCTTCTGATTGGGAACAAGAAGTCAGTCTGGTTTTAAATTGTGGCTTTTTTGCTGTTAGTTTCATAGTTTTGTTTGTATGGAGTTACAGCACATTGTAGGGCTGTTTGCAGTGTTTCCAGACAGTATCTATGTCCAAAGGGCACGCTGATAACATAGTCTATACATCACACTGTGTGTGTTATACAGTATTATTGAAAACCTGAGGTGTTTGTCTTTCCACTGATCATTAATCAGGTTTACGATTTGATTAACACTCCCCCATGTTTGTGAAAAGTCTCTAATGCTCATCAAGGCTGCATTTATTTGATAATACAGAAAAATTCAAAAATAATAGTAGTTTTATAAACTGTTTTCTATTTTAAGATATTTTTCAAATGTAAAACTGAATTTTCAGCATCATTACTCCAGTCTTCAGTGTCACATGATCCTTTAGAAATAATTCTAATATACAGATTTGATGCTCAAAAATGTGTGTGTATATATATATATATAAATTATATAAATAATTATATAATTTAAATTTATTATGTGTATGTATATATATATATATCATTTATTTATATATGAAATAAAAACAATATGAACGGTTTTGTCATTGATAAATGTTTGAGCATCAAATCAGTATATTAGAATGATTTCTTATATGTGTGTGTATATATATATATATATATGTGTGTGTGTATAAAAATATATATATATATAAAATAAAAGCTAATATGTACACATGTGTGTTTACATGGTACAACCATATTAAAACCATGTCTAAAAGGAGGATGCTGATTTTATTTTGATTGTTTTATTTCCTATCTATTAATACTGTTTGACAAAATTCTGAAGACCCAGACACTGAGAAACCAAAAACACTGTTTATTTATATAACTTGCTGCAATCGGAGTCCTTTCACAACCTGAAAAAGAGGTAAAACTGGATTCCAGCACATTGTTTGGGTTACGCAAGACTGAAAAAAAAGTTCAGTGTAACTTCCGGTGATACTCGTGCCACACCTTCACCTTCTTCTATCATTCCACAGGTCTTAAGAAGCGTTCATAAAGCCGGTCAGAGCTACCCCGCATGGAAAGCAGCAAATTCTCCAGATCATAAGCCATGGCTGTACCCCATTCAGAGTGAACTGCCCATGATGGATCCAGCAGAGCTGTCCATCCAGCGTGGAGACTCACTCGAGAACGTGGATGAGAGCTCATCCAGGGATGTTCAAGAGAATGAAGACAGCAGCTAAAACAGCTCAAAGAAAAGGTCCACGTCACAGGATCAGTCTCTTACCTCTTACCCCACTTATAGCTTGTTGATGTCAACATTCCTCCCTCCCGCTCACAGAGTAAGAGTTTACAATCACTGTGCTACACATTCCTTTATTGATGTCTGAATTTCTTAGTTCATTGCACGTGACATGATGCTTACTTGAACAAGGAAAATTCTTTATACTATGCAGCTCTACTCCTTTATTTAATTTGAAATCAGTTTGAAGGTGGTTTATTATCTTAAATGAGACTCTCTTTTTTTTTGACCTGTAATTTATTATTAAATAGTTATGATGAAGCTACACCTAAATGATTGTATTGACATGCAGGTAAATAGATGTTTTTTCTTTATGACTATGGTCAAGCATGTTTAATAACTATTTTAAATCTCCATGGTAGGGGATAGGTTTCTTGAGATGTCATCCTTTTTATCTTTGTGTAATTGTGTTTGAGCTTCTTCAAAGAGCTGTCTCTGTATTGGCGTGTGTGTGTGAACCATGGGAGAACCTGTGTAATGGCCCTGTAATATGACCAAAGCAGTCCAAGACACAAAGTGGTATTACCTCAAGATTTATTACTTGAAGTGGTATTAGTTAATTTGCCTGTAACAGGCAGAGGAAAACAGAAGGCAGAGAAATCAGCTGTTCTGTACTTCTCAAATATGTGATTGGCCCTTGAACATGAAAGAAAAAGGCATGTTAACAACATGATGGATCCATGCAAGACATTTGCACTAAAAGTGGCAGAGTAACCCAGATTTATGACATGATATTTTTCTTTCTGAGGATGGATGGATATGAAAATTTGTGTTTGAGAACTTGAATTTCATATACAGATATATGAAGTCCCAACTCACTAAATAATAATGTTTTATAGTTTTAAATAAATTGTTCAAAATATATTTTGAAGACCATTTCTTTTATTTCGTCCAATAAAAATGTTGCATTTTGGTAGGTTCAACTTTGCACATGAACTGCCTTCTGGTCCATTGAGCTTGTGACACAGTAAAAGGTAAACTTACATTTTGTGTGATAAAACAATGTAATTAAAAAAAAATGTAGACTTTATATTTACAGTACCACTAGTTGATGCAATATATTAATATCTGGCCACGCTACTTAACGCCATAACTTTAGTTACCAAATCTGAGAATATATTCATTTTACACACACACACCCTCTGAGCTTTTTCTCCATACAGGTTTATTTAAAGGGGCAATGTGTATTTTATGTACTTTTTTATTATTTAAAATCAATATGTTTATTCATAAATATGTCCTCAATGGTGTACAAATACCTCTGCCAATTATCTGACTTATCCTCATAAACAAAGAAGTGATATTAGAAGACATCCTGTCATAGTTTTTTGGTACATAATGGCTACCGTAAATGCAACGCACATTTGAAAAAGCGAGGCGCTGGAGAGCACAGATTGTTTGAAAGCAAAATACATTTTCACCGCTAGATGGGAGAAATTCCTACACATTGTCCTTTTAAAAAATAAGTATTTGCACCTGAAAAGGATTGTTTGCATTAGCATATTGATTCAGTGACAATTAGTTAATCAGTAGCTATGTGCTCGTCAGCAGGGCATCGGTTGATGATATTAATAGCAGATCATAATATATTCATGATGTACCCTTTGCCATTTATAATTATTTCATTTAATAAATACTATTTCTACCATGTTTTATTTTTATATGCATGATATATCCCATAGAATATGCTTATTTTACCAGCTGCATTCAAAACTTACACAGCTCAAAACACAGATGCCCAACACCGACCTAAATGCGTGAAGACGCTTTGAATCATCTGGCATGTTCTTAAGTGTTTGATGATGGTTTCTTTGAGCAGTCTTTTAGTCAGAGTCAATAGTTAGTAGGAGGAAGATGATGCAGAGAAGATGAAAGTTTGGCTGACACACCAATGCCTCATCAGTTGCGTCACTCACGGCTTCAGTCATGAATGTCAGCTCTGCCACCTAGTGTACAGTCCTCTCCTTCTGCCGTTGGTAATCTAGAAAAACAGATGCAGAACACTCATTTATGTCAGGTACTCCAAGTGAATCAGTTAACAGTAAAATAAGCTAAACGATATAGACCTAGAATAGCAAGAAAAGAACAACAGAGGCGTATTGAAATCATCAAGTCTGTACCTCAAGGGAAGGATGAATACAATACTCACTGTAAGGGAAGTAACGGACCTTCATCAAAATCTCTCTTGCTGTCTTTAAAATCTCCACAGCCTAGGAGAAATCAAAAACAGATTAGAAGAGGAAATATCAAGCATGTTTTTGTCTCTTGGACAGACATATCAAGCCTTACCCTTGAATGCTCAATGTCTTGAAAGTCCACATCATTGACAGAAAGCACCTGATCGCCCTCTTGTAGTCCTGCCCTATGGGCATCTGAATCTGGCACCACCTGTCAAGACATTTTGAACAAGACTAAGATGAAGGCAGTTCTTTTGATAAACAAAGAAGGTTTTAATTGACACAACTCACCTTTGAAATAAATATACCAAGCTGCGACGCCTTTCCTCCACGAATATTGAAGCCCAGTTGTGCTCCGGGGGGCTTTTTTAAGACTACAGTGCGAGGTAGGAAATGAGTGAGCTCATTGTTGTAGTCAGGGTGATGTATCCTCTAATTATTGGGAAGAAAAATGTAAATGAGGTCAATATGATCACAAAAGAAAAGATGAAAACATGCATTAATATTGTTGAAACACCTCTTGTGGAGGGATCCATGCAGGAGGGCTTTCATAGGACGGAAGAAACACTACTGGCAGTTGATAATCATCGTATGGTATTTTTTGGTCCATGTTTTTCGAGCTAGAAATTGAAGATAAGAGAAACAACAACAGCGACATGAAAATGCCTATCGTCAGATTGTCATCAATGTACTTGGATACATGTACTAGATCGTTCTATTTTTAAAGACTAAATGTAATTATTTACAAAACTATGGCTATACTGATTAGTAAAGCATAAAATGAACAAATATTTATAATTAAAGGTAAATACATTCTCTACGGTTCTCATTGTACAGTCCAGCAGGCTAGCTTGCTAACAACACTCAACTATAAACACAAGATGCGATGCACAATAAGCCATAACCATTAAAAATGAGAGAATAAACTGACGTTACAAATATGCTCACACTAAAATTAAAGACAAGCATTAAATACAGCTGCTTTTACTCGACGGTTTTGTTTTTGTCTGTGTGTGTGTGTAACTCACCACGAACGAACTCCTCGACAGAACCATTAGCCCCGCCCTCTTAGTGATCATGTGACCAGGACTTTTTTCCTTTTCTTTTTTTTCTTCTCCTCAACAAAAACTATTAAGAGCCAAAGAAAATATTGATGTTGGAACTGTTTCTCGGATTTCATCCTGAGATATGTCAACATTAGAGTAAATATGGCCTCTGGGTCATCTCTGACAACTGCCCTTCCTGTCCCATTGCTCAATTTCAAGAGCATCCTAATATCATGAATGGCTTAGGCTACTTGGTCTGAGGCTGCCTATTTTACAGTTTAACAAAATGGACTTCAAGGATAGTTCAGCAGCTTTTGTAAGACTTTGTAAGTTCAGGTATGTGCCTAATCAGAAATTATCTGCTAAAAATTAACCTAGCCATCTTCTAGCCAACCAACCTATCTTCCCTATGGCCTTCTCTGGAGTCTGGAGACCTATCCGTGTCTTTCTGTAATTAATTAACTATGGAACATTGGAAATCACCAACAGTGCTGTAAAGCCAAGCAGGTGGTAAATGCACGATCTGCAATATTTCAACTGAAAATATAGTAGGCTACACATTTTCTTTTTGCTGCCCATCATCTACTAATTCTTGGCAAGATTTGAAGCTGAATGTCACATTTCAATTTAACAATACATTTAGAAAATATATGCACTGTCTTTTATAGTACTTTGAAGGTCCTTATTTAAAAAAGAAAAAAGTTGTAAAAATTCTATATTAATTATTCATACTCTATAAATAAATATGACTTGGTACATATGAACAAAATGTGATCATCATTACAAAAACTTTAGCATTTTTGTGGCTATATGTGAACTGGCTATATTGAAATGCATAAAGTAACACATGAAATAACCCAGAAATGAATATAAATTATTACATTTTAAAGTTCTCGTTTCATTTCAATTTATGCTTTTTTTTTATTTTTTATTCATGATTATGTTTTTTTTTTTTTTTGCTCATTATATGTGCTTACATGTTGTTGTGTAGGCTACATTCCTATATTTTTGTGCAAAATGTAAATAAAAGGATGAGTGAATTTTATTACTGATATATCTGAAATCATACATGGGGCTTTTTAAAAAAAAAAAATATATATATATAAAATGAAGATTAATTTTGTGTGTCAGGTATGGTCAGGTAGCATCTCATGTTTTTTAATGGTTAGAAACACTTTGAATGTCGCCCTCTGTTGGAGAGAAGTGGAACAGCCGGCTGACGGCTCTCAGCGCATTGGTGTCGCTCTATATAAAAACAACGAGGAATGAAAAGCTCATTCATTACCGCCTTATTAATATTCAATCCGCGGATTTAAGTCTCAGCATGACTTCGAGTACAGAGACTGCTGAAAAGTGCTAGAGACTGATTTGGATTTCACTATCAACGTTTTGTTACTTTTACAGCAAGGTAAGCTTCTTGCAAATTCAGTTTATCCTGATTCTCTCGAACTATTTGTTCTGATCCAATGTTATTGAAAACAACGTGTGAGCTGAATATCGTCAGGTGTGCTTAAGCGTGTCATTACAGGTGCATATAGGTTATTTTCTTTTCTTCTCTAATTAATTAAAAAAATGCGTTTATAGTTTGCAAAAATTCTAAATGAAAATAGATTGTATTCAGGATTAAAAAAAGTGCTTATAGGTGCATTCTAATGCGAAACTTTTTTTGCAAATCATTATCAAGAGGTTAAACCATGTTTATGGGGAAATGTTTGATTGTGTTAAATGTTTACATGGATTTGCTAAAAAAAAAAAAAAATTACTTAGAAGTTGCAGGCTGTTTCCCTGTGAGGTTGTTGAGGTCAAGTTTAATGAAGAAAATGAAAGTCAGTGGTCCCATGACAATTATATTTAACTGGTTATTTTTTTTATTTCACAACAGTCAACGCATGCATTGTGTTCACCAACATCTGCCTTGGTCGTTTGATTTATGTGCAGGTTTTACATAGCTTTGCATAGGCTGCTTTCCTTTCATTTGCTTTCTTGCAACCATATTTAATTTTTTTTAATCTTCTTTTTTTCACATTTTAAAAACATTTCTTTAAATAAAAAAGTTTACTTGCACTGAAATACTTCGATAAAAGAGGTGAGTCAGTTATCAAAAGTCAGATTTTTTTCTGTGTGGCACTTTTCATCAGTTTTGTTTTCTTTGCTTAATAAAAAAAAAGCACATACAAAAGCATGATGATGATGGAGTGGATTTGAGAAAGTTGTAAAGCTATTAATGTGTTTCTTCTGTCTTTTACTAAGATCACAATGGCTGTGAAAATACTGCATAGTTTGGGGATTTATCTTTTGATCCTGTTGAAAATGGGACATAGTCTTTTTTGGAAAGTTCTGTTATGCCTGTCATCACAGAGGTAATAATCTTAGCAACTGGAAATTTGTATTGTGTCTTCAAGCTGGTGAATGCATTTCCTTTCATGTGCTCCAATTAAAAATAAAAGTATTGTTAAATCACATTTTTCCTTAAAAAGAAAGTCTTTCCAAGCAAACATAACTTTCTCAGCAAACTTGAGTCAAGTCAAGTGAAGTCAGTCACCTTTATTTATATATCACTTTTTACAATACAGATTGTATCAAAGCAGCTTCACAGAGATAACATGAAAATAATACAAGTTTGTTTCTAGAAGAAAATTGCATCATTGCCCACCTGAAGTAAGGCAGATCAATAATATAGTTAAACATTAAATGTCCCCAACTAAGCAAGCCAAAAGCCAAGGCAACAGTGGCAAGGAAGCAAAACTCCATCAAGTGACAGAATGGAGAGAAAAAAAAACCTTGGGAGAAACCAGACTCAGTCGAGGGCCAGTTCTTTGGCGAACAAACAAATAGTGTGTGATTATGATTCAGGCAACATTACAGAAGTCAAAAGTCAGATTGGATCAGAACATTCACATTATTCATCCAGTTCCATCTGGTTGGAGGTCGGAGACTCGGAGTCATCACGCCGGTATGGAGACGAGTTTGTTGAGGTGTCCATGACCATGAGGCGTATAGGGCTGATGAGGCTGGCACTTCAGGAATGCGTTTTGGTTGTGTTCAGGCGCAGGTTCACATCTAATCTGGATACGGCCCGGATCCGGCTGACTTCGTAAACCTCGGAATAAATGGAAAGACTAACATTAGCGTAGATGCCCTTCTTCTTATGATGTAACGAGTACATCGGTTGTCGTAGGAAGTGTCCCCGGTTCCGGCTGATCTAATCTATGCAGCCTAATAATCATTTAACTGATTTGAATAATAGAAATGTATAATGTTCTATGTGAACGCCAGGTAAAAGAGATGTGTTTTTAAACTGACAGAGTGTGTCTGGATCCCAGACAACTTTTCAGAGACTGTTCCAAAGTTTATGAGTTAACTTGTCACCAACTTGCTCAATATTGCTAGCCGGTGGATGTCAGTGCATCTGCACACAGTGAGGCCAAGACTTTAGGACAAAACATCAATTATTCCATCTGCCACTGTCAAAAACTTGGGTATCACTCTTGACCCTTCACTGACCTTCCATGCTGACGTTAGTCAACTCTGCAAAGCTTCATTTTTCCAACTCTGCCGTATTGCCAAACTACCAGAACATTCAATCTCATGTTTGCAATATATTCAAAACTCTGCAGCAAGATTACTAAGTTACACCAAACAAACCGCTCAAATTCTGTTCAAACTCCAGTGGCTACCCGAGTCATCCCGCATTACTTACAAAACTCTTCTACTTCCCTTCAAATCACTCAATGGTCTTGCTCCTGCCTATCTTTCTGACTTACTCTCTCCTTATATTCCCCCTAGAACTCTCAGATCCTCTGGTCGTGAACTCCTCTGTGAGCCGCGCTTTTGCCTATCATCTATGGGTGGCATGTCTTTTTCCGTTTTAGCCCCTGAGCTATGGGACTCTCTTCCCTTGGCTCTTAACAACCACGCTGTATGAATTCAAGTCTATACTCAAATCCCAGTTGTTTAAACAATATTATTAGTCATGACATGTTTTTTTCTGAAACATTCTTCATAACTCTGTATTACAGTCATAATGTTAAATTGGGTGCCATGCTGTCTGTGTTGTTTTTGTTTGTATTTCAAAATGTAATGCGCTGGGCAAATGTCTATTGTCCACTCATGTGTGAACTGATTGTTTTTTATTACTATTATTGTGAAGTGTCCTTGAGCAATTGGGAAAGGTGCTATATAAATTAAACGTATTATTATTAATGTCAAAAAGGACCACAAGGATTGGACAGCTGAAGATTTTCTGATTAAGCCCCTTCCAACTGTTTTGGGCATCTGGAAAATCGATGATATACTGCCTGATATAAAAACCTGATATACAACATGCCAGAGCAAATTTGGTTATGAATAAGGCACAACTTTGTAAAAAAATAAATAAGCCAATACAGCTTTTAAAACTTATGAAATGCTTATTTATACTATAGAAATGTGAAAAAAAAAAAAATATTCTGAAGCAGCAAACTTACATGCCAATACATTTGGGCATGCCTATATTTCATTAGTCCCTGATAAATGAATATACACTAAATTCAGAAAATTACTTGGGAACTTTGAATGAAAATATCGACAAAATCAAAACTAAAGATGTACAAAGTTATAGACATGATTCCACTAGCTTAAAGGAATAGTTCACCCGAAAATGAAAAGTCTGTCATCATTTACTCACCCTCAAGTTGTTTCAAACCTGTATTCATTTTTGTTCTGCTGAACACAAAAGAAGATATTTTAAAGAAAGGTTGTAACCAGGCCCCTTTAGGGCACCACTGACTTCCATAGTAGGGGAAAAAAAAAAACGATGAAAGTCAATGGTGCCCCAGAACGGTTCAGTTTCCCACAATCTTCGGAATATCTTCCTTTGTGTTCAACAGAACAAAGAAATTTATATAGGTTTGGAACAACTTGAGGGTGAGTAAATTATGACAGAATTAATTTTTGAAAATGTTCAATTTTACTTTTTTTTTTAATCTTTTAAGAGATATTTTTGCAAGACCCCATTGAATAATAATTCCTATTGGTAAGTTCATTTTGCAAACAAATCCAAAACAAGCCATGAACATGGCAAAGGAGTTTTTACCATGTTCTGAGAGGTGTGGTGTGAAAAATGGTATCCATGAATTGGCCCAGGGGGGTTTTTTAGTGTTGTGCAAAAACTGTCAAATACAGGTCATTTAATCAAAGTTCTTGATGTCTGATCTTAAATGGGTTTACTGCAGAGACAAAACATCTGTTGACAAGCTGCTTTTCTTTCTTTGTCAAACCAGAAGAACACTGTCGCCTCAGGATTTTGTGAAGCTTGTCACCGTTGGCAAAACGGTTGCTTAATGCACAGCAGTGATTACAGGGTGTGATGTACTTTCATAATTTTCACTGACTTTTTGTAATGAATTTTGGATAGATTTGTATCCTTATTGCATAATGTAGAGCTATTAGCAGGAATTGCTGACCCTGATACACTTCAGTAAGTCATATCTGACAGTTTCAGGGTGATTCATTGGAATGTTTTGTTATGGCTTATGGACCTCAACATCACTGTCTACCTCTATGCTTTTTGATAAAGTAATGTTTTCGCATTTGTGGAGTTTATCTGGCTGAGAGACAATAGTGAATATCTTGAGATGCATTAATTGCACTGTTATGTTTCTCGCGAAGATGAATCTTTTATCATGTGTTTTTGTCAGCTTTCCTTTTACAAAAAACCTAAACAATTTGTACAAGTCTTGCTGGGAGCTTTTTAGACATTTGAAAAGCAATACCGTAAAATACATTACAAATACAATATTGTGAATTATTATTACATTTAAAACTAACTTTGTTTCCATTTTAATATATTTTTAAATGTCATTTATTCCTGTGATGGAAAAGCTGAATTTTCAGTAGCAATTACTCCGGTCTTCAATGTCTCATGAAATTTGATTTTATGTTTATCAATTTTAAACGGTTGCGTTTTTAATATTTTTATGGAAACCATAGTTTCTTTCAGGATTCTTGAATAAAAAGGTAAAGAAATACATTTATTTGAAATGGGAATCTTCTGTAACATTATAATGGCTGTCACTGATTAATTTTAATGTACACTTGATGTACACTGAATAAAATGATTCATTTATAAAAACAAATAGGCAAACTTTTTAATGATAGTGGATATATAGTTTTAGTTTTGTTGATTTAATGTTAAAGCCTATAGATTAAAAGTTATTTAAGGTCAGGAGAAACATGCATTCATCCAGATGTATCCAGTGTTTTGATCATTACAAGTGTACTAAAAATACTTACAAGCACATTGAAGTATTTTTGAATTACATTTTTGTTCCAATATTTAGGATTTAATATTTATATTATATTTTATTATATACATTTATATTAATTTATTTTAGCAATATTCTATATAGGATTTCCCTTCCTGTTGTGCTAGTCTCCTCACAGTTGCCTTTAGCACTTAAGACACTTATTGCTTAGACATGTTTATCTGATCATGGGTTTCACATTCATTGAACCTAAAGACAAAAACACCTTGTACAGGAAAAGTATTCATAACATTGTGGATTATATTTCATGATATGCACACCCTGTCAAAACAGGAGCAAGGTCATTTTGACTTGCTCAGAATAATCTTTAATATCTCATGTCAATAGAATTTAACCCCTTAACTGTCACCGTCCCGGTACCGGGACGCCTAACTTTACTTATATTTCTATTAAATCCTAATCTAATTATGACAAATTATATATTTTTGGAAAGGTCTAAGACTTCTAATTAAATATTCGACCCCTGTTTTGTGTTAAAAATTATGTAGGAAGAGTAATTAATGAATTTATGACACGAGTGCACCTAAAAAAATCTGCATCATAACAGGAGTTTTGACCTTTGTCACAAAAAGTTGATGCACCCACTTTTAATCATTGAAACTTCTGTTTTTATGCTAAAAGTTCATAATAAAACATATAATCTAGTATTTTTCAATAAAAAATAAAAAGTATAGTATAAAATTATCCTCTAAAAATGATAATATATATGTATATATTATCCTCTAAAATATAATAATATTTTTATCGCCTTTTTTATTATATCACACATTTTAGTAGTTATCATAAATTAGGTATCATTTGAAAGCTTATAAACTCAGAATTCATCCTGTGAAAACCATTTTATAATTGAACGTTGCGTTACCATAGAAACGGTACTTATTTTATGAGGCTCCTCCCCTTTTGGGCATCCTTATTTTTCATAATTTATGATCAAAACCTTTATTAATCTTGACAAAACACATATTGTCAGAAAGGTCTGAGTCTGAAGGTTCCAAATTTTGTGACAGAATTGATATTTGGACAGAAATGTATTAATTTGTTAAGGCAGAATGTACACAACTAAATTCAATGGAATTCAATGGCACCCGGTGGCTATTTTTGGTACTACGCCTAAACAAAATCTCATGGGAACTTCAATTTTTGTGATATCAACTTCAAATTTGGAACATAACTTGGTTAGATTTATGGCTTTGATTTTATAGTAATTTTAGAGTAAAAATATTTTGTAAAATATATATTTTATATAAAATAAAAAATATATAGTACAGTATATTTGATTTACTGTGAATTAAAACTCCCATAACTTTTTCATACTTTCATTTTTTGAAGTGTTTTCACTTCAGCAATAATTTGCTGAGTGTTGTCTTTAAAACAAGACCAAACTTGGGTATATATTCCAAGGCATTCTTAAATTACAACCATTTAAGTGTGAATAGAGCATTTAACCCCCATTCTCAAAAAGGGGGGGTGACAGTTAAGGGGTTAAAGGAGACTCAAATACAGTGTTCAAGCATTTGGCAACATTTTATTAGAGATAGGTTAAATATGTAATTTATCATTTGCACAGCTGCAGCATTGAACTTAAACTGGGGTAGAACATTCCATGGTTTTATTAGAATGAGTGATTGATGTGAGATCGTTCTCACTGGATGTCTTGTAGTTTTATGCCTCAGGGGTTTTGAAAGCTTTGCCACTCCTTTATAATTAAATTTAACCTTTTCATTCCTGCTCTGTCATCTCCCTCTTCCCAACCTCTCTCTCTCTCTTCCCCTCTCCCCCTCTCCCCCTCTCCCCCTCTCCCCGATATTGTAATTCACGTTTCCTGACTAACAAAGCCAAAAACAGACAGTTTTGAGCTTTAAAGAACAGGTTTCCATTATGAACATCTTGATTCTCTTATCTCCTTCTCAGGTTCAGGTGTGAAGCAGTGAGTCATTCATATCAAACACCTGCAACAGTATAAATTCATACCTACCATTACCTACCTGACAAGTCCCCAATTCACCTGCATACTTTCAACTGGAATCATTTGATGTGGAAAAAACAATGATTTCGATTGCCAAAACCTGCCTCAGAGGGATCTACAGTTGTCATTGGAACAGTGAGAATGAGAGACAAAATGTGAGATTTTATTCAGATAAACGTCAATTTTCCCTGACACTTTCAATCCCTGTTCTTTCAAAAAATTTTAATCCCTGACAATTTTTCAATCACATTTTTCCACATGCATCCATTCTCTCCTAGTATTTGTTCGCACAATCAGTTGAGCGAGGCGGAATAGTTTACCATAATAAATTTAGAACAGGATCAAAGAAAAGTGTTTTTTGAGTGCCTCTTTAATGAGCAATTATCATCTAATTATCATGAGTACAAGCCTGTGGAGACAGATGATGATCACAACAGGCAGAAAAGTATGTTAATTAGCCTTTAAAAAAAGCAATTATTTTGATTTGTGTCAGAAACAATTACTGCTGCATTCAGATATTTCTTAAATCCAGTGTGAAATGGACTAGTAATAATCGGCTATAATAATAACCACTTGGTTTAGATGTTGGCCCCACTTTTGGATATTCAAATCAGTAAGCGAAACTTGACGTGAGAACACGATGCCCCCAGGCTTTCATTTATGGCTAAATCATCACTTGCAAACAGGAGGAGTGATCAGGGAAAACTATTATTTAACTCTTTTTAAACTGAATAAAGAGAAGAGCTTAATGACTTACGGAAAGAGAAACCATTTTTGAAGTGTGCAGTCTTGTTTTGTCTTTGTTTGTAGAGGACCTGCTGCTGGTTCTCTTTTCTGTCTTTTGTGTCCATACTTGCCCTGAGCTGGATGTACGTTTGCTTTATTGCCTTCAACGACCGCACCGAAGTAAACGAGTGAGCAAATAAACTAAATTCCACAATATGCAAATTATATAATTGTAAATCCATTGGCATGTTGATTCCCACTTTGTTCAGTAATAACTGATTGTGCCATTTTGCTTCATTTTCCTCTTGCAGTGAGGCCTTTAAAAGCTTGAAAACATGGGTGAACTGCTACATGATACTGATGATTGTTTCTGCTGTGCTAGCCACTTACTGTCTACTTCTACTGGTAAGAAGGAAATAATGCGAACCAGATTGCTGAGTGCCAGGTCGCATTTGTAAATATTGGCTGTTCAAACAAAATCATTCTTCATTTATTTCAGGTATTTGGATTGCTACATTTTGTTATTGGAGAGCCCTTGAATTTGCACTGGCTGCATAAGGTACCCTTATTTCATTTTATTTTACTTTTTGTATTTGTTGTATGAAGGTCACATTTAATGAAACTTTTAGCCATGTTTTAATTTTTCGCAAAGTTAATTTTCGCAACTTTTAAAATAAATAAATAATCACACACACACACACACACACACATATATATATATATATATATATATATATATACTGTATGCATGTATATAGTTAGGCATCAACCTCCTTAGTCAATCAATGACTCAATCAATTTATTATAAACAAAAAGAAAAAATAAATACATTTTGATAGGGTAACAAAATATGCTTTAATATGCTCTAATATCAGGATAGTTTTAAATTATCACAACAGGTAGAGATCCATCCATGTGAGATATTGATCCGGGTCGCTAAAGACCCGATTATGTAATAATGATTGGCGAAACAGTCATGCATTTAAGGGTTAATAAACAAACTGAAGCAAGCCCAAAACAGGAAAACCACTAGGAACACCAAACACACATCCAAATATCGACTGACAAAGCACAAGAGAAAAACAAGGGCTGTACACAGGGCTAGACAAGGTAACTGGAAACACCTGGGGAGACTTGACTTATCAAAGGAGAAAACTACAAAGGACAACAAACATGGCACACAAGACAGGAAATAAAAGTCCCAATACACACACAGGGATTATATGACAGAACCACCCACTTCCAGACATTCACAGGGAGAAACACCTAAAAACATAAGTCCAGGTGGATGGTGGAACGGAGGCGGACCAGGGGAGGGATGGTGGGCCACGTCTGTGGAGTGGCAAAGAAATGGGCTTTATGCACAGCTGCACTACTTCCTGAACTTAAGCCAGCTCCTTGTTTCCTGTCTGCCATTATTGGCCAAATTGATTAATTCAGGTGTGCTTGACCTCAGTAGTCATGGCAACAATAATCAGACACACCTGAATTAATCAATGTGGCCAATAATGGCAGACAGGAAACAAGGGGCTGGCTTAAGTTCAGGAAGTAGTGCAGCTGTGCATAAAGCCCATTGGGGTGCCAAAGGTACCTGGTAACTGGTATGGTATGGTGAGGTGAGGTGAGGTGACCAGGGCAATGCAGGATGAGCAGGTGGCCAGCATGTGGTCAGGGCGGAGCAAGCAAGACCCAAGACCTCCACAGAGGAGCAGACGAGACCGAAGATCCCCATGGTGGAGTAGATCAGCACCAGAGCAGATCGGACTAGTGACCACCCCGGTGGAGCAAGCAGAACTGTTGACCACCACGGCAGAGCAAAAGTCCACCAAGGGGTAGCAAAATGTCACCACAGCGGAGCTGAAAACCACTTCTGAGGAGCCGAAGAGACTGGAGAACTTAGAATGGCCTCTCTGACTGAGAGAGAACAGGCTGGGAGTTCAGTAATAGTCAGATCATAACAGAGCAGGGAGTTTGAGGATATACTGTAACCTCAGTGGTTATTTAGTTCAGGGTGGGCCTCCATGAGATGGTCCTCACTGCAGAACATGAAATCCACATGGAGAAGTCGGATCTAGATACTCTAGATACTCCCGCCTTACATATACCTAAACCAGGGGTGCTAAACATCATCAAACAATCAAACACACCTGCCTTTAATTTCCAAGTGATCCTAAAGACAATAGCTGGTTTCTTCAGGTGTGTTTGATTAGGGTTGGAGATGAACTGTGCAGGACAGTCGGTTGGCAGGAGCAGGAATGGGCACCCTTGACCTAAACCTATCCAGCTCCACCCCCTGATCCCTAAACCCACCCCTAAACCTACCCAACTCCACCCCTCAGATCTGGATCCGACTCCACCCCCTGGATCTTGTGTACTGCAATGAGGTGCTACTGGCCTCCATGGCCATAATGGAGCCATCAGAGGACTCAATGAGTTCAGGAATCTAATTCTGTGGCCGCAACAGTGCCGTCTGGGGACACAGCGATTTCAGAAATGGTGCCCGCAGCAGGGGGTACAGGGAGTTCAGAAACAGCGCACGTGGCCATAACAGGGGCATCAGAAAGTGTGCAGCCCAAACACATAAAATGGCAACTGCCATCACAGGGAGTGCAGAGGCCGCCGGGCTTGAGAGCGCTGAACTGGGCATCCAAGGTGCTCGCACAGGCATCAGCAACGGATCCGCCACACTAGACATCCGGTCTCAGATGCCTTGGGCCTGCCGTTGGCCTTAGCTTCGGGTGCGGAGGACTTGACCATTGGAAACTCAATGACAGTCATCACAGCTGGGGTCAGCAGTGGGCCAAGCTTCGTGGCCATTGGAGCTTGGGTTGTATAGCCCGCTCCACAAACTCACAAAAATTCGCTTGAGGACTAACATATGAAAGTTGAGTTCTGAGTCCAGAAATATACAAAACGGTATGAGTGTATTTTCCAGGAAATGAGAATTAAAAGCGTAGTCAAAGCATAGCTGTCAATATATAATTTGCATAGCTGGTCAGTCTGTACTGCAAAGAGTATGTTTAATAAATGAGGATCAAAGTGCACAAGAGTACGTTTAATAAACAAACTGAAGCAAGTTCAAAACGGGGAAACCAGAAGGAACACACAGGAACATCCCAACATCGACTGACAAAGCACAAGAGAAACACGGGATATACACGGGGGGTAACAAGGTAACGGGAAACACCCGGGGAGTCTTATCAAAAGGGAAAATTACAAAGGACAAGCATTTTCCAAACTGAATTTTTTGCATCCTTGAAAGGCACTTCGGGAAGGGGACGCCATTTAAAGGAGCGTTCCAAACGAAGTGAACAACTGAATCCCTTTTACAAAGGCCTTTCCATGTGTCAGTTAGCGAAGGGATACTCACTTCTAAATGGCACACAAGACAGGAAATTTAACAAAAGTACCAAAACATACACAAGGAAGTACAGTGGGGGAAATAAAAATTTCGCCCACTTACAAAGAAATGAAGGTTATAATTTTTAGGGTAGGTTTATTTTAATGGATTATTTAAAATTTACATTTTAAATTTAGGTATGGCTGTTACAGAGCTTATTTTCACACAAACAAACAATTTAGCCCCAAATAAATGTTTAGTAAGCTGTATTTTGTTAATTATTTGGAAAAAATTACAATGCTCAAGAAATTAGTATTAAAAAACACGTTGGTAACACTATATCATTGTTAGTCAGCTTTAAGAACATAAAGGAAGTTTCTGAATGAATGTTAATATTTTTCTGTTCTCTGTTCAGGTGATTTTGTTTTTCGGTCTCCTCACTATTATTATTTGCACAGCTGGAGTTTGTATAATGTGGGGAAAAGAGTGGAAAACGGTCTATATGTCATTTCAGGTATGTTTTGTCTGTCTTTCTTGTTTTTGTAGCAGGTTCTCATTGTATGCCATTTTAATGTAAAAGATAACATGAAAGAGTAATATTTCACACAGAAAGAAAGCATATTGTGTATATGCTTAAACATTGTGTAACATTTATACTGTATATGCACTGACACTCAGGTGCCTGTACCTCCAGTTATAACATATTGTTGTCTCTGTATGGAGTATGAAAATCATCTCTTTGGTTTCCCATAGGCCACAGCTCCTTTCCTGCATCTGTGTGCTGTAGTGGCTTTGACCTTGATCAGCTGGCTCGTGTTCAAGAGTTGTCATGAAGCTCAGACAGCGGGTTAGTAGTGGCTCCTAAACAGCTTATAATCAGGGCCATAGCTGGGGTATCCGGGGCCACGGTTGTTGCTGTGGGCCCTCTAGAAATAATGTTCTGGGGAGGGTGCCCCCTTTGGTTGAAATTGCATATTGGAAAGGGGGGGTGTTGGGGTCCCCCCTCTGTTGAAAATCGTCACCACCTTTCGCCCCGCCATTAAGAGCCCTGCTTATTGCTTATAATACATTTAAATGTAATATTTTCGGACTGTACTTTATCTGGTTTATTTCACAGCTGTTCACTAAATAAATAAAAACACAAACATTAAATATTGATTATATTATGGGGCTGTTGAATGCTTGAATCTGATTGGTTGACGAACATTCTAAGCCAAAGGTGTGCAATCATTTTCAGGGAAATGCACGACTAAAAAAGTTCCTGACAGGTCTTAACCACATTACAGTTATCACTTCACCAAATGATTTCAGTTGTTTCAAAATGTCCTTACAACAGCAAAAAATAAAAAAATAAATAAAAAAATAAAATTTAAATGAAATAACACAACCACACTGACCAAGCAAATAAATATAGCCTTGAAATTCACACCCAAAGTACGGCCACAGCCACGCAATATTTTTCTATGCCCTGTCGTCAATTATTCCATAGCCTATATAGGCTACTTAAAATATTGATTTAAATCATTTTGCAGTAGGCTATAACTTTAAGTCGACATGAAATGTAAATTGCCAACAGAAATTCCCTGTTGGGATGTCTAGGAATGAAACAGATGTTCATAAAATCTGTCAGACTAGACTTGTCCGTCAGGAATTGATTGGATCGTGAGTGGATCACTGGATTATGAGTGGCAGGTTGCTGTGGGCAGGGTTATTCCAGCTCTCTCGCTGGGAAAAACATGAGAGGGTCTGCAGTGTGATAGAGAGATGATAGTAGGCTAGTGCCAGTTTCAGTTACCCGGATGAGAAGAGTGACAGTTGCCATAGACGACAGCAAATATTAGGAAAATATCGAGCTGGTCCTCACTGCAGAACACAAAAACCTTACATAAACCTAAACCCACCTATCTCCACCCCCTGATCCCTAACCCCACCCCTAATCCTATCATTCCCCACCCCTTGGATCTGGATCCAACTCTGCCCCCTGGATCTCGAGTACTGCAATGAGGAGCTACTGAAAATATCAGACCTCTGCATGCCTCGATTGACCAATCAGAGCTGATCAGAGAGCCGTGCAATAAAGCATTGTATATTTGCTGATGACATATTAATGAAAGTTATGAGATATTCGGTGTAAATGTGAAAGTTAACACTAATGATGCATATATAGGCTAGGCCTAAACTTAATTATGCTTTATTTTCAAATTTAAATTCTATGTACTGAATATTTTTGTGTGTTTTTGCCAGCTTGTAAGGTTTTTATAATGATGACCTTCATTTTCGTGTCCGCTGCTGTGTTCCTGTGTCCTCTTGCAATCTGCTCTCCGTGCATTACCAATAATCTTCCCCCAAAACCCTCCCTCGTCGGTCATCGTGGCGCTCCAATGGTAAGTCACAGTGTAACTTTCATTTTGAGACAACTACCTTTTGTTAATGTGTATTATTAGTTCATGTTTACACTGGTGTGCCCGTCAAAATCTTGTTTTGGCTGTTTTTTTCATGTCGGCGCTGAACTACAGGATGAATTACATTATTTTATTAGAATAAATAAGACATGCTGTAGGATGAATCATCTGCTGTAGTTTCTGAATCCGTTTAGGATTATGATGATTATGGCATAGTTCCCAGGTTGTAAGCTATCAACGTGGGGGAATGTATTTCATTAGCATGTCAGTCTGCTCATAAATGTTGGAACATTTATCAAGCATAGGCAATTTATAGATTAAATAATCACAATGGAAACAAATACAGTTATTAAAAAAAACCATGTAGTCCTCATTCAGAAATATAATTTTAATGGCTGACAGTCTACAATTCAAACACAACCTGATAAATTCAACTGGCATGAAAGGTGGAGGAGGTGTTTTGACATCTGGAGCTCTGTAGGTTTGATCTTCTTGCGCTCACCAGGAGACTGGAGGCTACATGTGAATAAAAACAGAGGCGTGTGAAGAACTCATGCTACAGCTCTGAATTCTTTTTTTGATCTGAACATATTTGTGTAGAAAATTAATGGTTCTTTCTGGAAAAAAGTGATTTCTGTTGTCCTTATAAAACATTTATATATATAAAATGTGTGTGTTAATTATATATTTAGCTGGCTCCAGAGAATACCATGATGTCATTCAGGAAGAGTTTGGAGTGTGGCGTTGTGGCTTTTGAAACGGATGTGCAACTCAGGTAAAAGTTTCAGATTCTGTTCAGAAGCACTATATACACTTGCTTGTGTGTGTGTGTGTGTGTGTGTGTGTCTGTGTGTTTGCAGAGGTGGACAGTAACAAAGTACATTTACTTGAGTACTTAAGTACACTTTTTGAGGATCTGTACTTATTTTTTCTGGAAACTTTTCTCTACATTTGAAAGACAAATATACGTTTTACTCCACTTCAGTTCTGTCAAGGTCCTTGAGTAGAAAGTGGTAACATCAGTCTGGGGATGATTTTGGTTGCAGGGGTTGCATTTTGTTTGGAAATGAAAGTCGGGTTGACGTCAGAACCCACCTAATGTTTCTGACGTCAACCCAATTTTAATTTTCAACCACAATACAACGTCTGTCCAGTGATGGAGATTAATATCAATCTGGCGTTTCTGATATCAACCTGGTTTTCATTTTCAACGTTGGGTTTGGTCTTCTAAATGCGAATGTGGCATTGTTTTGGAGTACACTAGCTTATAGATAACAGCAAGGCTAACATATTCATGCTAAAAGCCAAAAAAAAAAAAAAAAAAAAACTATGAGCACTGTTTGAGGGAAGAGCCATGTTTTTGAGTGCACTTATTCAATCTTACTTTCAATCTATTAGAACTGTGTTCTAGAAATACATTTTATATCGATATGAGGGTAGGTAGGCATAGATTCAGTGGCATGATGTACTGTAAGCAGTATACTGTACAACAATGCAACAATAGTAAAATGCATTGACATTTACGTTTTACTTTTGATACTTAAGTAGGCCTACTTAAAGGGTTAGTTGACCCCCCAAAAAACCTAAATTATGCCATTAATGACTCGCGCTCATGTCGTCCCAAGCCCATAAGACCTTCGTTCATGTTTGGAACACAGTTTGAGATATAGAGTTTTCTGTCCCTCCATTGAAAATGTATGTACGGTATACTGTCCATGTCCAGAAAGGAAATAAAGACATCATCAAAGTAGTCCATGTGACCTCAGTGGGTTAGTTAGAACGTTTTGAAGCATCGAAAATACATTTTGGTCCAAAAATAACAAAAACTACGACTTTATTCAGCATTGTATTGTGTTCTGGTTCTGCTGTCAAATCTAAAATATCCTAAACTGTGTTCTGAAGATGAACGGACGTCTTACGGGCTTGGAACGACATGAGGGTGAGTCATTAATCACATAATTTTCATTTTTGGGTGAACTAATTTTTTAAGTAGAAATCGATCTTTACAACGTTTACTTATAACGGAGTAATATTTGACCAGTTGTATCTGTACTTTCACTCAAGTAAGGAAGTTGTGTACTTTGTCCACCTCTGTATGTTTGTGTGTGCGCGTGATTTAATACACTTGTCTATCTTTTTTCAGCAAGGACATGAAGCCTTTTCTTATGCATGACCACGATAAAAACTTTTTGCTACGAACAACTGATGTGAAGAAGAAATTTCCAGGTCGAGATGGCGACAACCATACTAACTTCACATTGCAAGAGTTACAGACGTTGAATGCAGGCGAATGGTTTTTAAGAGTGAGGACAAAGATTTTTTATTTATTTTTTTAATTTAAAACATCTGCATTTTATTTAATTTAAGTTTTCAACAGTAATTGCTGTATTGCATATATGTATTGCTATATAATGATAATCCATAATATTAAAATGGCAAAATCACATAATTATAATAATATGCTATTGGTAGGAATAAAAATTCCCAAGACTTCCATCCGTAATTTTCCATCCGTAAAACTGAGAAACGTTCTTTATTTGCCTAGCAGCTTGTGCCCTGAAATGTTTGCAATCCCCCTATAAATCAAAAGTAGAAATGTTTTGGTCTTGTAGTCCAGCAGATAAATTCAAGGCCGGTGTGGAGAAGAGATGAGTCCCACTGAAGAGATGGGTCCCAGCTTAGGACCCAAGCAATCCGATTGGTTCAAAGCTAGTTTTATGGGTAATCGCTTTAGTGCCTGGTTACAAATCAGAGAAAATCACTTAGTCACGAGTCATTATGGGTTTTATCTCTTCACCACACCGGAAACTGAAGCTTCGCTTGGGAGCTGCCATTGTAGCAGACTATCACCTGTTGTCCAGTTGTTGACATTCCATTGACTCCCATTCATTTTGGCGTCACTTTGATAGCGAATAACTTGACATCTGAGGCGTCCAAAGTTATTTTAACCCGTTATTTGTTTCTTAAGAAACAGGACTATGGATAAAAGGCTCCATCACTCTGTATCTTACGTTATGGCCCTGTAGAAACTTTTTTAAAAAATTTTTTTTGTAAAAATAGGCTAACGATTGCGTCATAACCACAGGACTGTCTGTCGCACAGTAGAGAAATTACCTTACAGACTAGAAGGAGAAGCTCATATAGGCAATCTTTTATTGTCTATGAGGCAATCGGGTGCACATGGAGGCACTAAGTCAGGGGAGAAGCTCATAGATAGAGAGTTCATAAAAGCAACGGGACAAAATGGTGAGGAGGCTTGTGAGAGAAAAGTGTAACTGTAATTTATTACTTATTCCTTTACCTCAGTGAAGTAGTGTGGTCAAAAGAAGCCTACCGGCACTTTACACAAAGTAAATAATTAAATGGTGCAATGTGATGATACCAGTCTCTCTGCACAGTTTTACTGAGTACAGACTATAGAGACTTAATTAGATACACGCAGTCGGCTGCATTCAAACCATACGCCTTATTCACGGCAGCGCCATCTTTGATTTTGAATGAGAATGAAAGCGAGGCTGTGAGGGATAGACTTGCATCTTTTCAATGGGCTGTACTGTTATTTAATGTGTTTTCGGATTGTTCTGCTCATGAAACACTGGAAAAATATCTTTCAAAGAAATGTCAGTTGACAAAAAACTCCCGACAATGTTAGCTGTGGAAAATTGTAAGTAATCTAGCCGCTTTATTCAGCTTTTTACTGCGGATGCCATTGGAAACACGGTAAGTCTATCCCTCACAGCCTCACTTTCATACCTGTCATGGCGCTGCTCTGAATAAGGTCAATAGACAGTAAAAGAGATTCAAACATTCCACGTTTACAAAGCATTCCTGTTTGCAGTGCTGTAGCCAATCACAGAGAAGTCTGTTGAGCGTATGAGTTTAGCGGCAAATCAGAATTCCCATCCGCTCAAGAATATTGAAGGCCACATTTTAATGTAGCTATTATTTACATTTATATTAATATTATTAATGTTAACAATTCAGTTATTAAATTTATTTTTTATTTTATAATAAATTGAATAGTTACAATTAGTCGGTTTTTAATTTTTCTTGCCATGTTATTGCAATTGGTACTCTGAATTTAATCTTGTGGAAAAAAAAGTTTTGAATAATAGTGAAAACAAAGCAGTGTTGTAAGGTGCCCATCCCTTGGTTCTGTGACTGGGGCCGGGGCCCAACATCTGGTGCTACACCCCTGTTTCACAGGCACCATAAAAGGAGGAAGGAGTATGTTTTGGTAGGAGATTTCTAGCAAAACAACCTTGACCTGAACGGAGGTTGCAGCTTTATCCAGTTTGAGCAGATAGAAAAAAAAATCTCACTTTGCATTTGATGTTCAGATGGTCTGTTTTAGTGTAATGACAAATTGGTTTAAAATGAGATCTTTTCTTTTTCAAATACAGACAGATCCATTTCAGTCTGTTTCATCGCTCTCAGAGGAAGAGAAGAGAGAGGCTGACAACCAGACAGTACCATCTCTTTCTGAGCTCTTGCTATTGGTCAAAAAGCATAATGTCTCCCTGATATTTGACCTAAAAAATGAGAATAACTCAACAGGATTCGAGAACAGCGACTCCTACTACATCACTGACACTATCAACAAGTCAGGCATCTCACCAGACAAGGTAATATTACTGTATATAGTAGGGTCCAAAAGTCTGAGACCATTTGTGAAAATGGTTTTGTGACCATTTTCTAATTTAATACATTTTTCCATTAAGCTTTCATAAATGTCATAATTTCTTAGCATCCAAGTGACAAAATCCTAAAACCTTTTATTTCTAGCAGTGTTATTTATATACTACTATTATAGTATTTAATATTTTAAATTAGCTTTTATGATTTTAGTTTTTTTTTAGTTTAAGTTTAATCATTCTGTTACATTGTGTTTTTTTCCATTTTTATTATTTCCATTTTATGTATTACGTATTTCAGTTTAGTTTGTTAATTTTAGTACTTCAATATAAAGTCATTTAATTTCAGATAAATAGGCAACATTTCTATTTGAAGTTTTGTTGAGTTTAATGTTATAGGGGTAGTTCACCCAAAAATGCCTGTTTAACGTCCCAACCAAGCCCGCAAGTTCATCTTTGGAACACAGTTTAAGATATTTTAGATTTAGTCCGAGAGCTTTCTGTCCCTCCATTGAAAATGTATGTACGGTTTACTGTCCTTGTCCAGAAAGGAAATAAAAACATCATCAAAGTAATCCATGTGACATCAGTGGGTTAGTTAGAAAGCATCGAAAATACATTTTGGTCCAAAAATAACAAAAACTACGACTTTATTCAGCATTTTATTGTCTTCCGGTTCTGGTGTCAATTCATGCTGATGACGTAAAACACTGCTGACGTGTAATCCGGTGCGCCCAAGCTTAATTTACAATCTTCGCAAACATGTCTAAGGATTTCGACACAGAGGAAGACTTGCATTTTTTTTGCCCAGCCATATTTATTTTAACCCGAATACGGACTCACCAGATACACGTCAGCAGCGTCTTACATCATCAGCGTCGCTGCGGACTCGTGAATAGAATTGACAACAGAACCGGAAGGGAATACAATGTTGAAAAAAGTCGTAGTTTTTGTTATTTTTGGACCAAATTGTATTTTCGATGCTTTAACCCACTGATGTCACATGGACTACTCTGATAATGTCTTTATTTCCTTTCTGGACAGGGACAGTATACCGTACGTACATTTTCAATGGAGGTACAGAAAGCTCTCGGACTGATAATTTTCATTTTTGGGTGAACTAACCCTTTAACCCTAACGCCCTAAAAAACATGACTCTTATGAATGCTACAAGTTGTTCTTTTGTGTATGAGTGTGTGTTTTTCCCCGTTTTGCACCATTAAATGCACTTTTAATGCTTTGTATCACTTTCAGATATGGTGGCTTCCTCGAGAATATAGACACAATGTGAGAAATATCTCACCAGGGTTCAAGCAGGTGTATGATGTGGTAGACGAAATGGTTGCAGATGGTGGAAGCTTCCTGAATATGAAGTATAGTTCACTGAGCGCTCATAAAATAAGGTGAGTGTAGGAGGATTGGTGCAGCTTATCTGACATGCAGAGACTTGATACTGCCGCTGCTGTAAAGAGCCTTAGGGATCATTCTTATAGGGTTTTACTTTCTTACAAAGATGACAGAAATGCTGTAAAAAATGATGGGCTGATCTATAGCTTAAACAAACAAAATGTATCTAATAATGATTATAGTAGCAGGAAAGCTGATTTGCCAAACTTCAACACATGAAGATTAATGAGGCCTTTTCCAGACACTGTTTTGTCCGGTTGCGTGCACCTGTCATTTTATAATTTTACCTGACAGTAAAGATGAAGAAATAATCAAATTGAACAAGAAAAGCTTGACTGATGAATAAGACTGCACGTTAAAACGGCCCTGCCACTCCTGTCTATTGTGTTGGAAACTGGCTTGTTGCGACCTGTCGAAAAGGTCGCTGATGTGGAGCCAAAGGCAGATGCTTAGAAAAGATTTCTATGTTTTTTTTTTACATACATTTTTTGTTTATTTCGCTGGACAGTGAGCTGCGGGGGAAAAATGTGTCCGTGAATCTGTGGGTCGTGAATGAGCGCTGGCTCTTCTCATTACTGTGGTGCTCTGGAGCCAGTTCAGTGACCACCAATGCCTGCCACATCTTCAAAAACATGTCTAAGCCTGACTGGCATCTGGTAAATCTCAGCCTTTCACCTATCAATGTCTATTGTGCCAAAAAAAGAGAAGCTGTTTTACTCCCCTCGTTTATTATTCACATGGGCTTGTCTGAATATGTAACATGTCTGGAATCCTTTGTGTGTTTTTGTATGCATGTAATAATGAAAGGAGCCTAATAAGTACATGGGAATATGGATCTCGGCTGATGTGATATCATTGCTGTTGATGTTTGGGCTGTTTCTTTGGCAAAGGTAAACAATAAAACTCAGCACATACACTGAATGGTATAATGCTGTAGTTGATTAAATTACATTCTTGTGGGGATAATTCAAGTGTTATGGATAGATTATAATAACTTTAAACCTTTAAAAATGTTGTGCTTTATAATTGTTTAAGTCCCCTTGGAGTCAATAATTGTTTCCCTTAAAATTCATCTTTGATCAACAAAATGACACATTTATGTTTCTCCTGTAAAAAATGTTTATTCATGCCTTAAAATAGCTTGGATGTAACTCTACACCCTTGCTTCATTTAGTATACGCAGTGAATATACAAACCTCCACTCAAACTCGCACTATAAAAAAACATACTTTTTTAGTGGTCGTGGAGTAATTACTTAAAATAACCATATTTGAAACACCACATAGACATATTGAAATATATACATATATATATATATATATATATATATATATTTGAAACACCACATAGACATGTATAAACAACATTAGCTTGAGTTTCACCATATGGGAGTCTTCAATTATAATTACAGGTTGTCTTGCCCTCAAGCCAGTAAACAAGAGATGTCACCACAATTGGGAGAGGTTATTTTAATAAGCCTAAAGATTATGAGGCCACATGAATAAAAAAACAACAATGATTAGCACAGATAATAAATACTATATTCCATGAAAAATAGCTTTAAACCATTTGTAATTGTAGGGGCCAAGCACCGAAGGTATCTGTTCCAAAGTTTAAATTGTATTATGCTAATAGCTTTTGAACCATAAGGCCTATCAATAAAACTCTGATTCCTGAGCTCATGACGATTCGAATGCACCCTATGAGTATGACGTCATTTTCCGTCATAAAAAAATGGCCGCTATTTTGAATTCTCCAAAAAACTTTTGCGAAGTCATCCTAGACGGTTTTCCAATTTTCACCAAAATTGCAGCGCCACCTACTGGTCCAGAGATATGAAAAATGGCTATTTTTTCTCATAACTTCTGACTAGTTTGTGATTCAGGGCGTCATGCCGAGTCAATATCCAATTTTCCCAGATCTGTCATTTTGGCTATCGGCCATTTTAAATTATGTGCTAAAATGCTGTATTTTTTGGACTCATGAACGAATTGTTACGAAACTCAGTATAAGCAGCATGCCCTGAAGGTACTCAAATGATTTTTGAAACAGCGCCACCTATTGGTCAAAAGTTATAATTAATTTTTGAAAATGCTAATAACTTTTGAATAATTTTGCCTATTGTAATGACACTGATCTTAATAGATTTCTTGAGTTATGCCGAAAACATAGATACCAGGTTTGCCATAATCAGCCAAACTTCCTGTCTGCCATCTTTATTATTATTATTTTTTTGTAAAAACCCTTCTTTTTCGAACTTCTCCTAGACCGTTGGTCCGATTTTCACCAAAATCTAATTCAAGCCATTTCGCCTAAATTCATCTTTAAATGTATTTAATTGCTCCTTTCTGCTCTTGGTCTGAAACTCCCAGGCATGTTGGCATGTCTTGTCTTCTGCTTTTGTGCTTGGCCCCGTAATGGCTGCTTGCAGCTACATTTGTATTAGTTATGTTCTAACATTTAATAGTGTATTTAACAGAATTTCCATTTTTCATTTTTGCTCTATAATAAATGTAAAATGTACATAATACATAATACAGTAAAAATACATAAAATTAGAATTATGATACATAAACCATCAGTTACATTATAAATATAAATGTATTGTTTATTATAAATTGTAAGTAAAACTGACTGCAAGGCAAGCTAACTTGTTACCAACATAAGGCTTATGCAACTTTTCACCAATAACTGAAAATGTCCATCATACACAAATTCATACCATGACACAAAATACAAAAAAAATACAAACCTACCTCAAGGCTATTGATTATTTATTCATTCTTTCTTTGATGCTCTTTTTTCAGGGCATTTAACAAATGTTTTAAGATTAATAATAATAAAAAAAACCCAAATTTGTCAAATTTGTTACTCAAATTATAATGGGCATTTTTCTCTTTGTTTGTGAACAGGAAAAGGAACCGTTTTTCTCATCAAAATAAAGAAGAACAGAGAGGAGTCCCCCTGCTTAAACACTGAAAGATCATATCATCATATTATGAAAGGGCATTTCCTTTTTTCACTTTTTGAAGGATTGTATATGGTCATCAAAAAAAAAAAAATCACGTCATATTAAATGTGTAATGCAGGAAATTCACATAATATTTGTACTTTTATTTAGTTTGTATATATTGATTAGTTGGATTGAGATATATTTGATATTATGTACTCATTAGGGCAGCAAATTGTGCAATGCTGCCACCCATTGAGAAACGTATGTTATTTCAGCCTAATACCAGGGCCAGGGGCCTGTTCCATGATGGTAGTGGAACAAACTCAGGGTTGCGGGATTAGTTTCGACTTGACAAAACCAAACCAATCCAACCAAGCTTTGTTGGTGCCATGTTGCTGATCATCAACATTCTCTGTCAACTCAGGCTTTGATCCTGAGTTTAGGAGTTTAGGTGTGACATCAGTAGCGAACAGCCAATCACATGCTGAGAAAGAGTGAAACTCATTCAAAACACATTGAAATTAATTTCTCGTGAGAGAAGCAGCACAATTCACTTATTAAATAAAAGTATTTAATTATTACGAATTTAAACAAATTTACACAGCAAGAAGAAAATAGCTGTTTGTGAAAGAGGAAAACTAAAAGAAAGTCTAGCTACTATATATCAGTGCAAGTAAAAGTTGTGAAGTTAGTTTATAAAATAGAGAGAATTGAACATTTAAGCTCACATGTAGTCATTTTATAGCTTCATTTATTGATTCTAAAGCGTATTTATATTACCTTTATATACGTATTCATTTAAAATCTGCGTAATAATTATTGATAAACTGAAATTGTACAGATAATTACAGAAATAATCTCTAAATCATACAAAAATGTTTTAATAAAAGCCATGATTTTGTCTTTTAAAATCATTTGCTGTTGAGTTTATTGCGTCATATCATACATGTGTCACTTTACTCACAGCTGATACTATGGCAATGAACACTGCTAAAAGCCAACCCACTTTCATGGTACCTAAAACGCAGGGTTGGCACAAACTAAACTGAAACATAGCTGGCTAGCCACCTAAACCGGCTTGTATAGGCTGGTTTCGCAAGGCTTAGTTTAAGCCAGGATTATTCCTTAGTTCAATTTGGACATTTAAGTAGCTTTTATAAATGTGCCTTACAAAAGACCTGAGACAAAAATGGCACTGACATATTTTAAGAAATTTCAGTGCATGTTGCTTTCAGTTAAAACAGCTCAAGTATGCATTTTAGTCTGGGACTAGACTAGACTTAAACCTTGTTTGTGAAACTGGGGGCAGAACTGTTATTTTTGATGTAAATGACAATATTTAGATGTTATTATGGGATAAAGTGTAAGGCAATTTTAAATGCAATCACATTTGTAATTAATTTCTGTAGTTATTGTTATATCACAATACCACCAAACATGTCCCTATACTTTAACTGTATCCAACACTAATTAAATAATATAAAGTGGGACCAAAATGTTTATACATGAATATATTTGTAAAGATTTTTGCAATTTTTATTTTGGGAAATACAGGCATTTGAGACAAATTCAGAAATAATTTGTGTAAGTTTAACTGTATTGGTGTGTGTGTGTATTTTTCAAAAAGTATTGGAGATCAAGGCTGGTTGTCTAGTACAGTTGATTTATTTTGAGGTCATAAAAATTAATGTTTGCCCTCCGCATTCATTGATTCTTCCAAGATCTCTGCAAAAAAAAAAAAAAAAAAAGATAAAAATGTTGTAAAAAAAGGGAAGTGATTTAAAATATATGAATGTTATAGGGCGAGGAACCTTAATTGTTCAATTTGTTGTACAACAACAGATGTGATAAATTATGCCACCCTGCTAACATCTTCACATCTAATCAATCAGGCTATGGGAATTTCAATTGGGCCATTCCACCGAATGGGTGACATTTGCTTGTTGCAAATCTTCAAAAATAAACTTTATTTTTTGATCTTTTTCAATATTGAATGTAATATACATATTTAACTATTCAAAATGTGTATTGGTCAATCTCAGGCAACTTTATTTTTATTTTTTTACAAGGTTTAAACAGAATATGGACGCATGTTTTCTCAATCCTGTTACCGAAAATCATGTGTCATTTAAAAAGCAAGTTTAGAAGGATGTCAATTAATTCCTTTGTTTTCCCCACAAGAAAGTGTTTATTTTAAGGAAATTGTTGGTTATATGTTCAAAAATGTTAATTAAATATTTGAATAATCAATCAATTAAATAATTGTATAAATTATGGGCCAAACAAAATTGATAAAAATAGTGGTTTAATTTTATTTTTTTAGAAAAAGAAAAAAATAGTAACAGGAGTGAAAGTGACAGGATTGGGGTTCGTTTTAAGCAAAAAGTTATCAAATATATGGCATGGCCACATAGCATTGATGCTATTAGCATGAGGACACTGAGCCATTTCTAGTGCCTATAAAGTTAATATTTTTAAAATAAAAAAAAAATAAATCTAAAAAAAAGTTTAGGTAACAGGACTGTATTGACCTTCTCATTCATAGTTAGAATTTCATCAAACGGGGGTGTAATAGTCTAACAGGACTGAATGAAAACCCTGGGACATGATTAAAATGTGTATTTTATCTAAAATATTAGATCAAATGTTTTTTTTTCTTTTTTTCATTTTAAAGCAGGTTGGATATAAAGTCACACAAAAATCAGATTTCTGAAGGATTTTAATCATAATATTTCATGGTAATTTTTTTTTATTATATGTTTTAAATTTGTAGTTAGCTTATTGTGCATGACATTTTGCTTAATAATAAAATATATTTTAGAGTTAATTTTCATGCAATTTTATTATACATACACTAGGGGTGGCACGGTTCACAAAACCCACGGTTCGGTTTGTATCACGGTTTTAGGGTCACGGTTTTCGGTTCTGTACGGTTCTTGTTATTTTTTCTTTTAATCTTTAACACTCCAGAAATGTACTTCAGCATGTGATATATAGCTTAATTATCCACACTTTAGGATAGAGTATTAAAAAAATATATATTATATTCATGCAATCATGCACAAACTGAATTTGACTCTTTGACTTTAAGCACATTTTTGGACTATCTCAGAGGAAAGCTAGGTGAGATTTAGATACAGCAAGAGAGAAGAAATTGACATGCTTTTCGTTTATTTGGCAAAAAAAAAAGGAGAATGTGTATCACTATCTCTACAAGAACTTGTGCATTTTTATCACATAAATCTTATTTACACAAAGAAATTAACTTTCATGTATCAACTGCTAACTTTTGTAGCTCTTACCAAAATTCTATCTTTTAAAAGAAAAATAGAGGAACTCTTAAAACACTGTCTTTTAAATGTCAATATACATGAAACCTCATTGCCTATAGATAATTAAGCTATAGCAATAGCAAAGGCCATAAACATAAAGTGAAATTTAAGTTCAACCTCAACACAAAAACAGTATCAACAATGCTTCTATTCCCAAAATGTGAGGGTACTTTTTTCCACTTAAAATTAAAGTGCAGGGTTTGGAAACGTATTACTGAAGCTCTTATACATAAAGTGCCACTGTAGCGTTATATTAAAATATCATAACATGAAATCCAAAATGTTCCCACACACCGGACTTATACCATAGACTTATACGACGCTGGCGCATCCTCCAACTCCCTCATCTCTCCCACTTGCCATTTCTCCGCGTGCCGTGACCTGCAGCGCTCCATACTCCACTTTTACTGGCTTGTTTATTAACTTGAACCGGCGCTGCACAGAGCGATCGGTAATGACATCAAATACCGCGAAAGTGATGTATGCATACAGAGCCGACTCGCGCTAGATTGATGTTATTCACTGATCGCTCTGTGCAGCGCCGGTCCAAGTCGAACAAGTTTATGTCGCGCGAATAGAAAACACACGTTACATACGGGCACGAGGTTACATTGCGCATGCGTCGAACCGTGAGACGCACACGCGCTCCGAACCGAGACAAGCGAACCGAACGGTTCGGGTGTTTTTTCATGTACCGTGCCACCCCTAACATACACTCACCGGCCACTTTATTAGGTACACCTGTCCAACTGCTCGTTAACACTTAATTTCTAAGCAGCCAATCACATGGCGGCAACTCAGTGCATTTAGGCATGTAGACATGGTCAAGACAATCTCCTGCAGTTCAAACCGAGCATCAGTATGGGGAAGAAAGGTGATTTGAGTGACTTTGAACGTGGCATGATTGTTGGTGCCAGAAGGGCTGGTCTGAGTATTTCAGAAACTGCTAATCTACTGGGATTTTCACGCACAACCATCTCTAGGGTTTACAGAGAATGGTCCGAAAAAGAAAAAACATCCAGTGAGCGGCAGTTCTGTGGGCGGAAATGCCTTGTTGATGCCAGAGGTCAGAGGAGAATGGCCAGACTGGTTCGAGCTGATAGAAGGGCAACAGTGACTCAAATAACCACCCGTTACAACCAAGGTGGGCAGAAGAGCATCTCTGAACGCACAGTACGTCGAACTTTGAGGCAGATGGGCTACAGCAGCAGAAGACCACACCGGGTGCCACTCCTTTCAGCTAAGAACAGGAAACTGAGGCTACAATTTGCACAAGCTCATCGAAATTGGACAATAGAAGATTGGAAAAACGTTGCCTGGTCTGATGAGTCTCGATTTCTGCTGCGACATTCGGATGGTAGGGTCAGAATTTGGCGTCTACAACATGAAAGCATGGATCCATCCTGCCTTGTATCAACGGTTCAGGCTGGTGGTGGTGGTGTCATGGTGTGGGGAATATTTTCTTGGCACTCTTTGGGCCCCTTGGTACCAAATGAGCATCGTTGCAACGCCACAGCCTACCTGAGTATTGTTGCTGACCATGTCCATCCCTTTATGACCACAATGTACCCAACTTCTGATGGCTACTTTCAGCAGGATAATGCGCCATGTCATAAAGCTGGAATCATCTCAGACTGGTTTCTTGAACATGACAATGAGTTCGCTGTACTCAAATGGCCTCCACAGTCACCAGATCTCAACCCAATAGAGCATCTTTGGGATGTGGTGGAACGGGAGATTCGCATCATGGATGTGCAGCCGACAAATCTGCGGCAACTGTGTGATGCCATCATGTCAATATGGACCAAACTCCCTGAGGAATGCTTCCAGAACCTTGTTGAATCTATGCCACGAAGAATTGAGGCAGTTCTGAAGGCAAAAGGGGGTCCAACCCGTTACTAACATGGGGTACCTAATAAAGTGGCCGGTGAGTGTATAATGTCCTGGGGACAGAACTATATGGATGGCATTAAAAAACAGATTAAGCAGATTAAGGAGCACAAAATCTAGATTTTAAATATTCAGCTCCCCACTGGTTATTTAAAAGATTGTTCAAATTAATAATTATCAATTATATTAATCATATAGCCCAATAATATCCAGCAAACTTGTATTAAGCGGTGTTTTGGTTTAAAATAAATCTTCTTCATTTGTTGCGTCCATGTTGGCACAACAACTTCAGTCTGTTTTTTTTTTTCAAAGGGAAAATATTGTGACCTTGAATTTCTGCATCAAATGAAAACAAGTTGGCCAGTTTCCACTAGGCCATGCCATAGCCTACATGTTAATGTGAATTTCTTGTATACAAATTAGAAATGTTGTTGCTGTTTCGTCATTACATTATTCTATTTGATTAAATGTAATAAAGCAAATGTTTAAATCAAGTCGACCAACGTTAGGTTATAGAACAAATGCGATTTTTAAGCAGTCCAGCAGTCTCAACTCAACCCAAAACTACGCCAAACTCCGTGTCACCAAGCAACGCATAGACTGAACGCCTGGATCTGGATCTGGAGCGGAGCGACAGAATAGATGAACTCCACTCCGGGATTTTCACTGAGACAAGAGAAAACACCGGTTATTCATTCTTGTTCGAATGGGCTTTATGCACAGCTGCACTACTTCCTGAAATTAAGCCAGCTCCCTGTCTGCCATTATTGGCCAAATTGATTAATTTAGGTGTGTCTGATTATTGTTGCCGTGACTACTGAGGTCAGGCAAACTTTCCGTTATTTTTGTTCAGCTGGCTGACCGTACAAATATGAATATGGTAGTTAGCATTTTTTTAACAGGAAATTACATTATAACACATTTTTCACAACAAAATGTACTTTTTGTTAAAAAAAAAAAAACTGAGTCTGCACATGCGCATTTAACCATATGGAATCGATGGGTAGCATTAATCGTCATAACTTTCTGTTTTAAAAAAAAAAAAGGTGTGGAAAACTTGAGGCTCCCAGCTAATTACGCTGATTGATATGTTTTCCCTTTTCTATAAAAAAAATAATCTTACAGCCTAGCTGAAAAAGGGCGACAGCCACTTAAAGCAGGTTCACCCTTTCTCCACTGGGTGGCATGCGACACTTCGGAATAATAATTTCCGTGGCCAAACTTGCATCACCCTCATGGCAAGCAGGGTGTTTTCCGAAAGACTGACGAAATAAATTTCAGGTATATTTGATGTGATCATTTATAACCCTTTCCCCTTCCTTTATTCTTTGTTAGCCACAGATTCACACATGATCAAATATGGTTACCGTTATATAATAAAGCTGCATTTTTTTCCACCATAATGACAGTACGCTTCTTTATCCACAGTTTACATTTGGATGAAGGATGAGTAAGACCCTGTAGTCTGCAGACCGCCCCCAGTTCCCCTCAAAACTTCCCAAAGGCAGATAACGGGTCGGGAAGCTTCACACTCTTACTATAACAACACGCATCTCCTGCCAACTGCAGTAACTAACCGTCGTCGGCAAGAACTTCCCAAAGAAACATTATCGTCATTGTGGGGAAATTTCTTCAAAACTTTTAAAAGTCTGTTCGGAGACAGCTAGAAAGGGACAGCTGACCGAGAAGGATTTTAATGCGTTGTTATTTATTTGGGAAACTAGTTAGTCAAAACGTTTTGGATTTACAGGACCAGTTTTCTAAC